AACGCTGGACCAGTTGGCTGCCACAGTTCCAGAAAAACCACTCGGCCATATGCGGGCAGCTATTTTTATTTTGAAAAAAAATGTCTCAACAAGATGAAGCTTGCTCAACAACAACTTCAACGTTGAATGCACATGAGCCTTTTGAAGCAAACCACCAACCAAACGACTCTGAAAATCATCATCATCATATTGATACGAATGATCCATCATCTAACAATCATTCATCAAAATCTCTTTCATGCTCTCTTCAGCCACTACTTGAGGAGATTCGGAAAGATTTAATTCAAAACTCTTCATCATGCAATCATGTAAATAACATGTGGCAATACGTAGAAAAAATTTGCCAAGTCATGAACAATGAAAAAGAACAACACGAAGTATATGCCATTTCATCTCTAAAGATTGGATTAGAGTTAATTGTTGTGTGGGGAATTGTACCTCGACTATTGAAAGGAGTTGGAATTTCTCTTTCCAAAAGAATTGAATCACTTTCACAACAAAGTAAAATATCAGTCAATAAGCAAAGTGAATTTAGTGAAAATGAAAAAATTTCACGAAATGAATTGGAAAAGTTGGTGAAATGTGTGAAAATTTTATGTGATATTTCAAACTGGGATGAGTTTTACAATCAACTTGTGTTACAAAATTACTTGACTGATATTTATTCTGCTCTCTTTCAAATCCTTTATTTATGCAACAATTTAAAAAAAACATTAGAGCAAAAACAAAAAGAAAATTGTCCATCCTCTGTCATTGCCCATCTCTCTCAACAATTTGGAATTGATGAGTCAGATCGATTGTATTGCTCAGAATTACTCTACAAATTACTAACTCAAACTCATGAATCGATGGTTGTTTATTGTCTCGTCACATTACTTTCACAACCAACTCTACCTCAATGGCTTAAAAATAGATGCACCATTTGGCTCTCAAAAACAATATTAAGGCCAAAAGGAGTTTTTGCTATCATTTCAGTGATGCTCGACAATGTACCAGAATCTAACTTTAGACATTATGAAAAAATTGTGGACTTGATTGTTGCTGTTCCAAAAGACACGAATGCTCAAGATTATTTCAAAATAATTTGCCCACAAATTATCAAACTATTTCGATTGAGAGGAAAGAATAGTCATCATTTATTGAAGACTAGTGCGCTCCTTTGTGGAAAAATTATTGAAAAATTTCCTTCCATTGCACAAGAATTAATTTTGGAACCCATCCTTTCTCCTCTTAAAAAGTTTATCAAGTTTCAACAAATGGCTGATGAAGAAATGCAACTCTATTCGACTATGGTGAACGGTGTTAGTGTCAGTACTAGTAGTAGTGGCGATTCCAATCCTAATGAAACTTTTCAGAGAAAAACAGATTCCTCACTTCTTTCTCTTGAAGATGAAGTACATTTTCAAAAAGAAGAAATTCTGTGTGATGAAAATGAAATTGGTCAATGTGTCGAAGATATTCATCGATTATTGTTTGGAAACACTCCAGCAAGTTTCATGTATAATTCTATTTCTCCGATCATTCCAGCACTTTTTTCAATTATATTGTTTTGTAAGCAAAACCAAACTTTATCTCAAATCAGCATGTGAAGAAATAATGACCAGTTATTTTAAGATTAGTGATGATGCTCTTCAAGTGACAAAACGACTTGTAGTATTTAATAGAAAACTTGCATCGAATCATTATGTAACATTCTGTCCAGGTGATAGTGGAGGTGTTTCTATCAAATTAGTATCTGAATTGAATAGAGATTATCTTTGGGAAGCTAGTTGTTTGATTAATCTTTTCAAACTTTTGAAAAATCATACAGTTGCTGGAGATTTATTTGTACATTTAATCACTCAATTCACTGTGGTGAAACAACATATGGAAAGCACGTTGAACCATGTCGAACCATGTGTGAAAGATGAACCCTTTTTGTCATCCTCAACACCTTTATTGATCTTTTCTCATCCTCAACAACAAGAGGTTCCACTCCCAGAAAATGCAATCATTCTTCTTCAAGTCATTCAATTACTCATTAATGAAATGGGTGCTTCTATTATGAAAAAATACTTCACAGGCCATTTCCTTTGTGAAATTTTTACTTTTAAATCATGAAAATAGATTTGATGAAGAATCATTGGAATCTGTAGTGATGGCTCTTGGAATTCTATCTGCAATTTTATGTGGTGGAATTTCAATCAAAACACTCGATGAGGAAGAAAAACTTGAAGATTTGAAACCAATTCTTAATCGATACAAAATCTATGAACATCAACAAATTTCAGAGATGGCTTCAACTGCTCTGTTAAGTATCGATACAAAACAATACAAAGAGATTCATGGAAATGTAGAAGAATATACTGAAGAGGAAAAAATCAAAATCAAATTCGATCACATTTTACAAGATTTGAGAGATCCACTGTTGCCAGTGAGAGCACATGGAGTTCTTTCATTGAGAGAAATTGTGTTAGAAAAAAAGAAAAATCCTATCATTGAAAAACAGGTTCATAACATTTTTGATATTTTACAATCTCAGTTGAAAGATGAAGATACCTATGTATATTTAGGAGCTATCAGTGGATTGACTGCACTGGGTGATGTTTACCCAGATACTATCATTCCCATTCTTGTGGACACATTTGGTGATAAGAAACAAACCATCGAACAAAGACTTAAAATTGGAGAAAGTTTGGTAGATTTGGCAGAACGCTGTGGTCAAATGCTTCCTAAATATGCACACTATTTTGTTTATTGCTTTTTAAAGTGTGGAAAAGAAAATGACAAGGATTTTGAATTAGTACGAGCAAGCTCTGTATCGAATTTAGCGACTTTGGTTCAAATCTTAAAATTTGGAGTTCATCCATTTGTACAAGACATTATTGATTGTGCATCATATGTTCTCAATTTTGACAAAAGTGAGCATGTACGACGTGCAGCTGTGTTGATCTTTGATAGATTTGCAAAAACTTTCAAAACAGAACTGTTTGAGGTTTGCGAAGCAGCAACTTTGGATCAATTCAAGACGATACTAAACAAAGCTGCTTTCTACGACACAGATGAAATTGTGAGAGTGAACGCAAAGACAGTCATTTGTGAGATGGACGATCTGAAAGATGAACAAATGACGCCCACCACCTACATTCCAGGAGCTGACAAAAATCATTATCTCAACAATTTCCTTAAATTCATGAATCATTAAAGTATTTAATCTCTAATGTACACTATTCGGTTGTATTGAGGGTAATTTCTTTTTTACCATCCATACCTGTATTATTTTCAGATGTTTTATCATCCGCTGACTTCATCACCATATCTCCATTAACAGCATCAAAAGAAAATTCTGGTTCAGAGAGGCTACGTTGTAAAACAATGTCTTTGTTACGCTTTACCCCTTCTTCGATAGCCTTAATAAATTCTTGTGCACATACATGAGTGTCCTCTTGTTCAAAACCTGTGGATGTAATTATGAAATAGCGTTCTGTATCTTCGTTTTTCATCTTTAACGAAACCATGTCTTTATGTACAGTGAGCTTCTCTGGTTGTTTTGCTTTTTCTGCAATCGTGGAAGCAGCCCCTGTAAATGAAGAAGAAGAAAGTAGGGTTAATAGATCTGTCTCTTCCTCGTCCTTATCAAAGTTTGTCAATGATGACAAAACACCACTACACATTCTGCAATGCTCTATACCAATAAATGGAAATTCATTCTTAATCGTTCTACCTGATACCTCCAGTACAGAATCTGATGTTAGTTTAAGAAGTCTCTTTGCCTTCTTGGAAGTACCTTTGTAAAGAAGTGCACTAAACGATTGGTATGTTGTACAGTATTGAGATCTAACAACAGTCTCAAATATCTCTTCTAGCACTGCCTCTCTCTCTTGCTCGCTATTCACAATATATCTTCTAAATCCGACCTCGAATTTTTTCTTTTTCTTTACAGCCACATCATTAGATTCATCATCAGACTCATCTTCTTCCATATTATCAGGGAAATATGGAATTGGTTGATCTGTTTTTGGAGTAATAGGTCTAAATCTCATATGAATTTCAAGATTTGAAGGAGGAGCAGAAATCTCTTCAATTTCTGAAAGTAATCTTTCGTTCTTAACAATCTTACTCTTTGGATCAATGTTCAACAAAGACATCATTGTGATTTTGAGAAGTCTTTCTTGGTGCTTTCCTTTTGGATTTACCTTGATAATTTTGTACGTTTTTGGTACATTGAACTTTGAAATTTCAGGAAGTAAAATATCCTCCTCCCTTTTAAATCCATGAGATAGTAATCTGGAATAATCATCCATCATGACAATCTTTTTGAGGTAGTCTTTTTGTTTCTTTGCAGAGATAGCGAGTTTCGTTTTTGCAAAGAATTTAACAATGGATGCTGGAAGGTAAGTCATGTTTGGAGCATGGAGAACCACAGTTTGATACAGTTGTTTTTGTTGAGCCAATGTAAATAGTCGAGAAAGTCTGTTAAGGATGGCACCCAGTGCATCCTTTTGAGCCTCATTGAGACAAATATAACTCAAATCAAGAATGAGCATAAACTTTTTGGAATACTTGTCCAATTCAGTTTTAGCAGAAGGTGGTCTGATATTTTCAAAAGATAGTCTCAACACTTTGATAAAATGGAACAATACTTCTCCAAATCCTTCATTAAAGTCAACATCCTTAAGACGAGTTCCTATCAGATAGTATACCATTAGCTTCTCCTCAAATGATGTGAGAATGTTGTTTCCTCTATAAAAAAAGTATTTGCTCTCGGTTGCTGTTCCATCGATCTTTGTAGAGTGTTTCCATATCTGAGAGCATAGTTTAGAGAAAATTTTTTCCATTTGAATCGTGCAGGCGTCAAGAGGCTCATCATCGCTATCCTCGGATTGTAGTGTTGGTGTTTGTGGTGTTGAGTTGAAACCAACTGGCTCACCCAACTTCTCTACGAGCTCAATCACTTCTAAGCATGAGTTCATAATATCTCTAATAGGCTTAATCTCCTTTGTTATACCCTCTTCGGTCATGAATTCAACTATTTGAGGAGAATATTCAAAAAATAGTTTGTAAAACTTATCCAAATCTCGTTTGTCGAATTTAGATAAATCAATGCTCTTAGGATCAACTGCAACATTTAGTTCGCTCTTTTCGAATGGAAGAACGTTTTTGTCCGATGTATCGACTTGTTCAGAGTAATCAATGATGGACATTAAATACTCTCTCATTACATCCTTCTTCTGTACAAGGAAGTCGTTCATACAAATCATAAATCTTTCCTTGTTTCCGAACAAAACATTATTTGCTAAGTTTTGAATTACCTTAGTGATTAAAATAAAATTTCTTTGAGAAACCTTGGTCTTTTTCTTTGTTGTCAAGTTCATGGCATCGGGAGTAGCAATTGCTGGGTTGAAAAAACGTAACATGATATAACCACCAATTAATACTGGTGTGTCCAGTTGTAATGAATCACTCACTTGGCCAATAAAACGAGCAATTAATCTCAGTTCTTTTGGCATCATATCTATCACTTCTGGAGACATCATTTTGTCCAGAAACCTTCCACACCATTCCGTAAGTTTCTCAATATTTTGAGGCAACTTTTTATCACCTTCTTTTTCTTCTTCAAGGGCCTTTGGATCAATTTCAAGACTTCGGTTCTCAAGTATCAGCTCATCACAAAGTGAACCAATCGTGCTTTTCAAATATTGATATCCTACATCTCGTACATACAGACCCAGAGCCTTGCTGTTATCCATAATTTAATTTTAATCGTCGTGTGTTTTTGTGTCCAATAAACGGGGAAGATGATTTCATTGGTTGTATCGTTGTACATCACGATGATCACCTTCATTAAATTGGGTACATACCTAGCAAGAGAATTACTTCTGAAAATTGTTGTGGGCATGTGTTGATATTTACTAATTTCAAAATAGATGAGTTCTTTGATGAGCTGTTGGCTCTTGTTAGTGGCATTAGCGATATCAAGAAGGACCTTGGCTATTTCAAATTCAATCAATGAACAAAAACAACAAAACACAAAACACAAACCTAAAAAGTCTATATCAGATGATGAGGAAACTTCGGACAGAGCTCTAGCATAAGAAGCACTCGATATCAGAGACGCTAGTAGCTCTCTGTATCTTTCGGTTTCGGTAGTGTTGGACATTTTTGCTAGTAGTACATCGGTGGGTTTGGTAGTCGAAAGCAAATAAAGTCTATTAAACCTCAATCACAGCAAGATGGTGTCTGTAGAGATGTGATGAACACAAAGTTACGGAGTGGTGAAGAGGTCGGTTGCTGTCGTGATGAAAAATTTTTATGTAGTTAGTTGAACGATCATCAGAAAGAAGAATTACAAAACAATGTGCTGAATCTGTTCGAGGCGATTCATTTGTGTCGTTTCGTGGATCACCAGATACAAGATAGCTATGTATTTAGCTTTTGAAGGGTTTGATTGAGCCACACCGCAAGGAGAAAGAAGTTCACGGCGCAGCATGCATGGACCTTCTTGTTGGCTCCTTCCGAACATGTTTCCTCAACTCGTGCTGTTCATTTTCGACCTGGAAAATTTGTTGTGGGTTGAATATATTCCTTTTAGAAAACAAATGACAACAAAATCTTTGTGTTGTGATGATATGTACTGGCCTTATCATCTTGTACTTGATTTGAAATTAAATGTAAACGAATCGTATAAATTGTTAATTTCAATATTTATTTGTGTGATGATGAAAGAGACATTTCTGCCCATCAAATTGATAGGCAAGCTTTATGCCCTTGTTCAAAAACTGATTGAAAAAATGAACAGAGCCTCTTCTTTGCTATGCTCCTTCTTCTCTCATCATCTTCCTCGAGGATTTGCAAGAGGTTCTTCGGCAAGAACGAAAAAACACCAATTCATCTTCTTTTTCCCGTATAGAAGTGGTATCATCAGTTCATCATTTCATACCAACAACAAATGTAACGAAGGACCAAAAGGAATGACTGACTTATTCAAGGAACACTTAAAGAGACAAATTCAAAGCAATGAATCCGTACAGGCAGCTATTCGTAGCTATCAAGAAACATTTCTAGCTAAAGGTGTGGAGAAGCTCAAACCTACTTTGTCGAAAGGTAAAGAAGCTCTCTCCAAAGGCTCTACTTCTCTAGATGAAACTGCCGAGAAACTTCTACAATCGGAAACCATGTCTCGAGTTGGAAAAGCTGTAGATTCTGCGTATGATGTTTTGAATCAAAGGGTTGGACTTAAATATATTACTGGAGAATCTGCTGGTAACAGAATTTCGGATTTGAAACGTGCTCCAGTTTTCTTTTTCAGAACGAAATATGCCAGAGAGTTGGATTTATCCAAGGGTTATGTTTACAATCCTTTCACACGAACTTTAGTTAATATTACTGAAATTATTTCTCAGGAGGAATTGGAGGCAGTGATGAAAGAAATTAAAGAAAAACCTGACTTGGGCAAGATGGGAGAACAAAGCGAAGAAGATCTTCATTATGAAAGTGAACGTCAAGAACAAGAAAGAGAGGAGCTTGTAAAATTGTTAACTGCAAGAATGCAAGAGCAAAGAGTGCAGGAGGCCGAGGCAGGAAAACCAAAAGTTAATCCAACTACAGCTGAGGAATTGAAGTTGACAAAAGAAAACTCTCCTGTTATTTCACAGCTCATTGAGCCATATTATACAACTCGAGGAATTATTTGGAAAACTCAACTTCTGTTACAAGAAATTCAACACAAACAAACCGGTAAACATCCAAGTTTATTTTTCAGACTAATTCCTGGAATGGTGGACATATTGAACGAGACATTGCGTTTTGTTGACGCGAGAATTACTCCGCCTGTAAAAGTTAAAAAAGCAGAACAACAGGAGCCCCCTGCAGAGGAGGAATTATCTAAATCATCAGAACAAGCTTTGGCAATTAGTGAATTGAAGAAACGTGATCCTAGATTTGATTTGGATTTGTTACTTGTCACAATGGAGGCTATTGTTATTCCTGAAATATTATCTGCTTATTTTGCTGATGACACACACACTATTAAGAAATTTGTTTCTGAATCTTGTTACCGCCAAATCTTCTTCCCAAGAATTCAGGAAAGACTTCATGCAAAGCACAAACTTGATTCAAAGGTTTTACATGTCGCAGATATTCACCTTTTAACAACTAGATATGATGCCGGTAATCCTGCTCTTGTTATTAGTTGCTCCGTTCAATATACTCACTGCATCAAGAATGAGGCTGGTGAAATTATTGAAGGAGGTCCTAAGGATATCAGACAGGAAACTCAAATGTGGGTTTTGAGACAAGATGAATCTCATGAAACGGATGATTGGTACATTAGTGAGGTTTCAATGATGATAGATCCTGTTAAAATTGTGTAATTTTTGTTGAATCCCATATAGGTGAGAACAAAGATAAACCAATGATCGATTTCCAAACGACCGTTTTGGCGCCTTTTCAAAATTTAAATTCAAAAAAAAAATTTATTGCACATCATCAACCTCTCCACCATTATGGTCCAGTCGTTAAAGTCAAAAAAGCACACATCAAAACTTCATGCACCAGGCCGCAACAAGGGCCACATTCCTATCGGGTCGTTATCATCGAGTAATGATGCCTCCTATCAACACAGCTGGAAGAGCATGTACCATTTACCACCAACGGGGGAAATAACATTGGAACAATTTGAAGAGTATTCGTTTCAACGATTGAAATTACTCAAAATGATAGACACATGGAAAGCAAGAAATATTTCCGTAAAGGCATTACAAGACAATATTATTGAAGAATCAAACAAAATATTTGATTTAAGAGTTCCTCAAGATTTGGATCATTGTGAGCCTGATTGGATTTCTCATCACATTCTGAGATTAGCCTTTGCAAAAAAGTAAGTAATTCAAAATATGATCATATTTTGCCAGAAATTGTACAAATCATATAAGTGAGCAATTGAAACAATGGTTTCTGACTACAGAATGCGCATTATTTGAAAGTAGACTCATGCATGCTTCTCAAGACTCGTATCTCGATATTTTACAAAGAAATGGTATCATTGCTGAGCGAGTTTCTGTTGAAGAAAAAAGAAAACTAGAATCACCACTCTCCAAAATGTTCACAAAATACTATTTCCATCTACAGTATCAACAAAAGGAAAATACTGAAAACGATGGCCCAGTATTAGTGACACACAAATCTCACTCAAATATGGAGAGATTTAACGTTGAAGATACACTTGTTTTTAAAGTTGATTTTGTTTCAGTATTGCAATTGGTTGGAAATCGAAGTGTTTATATTCAAAATGGAAAAGCCTATTTGTTCTTACATGATCTCACTTCTTTGATAAAACAACACTACAGAGCTAATTTAGCAGTGGCATTGGCAAAGATTCAATCTCTCTATCCAGAATATTTGAAAGAGGAGGAGAAGGACCGATTACTTCCTTTCCTTAGAGATGTTATTCCTGCAGCCAGTGAAGGAAAATCTCTCTTCTCCAGCACAGCATCTTTCATGAGTACTGGAGAAGTGAAACCAGAACAAATTGATGCCTTGAGCAAGCAGAGCTTCCCACTTTGTATGAGAGTATTGTATAAGGAGCTGAAAGAAAAGCATCACTTGAAGCACTATGGTAGAATGCAATTCGGTCTGTTCCTTAAAGGAATTGGTCTCAAGTTAGAAGATGCATTACAATTTTGGAAAGATCACTTTACAGCAGACAATGCCATGACCTCTGACTCATTCGATAAACAATACTCATATAATATTAGGCATAATTATGGTAAGGAAGGAAAAAAGACAAACTACTCTCCATATGGATGTACGAAAATTATTAACAACCCTGAATATGTTTGTCCTTTTAAGGTTTTCAAACCAGAAGAGCTAAGAAATGAAATTCGATCTTATGGAGGTGGGTCGTCTTTTGATGAAAAAGAAGTTCAAGAGGTGGTTGACCTTGCCAAAGATCATCACTATCAATTGGCGTGTAGACGATTCTTTGAGTTGAGTCATGGAATTCAGAAAAAGCCAAATAATTTGCAGCTCATTGATACGGAAGATGATGGTGTGCCATTCAGTCATCCTAATTCTTACTTCTCGAAATCAGTTAAAGTGTTGCGAGAGAAGAACTCTGTAGGTAACATTAATAACGCACCAGCTTCTTCTTCAAACCAAGAACCTTCCACAACGGATTTAAATGAAAACTCAATGCAGGACGAAGAATAGAATGTATTAATGGAGTTTGTTGTCAATTTCGAAATAAGGAAGTAATTGCTCCTTATCTTCTTGGCTGGCATTGCTCTTAATAAATGCAATACCCTTTTCCAGAATTTCCCTAGCTTCTGCGACAAAGGAGAATGATGTGTTTGGATACCTTGCACATTCTTTCAAGAACAATGCTGTTTTTTCCATCAAATCCATTCTTTCAAAATCAGTAATGGCTGTTTCAACAAAGCTCTTCAGAGAATGTTCTTGCTTAGTCCAACAATGTTCTAGTTCGGAGCCAAGAATTGCTGTCTTGTGATCTGCAAACATGAAACTTAAGAGTGACATCATAAATTTGGAAAGAATGTTTTCATCATTTTCAAAGTGTAAAATATTCGTGATAGATTCTATGACATGATGATGAGCAAACTTTTCTAAGGTTTTAGGCTGGTTTGAGCTTAAAGCAACAAATGCTGTTCCCAACTTCTTCAAAAGTGCCTTGCTTTGTTTGTTGTAATGCTTTAGTTGATCTTCCAAATAGGCAAAAAATCGAACTTGATATAAATCTTCAACTTGCACTTTAGGATTATTGTGCAAGCATGTACATAAAAGTTGTAATGCAGATAAAACTATTTCTGGATCATCTGCTCTTGGATCAGGATGTGAACGAGCAAGAAAATGTTCAAACACGTATTCAGTTCCTCCCATTTTGTGGAAATCTATTGCATAGTCTATTTTGCTAGTGATATCGTCTATTGTCTCCATGGCTTCTAGAGTTTCATCCATTGATGAATTGGTATTTTGCAACACTTCATAAGCCTTTTTCATCACAGTGAAAGGATCGTTGCCTTTCATTTGTGATGCAATATACTCTAAAACTTCTCGTTGTTGCGGAGTTAATGAAAGTGTTGTTCCCTGCTGTTGATGATGTGCAGCTTGACTTCGAAGCAATTCCGGTGAGGAATTTGCTACTGCCCAGTCGAAAAGTTGCTTCATTGGATCTCCATTATTTGGCATCATTTTTTTTATTGTTTTTCTTTTGGTGATTCCTCCTTTGTTTGATCTTTAAATAGATGAACAGCAAGGAAAGCTTCTTCCGATAAACCGATGATTCCGATCTTCACTACCAATAAAAATAATAGTAGAAGCTTGCTGAAACGTTTTGCATTGTATTGGACGTAAGAAGACAATATGTTCACGAGTTTATAATCATGAAATTAAATTTTTAATTATTACCAATACCAGACCGTGTTGTGTTGGTTGCTTGGACCAATTAAAAAAAATATTTGGTTCATCATGGAAAAGGTGAAAGAAATTCGCAATAATTTTCCTGATACTACTGAGGTATCCTTGGAAAATTGTGGGTTAAACTCTCTTGATGATATTTTGAACGTTTTGGGGGAATTAGCGAATTTGAGGGTTCTAAGATTAAGCAACAACAAGCTTACAAAGCTCCCGACAGACATGAGTCGGCTGAGTAGAGTCGAGTACCTTGATTTGACTGGAAATCGTTTTGAACGTATCGATGATATTTTACCAGGGCTTTGCTCCTTACCAATGCTTAAACATTTGGATATTACTTTGGCTGAGGAAGGTGAGGACGAGCTTATTATCAATTTGGCAAACCTGCTTACGTTCAATGGTACACCCCTTACAGATATTACGGATCAGCAATATGATTACAACGAAGTGAGCATGTCCCCAATTAAAGGCAATGAATCAAAAGACTCTGTCCCACGTCCAGTGTTTATTGAAGTTAATGACTCCGACTTTGAAAGTAAGTTCTTTGTACATTTCTCTTTTAACCAATTACACGTGAAGACTCACGCAAACTGTTTGAGGCTACCCAGCTTTATTTAGGACTTCGGGAGAGCTTTGTTCATCTTTCTGCTGATGTTGTGTCTGAGTTAAAGCAAAGGACAAAAACTGAAACTGATCCATTAAGATTCCACAACGAAGTTACTAATGCCAATAGAATCATATTCGATAGATGTTTTGAGTCCATCATAAATCAAGTGTCCAAGAATGACAAAAAGCTTGCAAGCATTATGACAATTTTGAAGAATTCATACAGTGGACTATTGGAAGACTCATACAACTTTATGGATCAGTCTTTGCAAGAGTTCGGAAAACGAGTGAAAGCTCTTCAAAAGGATTTGGATGGTGCAGGTAAGTATTGATATTTCTTCAAAAAAATCGTAACGTCTTTTGAAGACCAAGAAATCGGACAACTTCTGGAGGCCGCTGAATCTTTGCAACAAACTGCGTCCGAGAGTGAAAACGCAAAGAGAAAGATTCTGGTCGGATGGGAAAAGGAAAGAGAACAGATGGGAGAGGAAATTGGGTTCCTTAAAAACGAACTTGAAAGTAAGTATATGAAACAGACATTGAGTTGTATCTTCAACTTTCTTTAGAATATAAGAACAGATTGACTCAATTCCAACTCAACAAACAAAAGATTGCTACTCAGATATCTACCTCACCTTCAAAGATTCTAAAAAGTGTTTCCCCATCGAATAATTCGTTTAAGATTTCTCAATTAACCATTAATACGAACACTAAATCACTTACTCTTCGTCAATTAAAAGACATAATCGAGGAAATTTACGCCTCCAAACAAAAGTTTGACGAAAAGTGCGCAGAAAACAAGTTACCAAGAGAAACAATGGAACAATATTTGTATACTTTCCTTAACCAAAAGTATGGTCTTAAAAACTTGATTTTGGAGTACGCATCTTCAATAATTCAAGGAGTGAAAAGATATAGTCATGAGGATAATGACGTTGCTGTATTTGGCAAGATTATTAGAAATGAGATTGACGAAGAATTCAGATTTGTTCAAAAACAGCTCAAAGAAACAGTCGCTGAACTGCTAAAAGTGTTCCTAAGAGGAAAGTACTCTAAAAAGCTTGATTCTGAAATTTTAGCCATGCACCAACAAAGAATGAATGGAGAGTTAAACGAGGAAGAATGGGTCGATATTGTAAAATACATGTACAACAAAGAGGACTCACTCAACATTATCATGAAGGTAACAGAAGCAGTTCAAGCCATTCAAACAAAGATGAACAGAGGAAACAGCAGAATGTCATCTCCCTCAAAATCAATGGCAAGTTCCAACAGGGTACCATACAAAGTATTCATGAAGGTGTTGCTGACCTATCAGCTCAGAGGTCATGAACAATTTTTGTATAAGTTCGTTAAGATTTTCAGACAAGTAGATTCAGACAAGAATGGAGTCTTGAGCGAGAGTGAATTCAAACAACTCTTGGCAACTATCAATCCAAACAGAACCGAAACAGAATACAATCAATGGTTGAGCTATGTGGATCCTTGGAACAACCAGCAAATTACTTTCTCAGAGTGTGTGACATTCTTGTCAGCAGAGCTGTTGAAATTGGTTAATGAAAAGACCTCTCAAGGTACCAACGAGTCTGATGTTCCTTCTGAAGAACAAGAAGAGTACGACTTTGATACCAATGAAAACGAAGAATTGTAAAAGTTTACTCCTCTTCCTCAATTTTCTTTTTCTTTTCTTTCTTTTCTTTCTTTTCCTTTCTTTTTCTTTTCTTTTCAGATTCTTCAGAAGCCAGAGTGTTTTCAGGCACTGTTGAGTCTTTTGTTGGTGAGCTTGTTTGATTTTCAAGCGAATCAGAATTTGTTGTTTTTTCTTTCGACTTTTTTTCGTTGGTTATTAATGGACTCTTTCCTAGGATTGCAGCTAAATCCTCTTGTGAATAATTGCTTGTCATTTTCGATCGTGCTCTTCTGTGATGATGAATACGGTTGATTTTTGTCTTTGTTTCTTCTTTGTTAATTTTCATAGTTGATTCTTCTTCATCACTGCTGCTACTACTACTACTTGAAGAATCTTGTTGTGATGTTGTTGTCTTTAATCGTGATAACACTTCCGAGAAAGAAGACATCTTTTGACAAACCGTTCGTTCCTTCTTGGCTTCTTCATGTGCACCAATTCCTGCTGTATCTGTTTTAAATGCAACTTTTACGTGTTCTGTCATTCCATCTCTCTTTTTTCCAAGTCCATCTCCTTCTTTCCATCCCATCTTTTCTAAAAGTTTAAATCCGAGACGTGATTTATCTTCGGCCCATCGCTTATTATTTGGGTCTTCTTTAAACATGAATTTCGCACTCTTATATTTTGGCATTTTTTATTTGATCCTCCAATAAAAAGTTGAAGAGAAACGCTTTGAAATTTTGTGTCCACACATTACGCATTATTATTCATTGTTTTTAAAATATGGAAAATGACTTATTATTCAACAGTTTCATCATTATTGGTGATTTTGAGTGTCATGTTTGGTATAAAGACTCGTTCAATCTCGCACTCTTGATTCTCTTCATTATCACCATCATCCGATGTCATTTCCGATTGATTTTTGTAAAATCTTGCACTGTGATAATCTTCTTCATCAATGAAATGACCAAAACACATTCTCTCAACAAATTCATTCCATTCTTTACAAACAAACCGTGGTGGTGGAAGATCACTTTCATATTCATCGACTTCTAACAGATAAATTTCTTGAGGCTTTTCACAATGCCAAGCATAGTAGAGAGTTTCTTCAATGGAATCTCTGGCAAAGACAATCATCTTACTGAATTGAGAATCGTAATGTTGACTGAGAAGAGTTTGTTTCATTTCAGTACTAGTGGTGGTAGTTGTAGCAGTAACAGATTCTTGATCATCTTCTGAATGTGCATTTAATTCTTCCGAGTCATCTTCTTGATTCATTTCTTCTTCTTGTTGTGGATTCAACATTCTGTGAAATATGTTTTGAATTCGTTTTGTGTGAAATCGAATATCAAATTGATGAAAAGTAGAACCAGTATAAAGACCATAGATTTGAACTCTTCCTAACTTTCCACTTCCGAAGGTTTTCATGAAATGAATGTATCCTTTCAAATGATCCTTTTGATTTGTGATATTCAGAGACTTGACTTGTTCCCATAATTCCTCCTCCGATGGAATTCTCACTTGTGTGAGTGTGGGAATGTTGCGCAGTCTGACTTCAAATTGAGACATTTTTTAAAAGACAAAGTTCGAATTAAAAGACCAAGCAAGCTTCATCTTCTTCGTCTAACGTTCAAAAGAACAATTCTGCATTTCCAAATATTAGTTAAGGCAGCATTCAATACCATCACCAACCTACAGATCACGTCTGTCAGACTCCATAACGAAGGACTATCGCAACTCTTCTTTCAAGGACAACAACCAATGCCCATGACGCAAAAATAAATCTCGCTTATGGTCTCGCTCAGCAATCCACTTGTCAAGTTGATGTTGGAACGCGTTGATCTTTTGTTGGAGTATCCTTCTTCTCTTTTCTGTTTGCTTAAAATAAGAAGTCCATTTCTGAAATATTGAGCTCTGATAGCTTGCCTCATTTAGAGTGACATTGTCATCAATCTCGATCAACGGCTTGATCTTTTCAATTTCAAGAGACTGCTTATTTTGAGTTTCAATTTTCTTGTGAATTTGTGCTAATTCATCTTCGATTCTGTTGAGCACAGCAACAAGGTTCTTTTTTCCAAAATCTAGAGATGAGCTGCTGCTACTTGTGCTTGGACTTGAAATACTGAGTGGTGAATCCAAAGTATCGCATTTTGAAACTTCGAAATGGTTAGGGTCGGAAATGCTCTCCTCCAATAACTTGATCTTTTGCTTCCTTAATTTGATCAAGTTTTGAATCTCATTCACTCGTTTCACATCATTATTGAGACTGTGAGCTTGTTTTTCCAGATGCTGTTTAACACTTTTTAAAATTCTACTTGTGTATTGTTGTGATCCATCATCGACAGAGCTAGAGTTAGCGACATCTGATTTCCATTCTTGTCTTGCTTGTTCAAGAGCTGCTTGACGAGATCGAATAGTTTCTTTCTCCTGTTCACAAAATTCTTTAACCTTTCTAAGCTTTGCTTTTTCATCTGAAATTTTCTTTTCCACCTTTTCCTTATAGAGATAGTATTCAGAACTATGCTTCTTGCTTATTTGAGGAGATGTGTTTTCTTTCATTAGAATAGGACTTAGAACAGGACTATCAATCTTGGGAGTGTCCCCATTCTTGCTCTTGACAAGAATTGGTTTAAGAGGTGTTTTAACTGTGTTGCTCTTGTTGATTGGAGATCTGTCTTTTGGTTCACACTGTATCCCCATTTCAGTTGATGGAATTTGTCCATCTGTTTGAGAAGTTGTTTCTCGTGTTTGTAGCAGGGTGGTCTGACAACACTGGCTCACTGATCGAGGTTTTAATTGCTGAACATCTTTTTGAATGGGAACAGCTTCAGTTGTTTGTGAGGCAGAATCTTTAAGGGTCATACTTTTCCAAGTGTTGCACCCCGTTGAGGCCAACTCTACTTTCAACGTCTGTGATTCCATAGGTATTAATTTGGGAGAATCTGTTTGAGCAGATGATGTTCTGGTTGGATTTAATTTCATAGCAGCAGGTTCAGTTCTCTGTGTTTGCAAACAAATGTCTGTCTGTACCGCAAAAGTATCAGTGCTGTTTCTAATGAAATTGTCAAAATCAGTTTGTGTTTCCTTTGAAATTCTCTCTTTTTGAAGTGATTGATTTGTTTTGAGTTTCATGTTCTCCTCATAAAGTTCATCTGCTTCTTGTCTGGCAAGAGCAATTTGTTTTCTGTTCTCGATAAACATATCTTGAACTTGTTGTTTGTGTTTGTTAGTGAGCTCCTCCTCTTTTTCGGCAAGGGCTTTTTCTAACTTCTTTGAAAATTCTTTGTCCAATCTTGATTTTTGTTCCAGTAATTCTGCTTCAATTTGCTCATTAACCACGTGTAACGTGTTGATTTTTCTTTGCAGTTCAAGTTTTTCCTTAGTTGAAGATTCAAGTTGCTGTTCCAATGATGATATTTTCTCTTGAAGTTTTTGCAACTCAATAGGCGACGTGTTTCGTGAAGATGCACTCGACACGGAGCTGCTCTCATCATTAAGCTTTTTTTTAGACAATAAATCTCCATCTGATTGCCTCATGATCGGTTCTAATTTTCCTAATTGCTTCTTTTTTGTTTTCAGTTTGGGTTTTTTTGTTGCTCTCTTCATTCTCTCTTCCTTGACTTTTTGCTTGTAATACGCATCTAATGGATGATCCCATATCGACTCTCCAGTGTGAAAATTAAAGTAATAGAGTTGACCATCACTTTGGCATGGCCTCCATCCTTCCGGAAGTGGTGCCTTTATACCCTCTCTTGCAATGTCCAATAATTCTGGTTCTAATTGAGGGTCAATTCCTAAAAATTCTGCATATTTAAGAACATCCTCTTCCGTTGGCTCCTCCTGCTCAATCAAAACATCATCCCCTTCAGCCAAGTCTTCGTCCATTTTTTTAACGATTTGTTTTTCTTAGTAGCGGGAGTTTTTGGCGCTGTGGTTTGGAATCGTCATCACAATCAGAAATATTTCTCTTAAACTTTTTTATATGTATACAATTCCCGTGTAGTCCAATGGTTAGGATACCTGGCTTTCACCCAGGAGGTCCGGGTTCGATTCCCGGCATGGGAGCAACTTTTAATAATTAAAAAAATAGAAAATCTAACATTAATCTATAAAGAGATTATGGCATACAAACATACTTTTTTTGGGAGTCCTATCTCAACAACTACTTATCAAAAAAAGATTGTTTTTGGTTTGAAGGGGTTGATTTGTTGGGTCATTGTAGTTGTGGTTTTGGTTTGGGTTGTTGTTTGGGCTTTGGATAGGTTTGGTCAATTCAACAAAATATGTTTGTATGTTATTATGTGTAATCCCGAAGTGGAGTCCACTCTCCATACAGTGACAATGTTCTGTTGTTGTTTCCTTCAATTCTGATTCGTTTGGAGAATTGGGAGAAGTGTTCACTGCAAGCGATGGACTCGATGTGCTGTCTGGAAGAGGTGAATTCAATAGTTGATAATTCTTCACATCCACTTGATTTCCATCCTTCTCTTGAGTACCTGTTTCCATATGGTTCGGATTGTTTGAGGATGATTTTGCAGTTTCCTCAACAAGTAATGGACTAAATAACAACAAGACAAAAATTGCAAAAATTAAAATTCCAAAACATTGCAAAAAGTAATCAATCATATGAAGATGACTGGCATAGAGAGAGGTCAGAGCAGAAACCACTCCTGCTACTAATTGTATCCAACCACTCATGGTCATACCAATGAGAAGTCCGACAATTCGTGAATAGGGTTTTCGCCAGATACTTCTAAAGGCACTTTTTGGGGTTGAGAATGGAAGAGAGATTGAGCCTTGACGATGGAAGTTAGTCGAGAAAGATGGCTGTTTGAACAATGAGCATGAAAAGAGTAATGAAGAACAAACACAAAACCACAGGAATGATATCAAGTTTGGCAAGAGTTTTGATACGAGTATAGAGATTGAAAATATTATTCAGTGCAATAAGAACAGCAGCCACAATGCAGAAGATCACTGTGATGATATTAATGAAATACACGAGAATTTTGTATGTTTTCTTGGTCATTGCTCCTGCAAAAGGACTGTTTTTAAACTTATTGCGTTTTAAGGTAAATTAAAATTACCACCCGAAATGAGAGGTTGAAAAACACATCTAGTGTACTTACAACATGTTTTGAATGAAACACATAATGACTAAAATAGAGGTGAGTTGAGAAAATACCAAAATATTTTCGATTGTTCCCGACACCCATAAAGTCACTCGGTAGCCAAAAATTGGATCATAATTATCTATGATTTCCACATTGTCGATTCCATTAAGATATATTCCAACTCCATTGTAAACAATTCTTGCCAAAAGACCAAAATATTGAATTAAAATAACAACAGATACAAGCAGCAATAGAATTATTTGATTTTTCTTCATGTAAGAACGGATTTTTAGATAAAACGAAAGAATTATGACCATCATGAAGGAATAGGCAACAACAAAAAGAACGGAGTTAACTAAAGAGGAAGCATTTTGGGCAAACGTTGGCAAAGTGGAGTTGTTGTTGGATGAAATATTGGATGACTGGCGTTGAAGCAAAGTTGTGTCCATAGGGAAGATCGCGTTTTCATCGTTTTGGAGGTGCATATGTGTTATTGTTTTTTGACATGACCCAAAAAAGTAAATCCCTTCAAAATTGAATGCAAAAGAACCTAGGTCCGGACAAAAAAAATCGGATGACTTTTTGCATAAAAACATTATTTTCGATCAGTATGATATGTTTTAACGGCAAGTTGTTTTGAAAAGATCGCTTATTCAAAAATTTTCTTGAAGTTCTAAAAGTAACTCCCCCAAGTGGGCTCGAACCACTGACCTGCAGATTAACAGTCTGACGCTCTACCGACTGAGCTATGGGGGAACTCGATATAATCAAAGACAGATTATGATAAAAAGTTTAACTTTATTTTAGGAACTAAAATTTCTGGAGGAAAGAGTTGAGGGTAATTAACCTTGGATTGGAGGAATGAGTGACTCGACTTTGCACACTACAAATTAGCAGGCTGGACGTTGAAAAAATGGTTTTCTGAAGAGATTCAATTCCACCCTTGCACACCCAATTTCAATAAAAAAAACCGTTTTGTCCTCCTAATATATTGTGAAGTCTTGTGTTTCTCAACAACAAGCCTCATGCAAATGCCAATAATTGTGATTCTCAATTTTGGGAAAGTGCACAAATGAGAATCTCACAAAACGGTTTTCCCGAAAGAGTTCCCTTGACGAACAGTTCCACCAAACACAAAAGGCAAATATAAGGTGCTGATTTGGTGATGATTCTTTTTGATCCTGTCTGTTCGAGAATTGTAACTCATTAGCGCTGGTCAGTGTTGATATTTGGAAGAGATTATGCAAAGAACACTTATACCTCACACAAAAAAAAACCTTAACATTCTTCAAACTCGAGCATTAAGTTGATCGTCATCTTGTATGTCCAAAGATCGTAACCCCAGTTCTCCCCCTACTTTCACATGTAACCGCGTTAGGTACATGTCGCCAAGTGAATGCGAGGAAAAGCCCCATGCAGGTGGTGCAAACCTTCGTCCAGTCGTCTCATCATCCTCTCCTCATGAAGAGAGATCCTTCCACTGTGAGGAATCTCCTTCTTACTATACCCCTGAAGATGCGATTTCACCACCCAATAACCACCGTCCAAAAAAGACAGAGAAAGTTTTTTCCGAGCCTTACACCCACTTTGTACCATCAAATTCTACCTTTAATGGAGAGCCTTCCCTGGAAGTGAGTGTGCCAACAACAACAACAAGCGCAAGTCCACAACAATCGCGCTTCAACTCTGCAATTCAAAAACCCGCCACACAACACAGACTGGTTGCTCCCCAGCGCGAGCTTGAACCACACAACTTCCCCAAATTGACTCAAAAGGAAAATAAGGCATTCATCTCCCTTAATAAGATATCCTCCATTCCACAAGGGCGCACGATGAGCAATCAGCAAACCAACCAAAAACAATATTTCTCACCGGTTGAAGCAAACCGTTCCAATCTGTCCCACAACCAAGGTCAAAACATGGTTCAGAGAGATGAAGGCAGCGATGAGCAATACATGGAATTTAATTCAGGACAAAACCACAATCCTCCTATTGAACGAGGAGATTCCTCTCCGATGATGAATCCTCTTCGACAGCATCAACAGCCACCTTACAGTTCGGCCAATCATTCTTCTCCATGTAACAGCTTCCAAGCACCACATGGAGTATATTCTTCCTACGATCAAACACATCAGCCTCTTTACAATAATCATCAACATTCCTACCCCATGAATCAAGGCTTTGAGATACAGCATCAACAACAACAACAACAACAGCCTCACATGGAGCTCACTCACAACGAAACTGCACTCACATCCAGCATGTACAATGCTGATGGCGGCATTCAGAGAGAAAGCCTCGCTCGTCGTCCTTACTTGCAAACTCTTCATCTTTCAACTCCTTCTACTGGTTGTGTCTCACATGTTGCATCCGCTTCATCATTGCTTCCTTCTACAAATTCATACACCTCTACTGCCATCATGGAGAACCCTGTTCGAGAGGATAACAGCTTAAATCATAACTTAGGTAATGAAACATGTAGTAATCCTCTTTTAGATCAGCAAAATCTACAAATTGTACCACCTTTGGAAGAAACAAACTCTAAAATCAAGGCATCACCAACAATTCCTCCGATAGGCATGCTTAAGGCAACATCCTTAGGAAAGAAAGTTAATGGCAGGTATACCAAGCTTCGAAAGCAGCTGAGATCATTTGGAGGTGATTTTACCGACAATTACTTTGTTTTGGATATCGCAGCATCTTCTTCAGACAGCAAAATCAATAGCTCTGCCAATACTCCAGGAGGTTCATCCATGCCTCCCTCTAAAATTGCAAAGAAACAACAACAACGCAAATATGATCTTTCAAACACAACTTCGCACCACATTGTAACCACACCAGAAAGTGATAAACAACAACACCAACAACAACAACAACAACTCGAGAGAAAATCACGTGGTGGAAGTGGTGGATCGAAACGAACTGCAAACAGGCACTTCACTCATCAACAATTTGAACCCATCTCCACAACACCCACTCCAATTATTCCAATAACTTTGAACTCTCCTCCTTCAGCATCCTATCATAGAAACCTCTATGCATCGAGTGATATCATGCATGAAATGTGTCCTTCTCCTTCAACAGCTACTAGTTACTTGTATCATAGCCAAAGCACACATCAGATACCTTCTTTTCTATCATCTCCTCAACAGTCAAATCCTCCACAACAATTTTCATTATCTTCACCATCACATCCATCATATATTCCATATTCTTCGGTAAAAACAGCTGAGATAATCGGTTCACAAGCATCAGGTCAAGAAACGTTGAAATTAATGAACGAACAACAACAAGTGCATACATCACGACATTCTTCAATCTATGGACATCAAGAAACAGTAGCCACACAGTATAATGATCCTCATCATCGGCAAATGTCTGAACAATACTTTAATTGCAGTCGAAAGAACAGTATTGGTGCAAACACTTCACACAACGAGCCCAATGAGGATTCCTCTCAAGCATTGTTGAACTTTTTGGTCACTCTAAATTCTTCAAGTGGAAATACACAGATCATTGATGAAAATACGACAATTTCCTCAATGCTCTTGTCTTCCAAAGAAAGCACTACCTCTCATCCACAACACCATGTACCAACAGTTAATTTTGTGGATCAGAATATGACCTCTTCTCGAACAACTTCATTAATTGGACAGCTAGATCTCATGCCACCTGAAGATAAATCACTCTACCTTAATATGCTGTTGAATGAATTAAAACATCAAAACAACAACAAGTAAAAAACATCAATTAAAATAAGAGCATCACTTGTCAGCAAAGATTCACAAAAAAAATCTTCGATGAACGACACAGAGAAATTGATAATGATCATATTTTGTATCTTTTTGCCTCCTGTTGCAGTGGCTTGCGTAAGTAGAAGTACACATTCATCATCATTATCCTATCATATTCATCACAATATATTGCCATCACCACAAATGACATCATCTCTGTCAACAACAACAAGTCACGAGGACTACATATCCATTTATATCTCAATATTTTCCTAACCTTGCTTGGATTCATTCCAGGTATTATTCATGCGTTCATGGTTGTGTTTTCCATCTTGTAAAATTTTCGTGAGAGAATGGAGAGTACCGATGGTGATGACTGTCATCACCACCATAAATATCATTGTTAGGAAGTCAATGAAATTAATAATAATAAACGTTAAGTAATCATGTTGCTATGAAACTTTTCATCACCTCATGACAAAGACAGAAAGCACTCTCTTGCAATCCAACAGAGACGATGATGATGTAGTGATGTCATGTGTATTATTATTTTAGTATGATTTTAAATCAACACACAACTTCAGTTTAATGTTCTAACTTTCACAATCTTCATCAAAAAAAATGCTCCAAACATCATCCTCCAAGAAAGTTTCCTTTCAATCATCGGAATTGAATGATGATGATCATTCTCAAGATCACTTCGAGGAACGGAAGGAAGAAAAGAAGCCATTCACTCCCAAGACACAAGGAAAGAAGAGATTTAAAACGGTAAAGGGAAGAAAATCAGAAACAAGAACAGCGGGAATTAAACATCAAAAGGCTATCCTTATTTATCACAAGCTCATAGATGATGCTATCCAAAAGATTATTTTCTCTCTCATTGATCAAGAAGAAGTATCAGAGTTATATTTGGATTTTGTTTGCCAACTATTACAACCATTACATTTTGAAAATGTTTTGGAAGAGAGAAACGCTTCGGGATGGTGCGGAAATCCTCTATGCCCAAAAGAGATTGATCAAGAAGAGCTTGGAAAAAATCCAAAATATTATATAGACATGAAGAAACTAAAGCTAGTTGATGTTTCAGGCTTTTCACGAAGATTATTTTGTTGTGATAATTGTAAAAAAGTTGCTTTTACCAAGATGAACGCGTGTAGTACCACAATTCCATATACAAGAAATTGTACCAAGCTTTTGTACATGTTATTTCCTGAACTTGGGGAGGAAAAACTTAATTTAATAATCACTAAGGCAAAACAGTTGGCCCTTGACGATAAAACTGCCACTATTTGCATTGACTGTAAAGGAAAATTTGAACCCAAAAAAACCAACAATTGGAGCTAATGATCCACTCAATTGTGAAAGTGATTCTATAGAAGGGTTTACGCCTAAAGTTTATAGTCAAAACCAGAATACTGAGAATGATGGAAGATCTAAAATTAAGAAGATTGGCTATTTCTTTGAATCGTGTAGTGAAAGTGATGGAGAAGAAGAATTTGATATGAATGAAATCAAATTAGATGAATTTCAAGAGCTATGGACTTTATTTTCACGGCTCGTGACAAAGAGCACAATAAGATATTTCCAAGATTTTGATATTGGAACTTCACATGAGCCAGTGACGCAACAGTGTACTAGGAACTCCTCCAACAATAACAAAGTGAATGAATTGAGAGGACTTAGTTACGAAGAAATGAAAATATATCAGGAATTGTATAAAGAAGTTGGTATTGATATATCAGATGACGTTGAGTCTATAAAACCAACTGCAACTTATGAGATTTATAGCGAGGATGGTGCAACTATTAAGGAGGAAGTCCATTTAGAACGATTTCAAGTTTTGTCTCAGGCATTAATAGACATTGTGCCTAAGGTTTGTGATGCCATTGGCTACTCAAACTATGGAAAAATTAGGAAGCAATTCAATGATATCCTCTCAACATTCAGCTATGAATATTCCTTACCTTCCTTGGATGGAAGGAAACTCAAAATTATGGGATTTATTATCCTCAAGCTTCTGGCCATGAAGGATAAAGATTTTATGGAGAACTTGGTAAATCTCAAAGAAAAACAAACCCTAGAGTTATTTGCTCCAAACCATGTTCCCCACAAAAACACACCAAAGGTGAAAAGGTCGCAAAAGAGACTTTCTTTTGAAGAACAGATGAAGCTGTTGGAGGAATCCAAAGAAACCTTGACCAAGCAATTAGAAAATTATGGAATCAAAGAATCACAGCAAGGTCTACTCACAGATGTTCTTGTTTTTGGAGTATATTAAACGATTTAATAATCGCCTAAATTTAGTTTACACTGTATCTTCGCAATAATTATTCGTGCAACAAGAGCTCCGTTGCCAAGTGTATATCATTGTTTGCTTGTCGTAATGCAATTTCACATTGTGTACGAGAAAATCCCATATTCATTAATTGTTGAATATTATCTTCAGATACGTTGCCCTGCAAATTGGATAATTGGTCGTGATCTTGAGTCATGAAATTGTCATGCATAATATTTTGTGGTTGTTGATTTCCTTGATTACTGGAGCCCAAATTTCTATTTACAGATGTGGCAGGTCTGGCTGATGAAGTTTGATAATTGTTTGGTTGTAACAAGGGTTTCACAACCTCAGAAGCAAACTTTACAAGAAAGGCAGGGAATTTGAGTTTTCTATCTAGCTTGAAAATATTACACAGCAGATATTGATACACAGTTCCTGAAATAATACCGCTTACTGCTGGCAAGAGAGAATGAGGGAAGTTGGTCAACAAAAATTGAATGACCAAAATATAAATTGTTTGCTTGTCGCTGACGGGCAGAATATTGAATATTTTCATGTGAGCGGTCGGTGGAATTTCAAAAATATAAACAACCAAAGCAGCAAACATAAATCCATAGGGTCCACTAATGAGAGATTTTCTATTTTGATTTAACGTCCAGTTCAATAAATAATGAAGAATTAATGAAGAGTAGGTGGTAAATAAAAAGAATTTCTTTTGAATTGTAATCCGGTGGTGAGAATCGATTTACTAAAGCCTTCAACTTACTATGAAAATAATTATCTTGATATATTAAAGATCCGATGCTACATACCTGCAAATTTCTGTGTTCCCCAATGTCTTTCAAACAATCGGAAAAAGTAAATCACAATACAACCAAGTAATAATTCAATTGTTGATGAAAAAACAAAGTGTCCACTAAATCCATATTGTATGACAGACAGTATCAAAGATGATTTTTGAGAAAATTCCAATTTATCCCTTCCGATAATTGCTTTCATGAAATTCATCAGCAAGATCAAGCCTAGCAATGCTTTAGAGAACGGAGCGTTCACGAAACCTGTTCGGCTTGATTGCATCATTTTTAGTGCTATTTTTTGGTAGGAATATTGGCAAATTGAAATTTATATCGAGTTGTTGGGTAAATTGAAATGCATTTAAAATTGTTGTTATTTACAAAATTTAAAAGAAAATAATAAAAGTTGCAATCGTGAATGCTTAAAAAGAGTCACCTGGGCAGGTTAAGCCTGCTTTTAGTTTTTCCACCTTCACTTTGTAAAGATTAAGGCAGTAGGAATACCACAGAGAACTTGCAGCAATAATAAATGCATGCCAGATATTGTGAGAGGAGAGGAAGAGATCAAATTTGCCTGGGAAAAAACGCTCTGGCATTTTGGTCAGCCAAAACAAAAGACCAATTCCATACAAGGAGACCGTTATAATAATTCCAATGAAAAATTCTTGATTAAATTCTGAATGGAAACCACCTGTATACTCTTGTTTGAGTGGGAGAATAAATAACAGGAAGTGGCTGATGGGAATAATAGCACTTAATACCATCGAGATGAATAATACAGTTCTCACAATCCTAAATATTTTGAGAGCTCTTTGACTTTTGAAGGGTAAGCAAGGGAAAATCATTCCCACAATAGCAAATAACCCAATGGAACTAATATAAACAATTTGCCATCCAACATAACAATACAGATTGAAATAAAGAGCAGGAATGATACTGCTTCCAATAAGTCCACTTATTGCAGAAACGTCACACCTGTAGGAAATGCTCCAAATCTTCTTCGAGTGACAGCTTAAGGTATGATACATGGTTGAACAGAAAAAACAGTTAATCGCCATTCCAAGATAAATCATTATTATGAACATGTCTAAAACATTTTGTGCATTTGCACCTGTGTTGTGAACAATTACCATAAAATAAATAGTATAAAAAACAAGAGCTAGAAATCCAAAGATAGGTAACAAGTGGGTCCAAATATTCACTGTTTCATTGTGAAGTTTAAAGATACTCTGTAAACATAACTTGAGAGAGAAGTACTTTCTGTAATGTCCTCTAATATAAGGATTATTACGTAAAAAATCTGAAAAACTTCCTTGTCGTCCTACTCGAGAAATTCCTCATACTTACCTGGTGTTTCGTCAAAGGTACAAAGGCAAAATTGGGTCTGAAATTTAATTGTCTTTCCTGAATCTTCTTGGTTGTGTGGATTCTTGAGGGTGTCATGAGGATCATGTACTTCACTCGCAGAGTCATGCTCAATAAGCTTTTCTTGTTGCTCTTCATTTTGTTGTCCATGATCCTGTGCTACAGCCGCATGCATATCATGCTGACCATCAATCTCTTGCTCAGCTTTAATTTCCTCTCGTGAACTACTCCTTGAATGACTTTGTCTTTGAGGTTCTGATGGTTGCTCTTCTTCTACTTGTTCTTCTTCTTCCATAATCTCTTTGAGAACGTTGAAAGGTGTCACTGTGATCAGCTTTAAAGCTGTCTTGCTCTTCTTCTTGGTTGCATGGGCAAATCTCTCTGCAACTTCTTCAATCTTATTGATAGGTCTTTCTTCTGCGTGATTTGATGCATTAAAGCTGTGGTCAGTTACTTCATCACCTGTTGATGTAAAGTCTGTTGTAGTGGTCTCTTCATGAAGATGATGGTGGTGCAGTTCATATTTTGGAAAGTGAGGTTTTAGAAGTTTGTTTGGATAATGATCATCAAGAGGTTGATTTTCATTCAATTCTTCATCCTTTTGCAAAATTATTGCGTGATGGCCTTTTTCGTTATTTTCCGAAGATGAGGATGGAAGAGGATGGATAGATGCAGCAGTTTGGTTTTCATATTTGGAAGAAACATCTTGTCCATCAGATTGAAAGATCTCCTCCTCCTTTGTACCGTCTGTTTTGTTCATCTGTGTGATAAGAAGGATGATGATGTATTGATCTTTTTGAAAGATTGAGAGTGCAACGAGTGAGGGTTTGCAGTGCAGTCTTTCAACGCATCAAGTTGAATTTTTTTTGGTTTGAAAATGAATATTCATTCTTCGGAAGTACGCAATTTTACTTCTTTGGAGGTGATTTGAAATCACACTGTTGCTTGAATTGGATCTCTCTTAACCCTTCAAGACATGTGGTTTAGCACTGAAAGCACTGCTCCTGAGCACTGAAACTTTCAATATATGCTCCTCTTTCGCTATTATCGATCACCCATTAATTTAGAAAACTAAAAAAATGACTACAACTCTCGCAAACCCAATTTTATCTTCTGGCGGGCTTGATTCATCATCGGAAGCAAGTGTAAACTCAACATCTCCCTTTCAAGATTCTACTCACCGAAAGAACTGGATTTTTAGCAAGGATCAATTAATAGAGATTAGAAATAAATCATTGGAAAAGGTTAAAGAACAAATATTGCAGCTTCAAGAGAAATATACAGAAAAGCTGAGTGCAAATGATTTACTATCACCAGAAGAGGAATCATTGATCGTATTAAAATACTCCGAAATGTTGTTGGAAATTTCAACACAATTGAAGTATCCTTTGCACGTGAAAGCCACTGCTCTAACTTATTTGAAACGCTTTTATTTAAAACATTCTATTATGGAATATGACATTGTTTTCATGATGCTCACCTGTATATTTCTGGCTACAAAGACAGAGGAAAAGTTTGTCGCTCTGGCACAATTTCTAGAGAATGTAAACGCAATCACTTCAGGTGCTGGGACCTTAACATCTCAATTTATATTTAAGAACGAATTGATATTATTACAAGGACTGGATTTTAATTTGATGGTCTATCATCCATATCGTTCATTGTACGCTTATGCTCATGATTTGCATGACATGTATGGTAATGACGCAGATACTCTCTATGAAGGAGCTCAACAAAAAATTACAGACCTCATCAAATCAACCGATGCCATCTTTTTATATATACCACCGGTGATAGCTCTTGCAAGTTTGTACATTGTTAACGCTGATGTTGCAAAGAATTTCATTTCAAAAAAGTTCCCAACTCAAGAAGCACAACTATTGAGACAGGTAGAAGAAATCAAGACAATTTATCTTTCATCAACACTTGAAAAATCAAAGATAAAGTCAGCTGAAAAGAAACTGAAAAAGATTCGAAAAATTCTCAAACCTCAGCTGGAAGAATTAGAAGAACGCTATTTAACTCAAATTGCTGAGGAGCAGCGTGTGAAAAGAGAAGACAAGTATCGCAAAAGAGACTTACAACAGCAACTGGAACAAAAGCAATTCTTGTAGAAGTCTCTTGACAAATTTGAATGATTGTTTTTGCGACCCTTGTCTCCATGTAGATTCTTGTGAATCAAACAACCCATTTATAAAGATGCGAGACAAATTTGGTAAAAATCGCAATCAACGGCCATAAAAACACAAAAAATTGTTCGAACAAAACACACGACGTTTGGCAGCTCGCTCACTCCATCATGCCCTTCCCAAAGGAAATTCTTCGCTACATTGTTTGTAAAGTAAAAACAATCTTCGATGACAAGTGGTCCGAGAAAATTGTTGCTGTGACTAAAGAAGAGATATTGAACGTCTCCCATTCAGGTATTGGCTCCCGATTGTTGTCTTCCAAAGCGAGCGCCTTTTCGGATGGTAGCAACAGCAGCAGTTCTCTCTTTGGAGCTTCATCGTCCTCACTCACCAATACGAGTGTAGTCTATTCACTTGAAATTTATCATACAAAAGATGAGCAACAAATTAGAAATGCAATCGCTGCTACTACATCCATGCAACAACAACACTCATCACAACACAAAAACAACTCCAAATCAACAACAACATTGGAACCAAAGAAAAAAGCAATACTTCATCGAGACATTAGAATAATGTCTGGAAAAGAGTTGACAAATAGATTGAACACATTAATAGTGTTTTTTGAACAACCTCTCTATTTAAACTTTAAAAAGGAATCTGAATTCAAGGAATGGTTTGAATATTTAACAAAATTAATCAATGTTGAAGAATCAGGAATGAAAGAAGGTATTTGTGCCATTATTGAAAGTATTACCGATGCATGTGTGGTGAGTGACGCTGATGGAATTATTACAGGATTTAATGCTCAAGCAGAAAAATTATTTGGTTATTCAAAAGAAGAAGTGGTCGACACGAATGTAAATGTTTCAATTTTAATGCCAGATAGTTATGCGAAATATCACCAACAAATTTTGAATCGATACAACAAACATCGAAATCGAGTCATCATTGGAAAACCTAGAAATTTTCTTGCCAAACACAAACTAGGTCACAAAATACCAATTACGATCAATCTTGGAGAAGTTCAAGACTCAAATCCTCAATCCAAGTTCAGATATATTGCCATGTTTAGAGATTCAATGACCAAAGTGGTAATTTCTTCTACAAGTGATCCTGCTGCTCATGATACTCAACGTTGTACTGACAAGCTCAAGATTCAAATTCAAAGAAAGACAAAAACAGAAATTTCAAAATTTGACGAAGACACATTACGAATGGTTGAAGATTTACTGAAACTGTTACAATCCATGGCAACCACAATTAATATCTTAGAAACTGAAAAAGAACGTTTAGATCAATTAACACTCGAGTTACAAGAAAGAGAAACCATTGCAGAGAAACATTTAAACGAAACTCAGAAAATTTCTCCAATCTATCAAATTTACAAATACCTGACGGATCACATGAGCGATATTGAATCGCTGACCATTAAGGCTCAAGATCAACTCACACGTGACTGTATTCTGTGCTGGAAACAAATTCAAATGTACAAAAAAGCAAGTAGAGCTTGTGACCAATTTAACAAATTCAAAAGCATCATGTCCAATGCTGGAGAATTGACGACAAGAAGAGCAAGAGCAGGTTCAATTGCATCCTACTCTGAAGCTTTGAACGGTAGTAGTAGTAGTGAACAACGTTTTGAATCCATCACCAAACCGGAAGTTGTTTCAATGGCGGTTCAACTCTTTGATCGATTTTTAGTGAACTATGAAAAAGGAGAAACACCCATTTCTAAAAACCGTTCCATCTCTCCCGCTCACAATAACAGCACAGTGATACGAATTGTGACAAGAGAAGTGCTTCCAGTCATCAAAAATACTCTCCTCAAATGGTCCACTTCAAGCATTGAAAATCTTCCCATCACCATTTCGACCGAATTGTTTTATTTTGTTGAGAAGGATATTTTGGAATTTCTGAAAAACGATCCTATCAAAAATATTCAAGTGATTTAAAGAGTAGTAGTAGTAGAAGTGGAAGATAGATATCTCGAGTCAATGGATTGCCTGTATCGATACAGTCAGGAAAGCATGTGTGTTTTCATATTCACAAATTCGAGTGAAGACTTCCATGAAGTTGGTGAAGCAATAATAATTCATTTCAAATAAAAAAAATTCAAAAAAAAATGATGAACAATCACCATCATCAATGCGGACACGAAGAATGTGCACACAACCACCATCGTCATCAGGAAGATGAAGAATTGGAACATTCTGTCTATGATGAAGAAATGAATGATGAAGAAAGTATTGAGGATGATGATACATCCAAGGTGGTTAAAGCCACAGCACCAGTCAAGCCTTCAACACTTGAATTAAAGTCGGAATTAGTCTCCAGAGAACCACTCCCTTTGCAACAACGACCTATTGCTTGTATTGTTGTCGGAATGGCAGGATCGGGTAAAACAACTCTCATGCAACGAATTAACGCATACATATATGAAAAGCAACATCCATCCTATATTATTAACTTGGACCCTGCAGTATTAGATGTACCCTATGGTGCTAATATTGATATTAGAGATACAGTCAATTATAAGGAAGTCATGAAGCAGTATAATCTAGGACCTAACGGAGGAATATTAACTTCACTTAATTTATTTGCTACTCGTTTCGATCAAGTGATTGATTTAATTGATAGGAAATCGAGAACAGGTTTTGATGCAGGAATGTTAATGACTTCCTCTTTATCCAGTTCCTCAGAAAAGAAGAAAAATCTTGAATATGTCTTCATTGATACTCCTGGACAAATCGAAATATTCACTTGGTCAGCAAGTGGCCAAATTATTTCCGAAGGCCTGGCGTCATCATTTCCAACATGCATCATTTATGTTATAGATACTAGTCGTAACACGAATCCAATTACTTTCATGTCAAACATGTTATATGCATGCAGTATTTTGTACAAGACTCGTTTACCATTCTTAATTGTTTTTAACAAGATTGACGTTGTGAGACATGAATTTGTCAAGGAATGGATGAAAGATTATGAGGCTTTCCAAGATGCTCTTTCAAAAGATGAGAGTTATAGTAGCTCTTTAGCTCATTCCATGTCTCTTGTATTGGATGAATTCTATGAAAATATTGATACTGTTGGTGTAAGTGCCATGACAGGAGAGGGAATGGATGAATTCTTCAAAATTATCAATGAAAAATCCAAAGAATATGAAGAAACATACTATCAAGATTTATTGGAACAAGAGAAACTCAAACAAACTGAAAAACTCAAACAACAAGAGGAAGATATGCGTCGTCTTGAACAAGACTTTAAACGATTCAACACTGCTTCGAAAAAAGCACCAACAGAAGATGAGCAATTACAAGAATTTCTACAAAATCTAAAGATGCAAAAGTAACTGTTGTGAGTATTCAAATAATAATATTTCTCAACTCAAATGAAATTCCATATCTATGTTCCTCCTTCTCATCTAATAAGCGTATCATCTTATTTATAGAATTATCATCATTGAATTCATTCGTCCTCAATCCATCGAAAGACATGGGTGATGATTCTTTATGATCCTTCAGAATCATTAAAAAAATATTTTGAACAATATTTCACACTCACAACGTCATCATCATCATGAGAGCCATCATTCAACGAGTAAACTCTGCAAGTGTTTCTGTTTCCAATCAACTCATTAGCCAAATTCAAAAAGGACTCATGGTTCTCGTCGGAATTGAACGATCCGATACTCCCGAAGACATGGATTATATTGTAAAAAAGATTATCAATACCAAGCTATGGGAGGATGACAACATGAAGCCATGGAATGCAAGTGTTAAAGACAAGAATTATGAAATTTTACTCGTTTCTCAATTTACATTGTATCATAAATTTAAAGGAAACAAATTGGATTTTCACACAGCCATGAAAACAGAAGAGGCAAAAACTTTCTTTTCACAAACAGTGAAACACGTTCAAGATCAATATAAAGCTGAAAGAGTGAAAGAAGGAGCTTTTGGGGAATATATGAATGTGGCTTTGGAGAATGATGGACCTGTGACTATTATTGTGGATTCACGAAATAGAAATACTGTGTAACAAATTTTTTTTATATTATATGATGAAAATAATGTTTTTTACAAAAACAAGTATATTATTATATACCTGAATTCAGGACTCGTTGTGTTTTAAATCTGATGAACATTGATGTCATGATCAATGTTTTTATTTAAATTGAATGTTGAGTAACTGGTATGTTCAAAAAAAGGAAATCATAATGTCGTATCCATTTCGCAAGAGTGAACCCAAACATTTAAATGAATCTTGTGTGTGATTAAGGAATTGAGGTTTTAATGTTTCAATGTTTCGGTGGACACTTTTCGATTACATCCAAATGTCCCATAGATTACACCACATGAGAGAGTCACACGTGCATATGAGGATGATGTGTGCCAAACACAGTCTCTGGATTGCCTCCGTTGTCTTCTTTTCCATTTTTGTACATCAAGAACATTGGAATTTTCGTTTTTTAAATGAGGATTAATCGCCAAATTTCGCTTCAAACAGATCGATCTGTTCTTTCACAACCATCACCACACACGATAAATTCTTCAACAAAAAAACAACTCTTACACCTCCCATTCGAGTAATACACACAATCGAATTGGATTTTCTACCAACTAGGCAATCGAGTGTCATCTTGTTAATTTTCACAAACGATCTGCAACCTCCAATTTGATTCTAGATATTCATTACAACATTACAAATACTAAATTTAAACCTTCAAATAATCGAAACATTAATCAAGTACTAACACAAGAAAATGTATCATCACAGCGTGCTCACTAGAAACCTCTTCACCACTTGTACAACCTTCACAATGAAACACTCATTCAATCTTGCCAAGAACAGGAGCCATTCGAATTTTTGTCTTGCAAATTTCCGATCGACCTTCCGAAATCATGATCATTCGAATCAATGTTGTGATTTGCATCATTTTGCAGAAGTGAATCAAAAGGAAAAGTCACCCCATGAAATTCTTGAAAAGTTACAAAATACTTCTCGATCACCACAAGAAACACCCCACAAGAACTTGTTCGGAAAATTGAAAGTCGACAAAGAAGGAGTCAAATATGAAATGAATGAAAAATCGCAAAAGAATGAAACACACCAAAATCAGAGTCAACAACAACAATCGAATAAGGATCAACAACAATCGTTGGCAAACAAGTTTAAGAAGAGTTTGGAAAATTCTCGAGATTTGATGTGTAATAAGAAACGACATGATGTCTTGTTGCAACAAAAGTCAGAATATTTCTTGTATTTGTAAATTTGTTGTATTAAAAAGTTTATTTGTAAATCTATTTACAAACATCCTTACTTGTGATTGGTGAGTTTTGCGATCATGTTGTTTACACGAGAAAGTTCGTTCAGATAAATGGACCTTAATCTATTAAGATCACCAAAAGACATGTCGCCATATTGAATATCTGTTAGAGCAAGCTCAATTTGATCAATGTAGTCGCTGTTTTTCTCTTCGATGTTCAAAGAGTTGGCTTTGATGTTATCTACTTGCTGTTGGAGACATTTAGATTCTTTGACAATTTGTTTAAGCTTTTGACAAGGAAGTATTGTACGTCTTAATAGTTTGTAGCTCCGACTGAAGATGTTGATATTGCTTGGAGGTATTGTTTGTCTTCTCTCTCTCTCTACGGATCTCTTCAAGAAACTTTAGCTTTAATTCTTCCTCACTCGTTTTTTTTAATTGTTGACGAATAAGGTTATTCCCTTAATTATCGTTTCATGCACGAACAAAAAATGTTCAAACAAATATTGCTCGTTTTCTTCATTTTGATTCTCTTTAGAAAAGCAATGTCTTTGAGCTCAAAATACGTGTCGTGCTCAAACGGAAGTGGATCCTCTTGCAAGAGCTACTTGGAAGTCCAAATACCGCTATCATATGGCAACTCTCAACAAATGAACTTTGATTTATCATCGGGGGTTAACGAGCTTGGTAATTCTATCATGTTTAAATCAATTAAAATATCCGTTAAGAAATCTCAGCCAAAAGCTATCTATCCATTGATTTACGTCGGTACTTTTAATGGCAAGCCAACAGAGAAGATCATTATTAAGGACGATATTCTTGTACCAACTTGTGACGATTCTCCACTAAGTAATAATCCCACATGCGGATGGAAGAAGAATGAAAAGGAGAAAAAGTTTTGGAAGTCAAGGTTTTTGTTGTTCATGCAGCTTCGAGCAAATGATGGGAGCGTCACAACAAACAAGAGCTTCCTTGAATTGTGGATTCCTTCAGATGAAATCTTCGGCTCATTGCCTTGTTCTCCATGAGGTAAATTGGGACGCTTTGAAATAGAACCGTTTACAACCAAGTTTGAAATTAATGTCGACCTCGGAAGTTTGGGCAGTGTTGAAGTTTCTCCATCGCTGAAAGTTGCTCAACTTCCTATGGGAAGAGTACAACTAGAAGGTGATTTTTCTGTCACAAGGCATTACCCTCTTTTGAGTCGAAGATGTTGTTTGTTCCGTCATATCCAAAAAACAACCCGATTGTACTTGAAGGGTCTAAGAATTGGATGCTAGTAGATAGAAGTATGGTTTCATTGACTGGAAAAGAATGTGACAAAATAGGAGTAGGATACTCGCAATTTAGAAATCAGCCTCGGGCATGCTCACAACCACCAATGACCTGTCTTGGAAATCAGTTGGAAGACTTGAGAGTTACAGATCGAGAGCTAATGAAAACGGGTACTAGATCAGGTAAATACATTCTTTCAACTTCGGATCCTTCTTGATGAATTCAACAGGTTCTCAGAAATCGTTGATAATGGAAATCTCAGAAGATACAAATTCTGTCATTACAATGTTTGTGGATGCAGATCAACTCACGTTTCTGTACTCGAAAAGTATGGCTGAAATAACCAGCGCTCAAGTATCAACTTTTCAATCCTTATCTAAGGAAGGAGAGTTAAAAGTTACCATCAAAAACATCGGAACTTCATTATGCTCATATGTCATCTCCATCTCGAAATGTAGCAGCAATATTTTGCCAACAGTAGAACAAAGAATAGAGCTACATCAGTCCGAAGAAAGCAGTATCAACTTTCCAATAAGGACTAGTACTGAACTTGCAGCATCGAACGAATGTACTGTCTCTCTTATGTACAGTGATGGAGAAAAAATTAAGGACCTCCTTGTGAAGTTTGATTCAAAGGATGCATTCCAGAAGGCCATTGATGGGTCAATCGACCAGACAGGAAAAGTGCAAACAGAAGGTGACAATTCAGCAAATCAATGCAAATGTGGTTCTCCCTTCGATGTCATTTGCATTGTCTTACACAGTTGCATTGATTACATCATTGGATGGGTTGCTGCCATTGTTGGCATTATTGCCATTCCAATTGTTTTCGTTTTCATGTGGCGTTGTGGTCTCTTTGGTCTTCTCTTCCAATCTTGTAAATGTTGTGCCTGTTGTTGCTCTCTTCTTCCAAAAGGTATTATGAAATGCCTAATTTCACCTTACAAGAAGAAGAAAAATCGATCCAAGAAGAAATCCAAAAAGAGAACAAGTCATTCCTCAGAGAGTAGTGATGGTGAAAGTAAATCAAAAAAGAAAAAGAAGAAAAAGCAACGAAGGAATAGATATAGAAATTCAATGAGAATGATGAATGATGGTGATCATGCATTATGGACCTATTACAATCCTTCTTCTTCTTCCTTTATGAAGACACAACAAATGTATGGAAAACATTTGAAACCAAATCCATCGTATGAAATGATAGAAAATGAATGTTACGAACCTGTGGCTAGATATTACAAGTAGTGTGATATAGCTTGTTGATGTGAAATTCATCATTTCACAAGAAAAATTTCTTACATGTAAATAATAAATCAATGTACAATTTGAATCATTTCAATATCGAGCATTGGATACCATGTTGTTATAAGATCATGCATAAACTAGGACCTTCAGAAGTATCTTCTTGGTTTCGTCGAGTTTTTTTTGGCTTATTCGAATATTGAGATGCTTCTGGTGGAATTTGTGATGAATCAATCATTACAAAATCATGAAATTCGTTATTTTCAAAAGAATAATCATCATGAACATCTTTTTCATTCAGCACCTGAGAAGATTGCATTTCCACAGCATGTTGACGAGCAATGTTGCCAAGTTCAAATTTTGAGTAAACCAATGATGCATTTTTCCAAATCGCATGTGGCTCTGGAAATTCAAATTCTTCCACATGACCCAATTCTTTTGACTCGAGTACTTGTGGAACTGTCTCTGGAGTCGTCTGATGATAAACCATTGTATTTTCGAGAGCATATTTTTCTTTAAATCGATTCAATTCACTTTCTAAAAATTTAAATTGATGTTCGAGATTAGTTTTGTCTTTGTTTTCAAATAACATTTTCATGTATTCTTTCTTGATCGATTTTGATAAGTTTTCAAACATTTTCATTGCCTCATCCACTAATTTGATAGCTTTTCCATTTTCATCATTCTTATTGTAATGAAATGCACTATACATGTGAGACATGATATCATAAAATCTCACTTTCAAAAGTAAATAAGTTTTCAATTTGGTAATACACGTCTCATTCTGTGGAATTAATTTTAAAGCATTCGAATACTGTTCAAACACAAATCGACATAATTTTGCAAGTGAATCCAATTGAGTGATACCTTTCTCAGTGGCAATCTTAATGGCAACTTCCTGAGCTTGTGCTCTACTCAAGAGACGCATGAGTTGACACATAGTCACATTATGACTTTGAACAAATTTCAATGATTGATTTGAATGAAATTGAGGAGATACATGACATTCACAGAATTGCCAAATTGAAGTTGCTTTCATCAATAATTGAAGACTTGTCTTGTCATTGGATTTCTCAGTTGCTGTTTGTGTTAAAGAGAGAGCAGCAGTGGAGAGCATCATGAGCATTTCATAGAGAGCATCATTGGTTTCAACCTTTCCGAATGATTCATTCCACCAATCATAAATTGCAATAAATTGTAAATGACTGAGAGAAGTGTCGATTGGAAGTGATGAGAAATGTTCAGTGGCAATTTGAACCTCTTGTTGTTCTAAGGTGTTCATTTGTTTGTCTTCATTGCTTCTCATGAGAACAGCTGTTCCATCTCTGTTTGATTCAAGGTGCTGTTGGTAACCTGGTTCTGATGAGTGTTGTTGATCCTTATCGTGGTGGTCTGTGGAGTTAAAAGTAGTAGAATCAGTTGCAACAGTGTTTAGTGAATCGGAATTGATGAATGATGGTGAAGGTGGAAAGGATGATAAATTCCAAACGAGTCCACAAAATACAGAAAGATAGGCCATAATTTTGTCACATAATTCTTCATTGTCTATGTTATTTGATGAACGCTGTCGAGTGATGGCTTCTTGCCTTCCGATGCGAATTCCACAAGCAAGTGAAGTTGTGACATTTTTGTTGTCTTTCAACTAGATTGTTTATTTAATTGGAGAAATCAAATAGAAGTGTTTCAACTAGATTGTTTATTTAATTGGAACCTCCCCTCAATCTCAAAACAAGGTGAAGAGTAGACTCTTTTTGAATGTTGTAATCGGAGAGAGTTCTACCATCCTCAAGTTGCTTACCAGCGAAAATCAATCTTTGTTGGTCTGGAGGAATGCCTTCCTTATCTTGGATCTTTGACTTGACATTCTCGATGGTATCATTGGATTCGACTTCCAATGTAATGGTCTTGCCAGTCAAAGTTTTAACAAAGATTTGCATTCCTCCTCTCAATCTAAGAACAAGGTGCAATGTGGATTCCTTTTGGATGTTGTAGTCTGAGAGAGTTCTTCCGTCTTCCAATTGTTTACCAGCGAAAATCAATCTTTGTTGGTCTGGAGGAATGCCTTCCTTATCTTGAATCTTGCTCTTGACATTTTCGATGGTGTCGTTGGACTCCACTTCCAAAGTAATTGTCTTACCAGTGAGGGTCTTGACGAAGATTTGCATACCACCTCTGAGTCTCAAAACCAAGTGCAATGTTGATTCTTTTTGAATGTTGTAATCAGACAAGGTTCTTCCGTCTTCTAATTGCTTTCCGGCAAAGATGAGTCTTTGTTGGTCTGGTGGAATTCCTTCCTTGTCTTGGATCTTTGATTTAACGTTTTCAATGGTATCATTGGACTCAACCTCAAGAGTAATGGTCTTTCCGGTCAAGGTTTTAACGAAGATTTGCATACCACCTCTCAATCTCAAGACCAAGTGGAGAGTGGATTCCTTTTGGATGTTGTAGTCGGACAAGGTTCTTCCGTCTTCCAATTGTTTACCAGCAAAAATCAAACGTTGTTGATCAGGTGGAATTCCTTCCTTGTCTTGGATCTTGCTTTTCACGTTCTCAATCGTGTCGTTGGATTCGACTTCGAGAGTGATAGTCTTACCAGTGAGGGTCTTGACGAAGATTTGCATCTTGTAGCAGTAGATATTAATTACAGTAGTAGAGAGTGGATTGGTTTTTTTTGTTGTTTTGTGGTTGATGTCGGTTGCACAATTAGAAGGATACTATTTGAAGCCTTGATGAGGTGTCTTGTTGTTGAATGAACTCGTCAACCTAAAAATAACTGATGGGAATTTCCGAGCGCTCTTTTCTTTACAAAAATTCATTGTTGTTGGAAAGAGGCAACTAGATGTTTGTGGCAACTTGCTTGAAGGAAGCATTGGGAAAGTAACCGAATAGTTTGAACTCAAGAAGGAAAGATGACAACGTGTTATCGGTTGCAACTTAATTGTTCTTCTTAATGTCTTATTGAAAGTAATGTTACCTTGCATTTGGGTTATAAAGAACTTTTTTCTTTGTAAATGTTGCTTCAATTAATATATGAGGTTTTGTTGTTGAATATTGATGTAGAAATTTGATTCTTGAGATTGTGTTTCCTCACTGAGTTGATGAACATCAAACAACACCAATCACTTGTCATTCAAGACTTTAAAAAATGAACAACAAAAAGCCAAAGAAGAGTGTGTTTGGAGGCTTTTTTGGTTTCAGGAGTAGGTATCTCTCATTGGTTATTGTTGTTGATAAACCCCTTGACTTTTGTTTCAAATCAACTCTGAAAACATAAACCTCCATTAAAATTATTCTTTCATCATTTCATCATCATTTGAATCCTTCAATTTTGTGGGATGGTGAATATAATAATGATGGAATTCCTTTTATGATTGGAACCATCGTTGTCCTCTCTCAAACCTCCTCAAAAAATTGAATCAATTCTCTCTTGTGTTTCCATGATATTCATCATTATTGTTCATTCAACAACCACCATCATCATCATCACCATTATCAAAAGGTGAAAATGAAACTCTAAATTTAGAAGACTATCCACTGAGTCAGTGGTCCACACAAATGGTAGTCATGTGGCTTAAAACTCAGGGACATGATAAAAAGGTTCGTATGGATATAATCATTATGAATATTTCTGAATAATGATTTTTAAAATCTAATGATTGTTGTTGCAACTATTCCAAAATGATTTTTATTATTTCCAAAAATGTATTTCCTTCCTTCGCCGAACCAATTCATCATCATCATCATCATTCGCAAAATTCAAATGTTCAACAAAATCTTTACGAACGGATTTATCACTCAATCACAACAATTACACCTCACTCACCAAAAAACATGATAATTCACACATCTCTCATCTATTTCTTCCCAAATCTCAACCACATTGACAGGTCTACAAAATATTTGAAAAGAACAAAATCAATGGTACATTCTTTTGTCAAAATGTAACAAAAGCAGATATTGTGAGATTAGGTTTCACACCTGGAATGGCCATCACACTTCACAATCAAATTGAAAAACTTATCGAACGTATGAAAACAATCAATCCCTACAATGTGGTTCTCAGCAGTAGACCACACTACAACACCTCCAAGAGAGCAAGTTCGAACCTGTCAACATCAAGTGAATCCATGTCTCAGTTAGTGACACCTCCTCGTGCATTGGGTGGTTCAATTTCATCCACCTCAGGTGCTTGTTCTCTCATTTCACAATCATCACCAGGATTTGCAGAACATCAAATTCCAATCTTTGTTCAACACCAACGTAAATTTTCAGTGTTGACAGATAAATACATGATGGATTCAGAAGAAGCATCTTCATCGTCTCTTTCTGATCAGAATGTTTCATCATCCAATGCTACCACATCATCATCATTGACTAATAATGGAGGTATTACAATTTCTGAGGTTGAAGTCGAAGATGATTATTTTCTCAAAATGGAAATGGAGTCCTTCACAGTTCAAGATAAAGCAGAAGAAGACAAGGAATTACAAGAATATCTTGCAGAAACTCTCATCATGAACGAAGTTACTGCATTGGATTTGTCTTCGAATCAATCCTCATCGTCACAACCCTCTTCTCCTTCTGGAAGTTTAATTAGTGACACAAATTCTACAGCAACCTCCACAGCAGCTAATACATCCAGTCCATGTACGATGCCATCCTCTTCTTCCAATTTAACAACCTCTTCTTCTGCTGCATCCAACAAGTACTTGTTAGTTCCTGTTGCTCCATATTCAACACTTCCTGATGAATATTTCTCTGCTTATCAATCATGTTTAAGCAATGTGAATTTATTACCATTTCAAGTTCACAATTTACAAAGTATTGTTCAAGATTTGATCATTCCAGAACGTTTCATTTTCAAATATTTCAACATCAAACATTACATGCCTGATGACGATGATGATGACACAGCACAGTCGAGTAATACGCAATCCTCTTCTTCAAAGAATGCAGTGAGAAGTATGAAGAAAACATTCCTTAAAATTCAATTTGTTTTTAATGCTTTGGATCGTGGAGTTTGGTTTAAGATGCAAAAACAATACAAAACACAACTCAAAGGATTTAAACCTCACAAATTTGGAGTATTTTATCCTGCACTTCTTATTGGACCATTCCTTGTAGAATATACTCATCATGGAATTGCATTGGTGAGAATTTCCAAGTCAAAGAGAGTTGTTGGACATGAAATTACAACAATTACCGGTGCAGACAAGGTGAAGGAGGTTTTACAAAAAGTGTCACAAGTCTGTTGTGAATTTAACGGTTCTAGAAAATTCGATATTCAAAAGAATAATCCAATGCATTTCGTGTATGCAGTGTTAGACAAACTCAAAATGAGGAAACAGTGTGAAAACCATCTCAGTAAGGGATGTGTGAAATCATATATTCAAAATTTGGAACGTTTTGGCTATTACAGTATGACAATTAATTTGCCAAAACAAATTGCTACATTAATTGGAAAAGAAGAATACATTGTTGATAGTCACAAAGATTTGGATGAGCTTCATATCAACATTCAAACAAATTTCCCAGATTACTTCAACGATGAAGGAAAGACTGACGAAACATTACTTCAAAGTTTCGATATTGCGTTTTGGTATTGGCACTTTGAAAACAAATCATTCGAAGATTTCCGACCTGCTTACAGTAGCAAGATTTGCAGTTGTCCTTTCAATATGCTCGAAAAACATCCAATCGATATGATTGAAAGTGCCTCCAAAACAAGTTACAGAGGCCCTTCGTATCATATTGCTCAAGTATTGCCACCAAGACCTAGTGACTCTCCAACATCAGCTTCATCCCCCAACACCACTGAATGAACCAATATGGAAAAGTTGAATTAAAAACTCTTTAATAATTTATCTGTTAATTTATCTGTAATCCTTCTTTCCTATCGTTGTCTTACCGCTGAACAAGTGCTTTGGTTTCATATTGAAGATAACATGGTCTGCTTCAGAGCGTTTGCCACTTGCTTGCAATGTCTTAATCTTCTTAAGACCTAACTTGACAGCCGACACTTGTTTCTTGGCATCTTTGATACCAGCAAATCGACCAATCTTTTCGGTAAGAGGATTATGAGGTGTTAAGGATCTCTTTTTGCTGAGAGCTGTCTTATCAATATCGACTGAATCATATTCAGTTGCTGCTCTCTTCTCACTAGCACTTCTATTTCTGGCCATCTTACTCTCGCTTCTTGCTCTAGGTCCAACACTTGATGTTGCAAGTTTGTGAGTTCTACCGACAGAAGAAGTTCTTGCCACTGAAGAAGATCTAGCCTTTTCCAAAGCCTCTTCTGGAACACCTCTGTCTTTCAATTCAGAAACAATGGAATTCAAATCAATAGGCTTATCTTTTCTGGTCAATTTAGGATGGTTAGTATTCTTATTGATTCTATTAGTTTGAATAATGACAGACTTCTTATCCATAATTTTCTTGAAGTCTTCTTCTTCTTCAGAGTCAACATAGAATTCTTCGTCAGCATAGTTCACACCACCTTCAAATCCACCCTCTTCTCGAAGTCTTTCATCCTCTTCTTTTTCAAGCTCTTCCAATCTTCTGTCAATTTCTGGATCAACATAATCCGCAATATTCTTGCCATCTATAATTTCTGGAATAATGTCATATTTCCATTCATCGTTTTTCAGCAGGTAATGTTTCTTGTAATCTGGAGTATAAACACCAGCACCACCTCCAAGATTTTCGAGATGCTTTTCGGTAATTCTTGGTTCATCTTCCATGTCTCCATTGGATTCATCATCCATTCCAGCTCTCTTTCGAAGCACACTTTCAGGAATTTGTGGCTCTCTTATTTTGTCATCTCTCTTCTTTGGTTGAGCCAAGTGAACTCTATTGAGGATGGATTCAACAGATTTCTTGCCATGATTAATCTTGGCTTCAACTCTGTTTTGAAGCAACAGGTCACAAGCTCTTGTTTTTACATCATTCAATCCTGATTGGTTGATATTGCTGATTCCAATCATGTCACTGCACATATCTGCAATTTCTTGCAACATTTTCTTGTTTTCATCACTCAAATCTTCATATCTCACCAAATCAATCTTTGTTAAAACCAACAAAACAGGCTTTCCTGCGAAAAGAGGTTTGATATTCTTGAAAAGATCACATTGCTGTTTGATGTTGTATCCACAAGTTTCGCTCACATCACATAAATATAAAATAGTAGAGCGCAAGTGAGCCATAGCTGTAATACTTTGCATTTCAATTGTGTTGCGTTGCTCAAGAGGATGGTCAAGAATACCTGGAGTATCAATTAATTGCCACTTCAAATAACGATATTCCATATGACCAACAAATAATGATTTAGTTGTGAATGGATAGGGTTGAACGTCAACTTGAGCTCGGGTCATATTATTCATAAAGCTGTAATCAGGAGGAAGAAGTAACATGATTGTTTCATACGTTTAAAATTACGTCAATAATTATTCATATTGACACAAATAATACGTTACCTGGACTTTCCGACATTTGGATAACCAACCAGAATCAATGTACGTGATGATGGGTCGATGGAAGGTAAACGAGCCAAGTGTTGTCTGACTTGTTCCAAATATACCAATGACGAGTTTTGTTTCGTTAATACAGTGATCATTCTACCCAAAGCAGCTCTCTTCAATTGTTTGCAACGGTACAAAGAATCACCATACTTTAAAAGACGGACATAGTCTCTACCGATGGCATCCACAACGTTTCTACAAGTGCTCAATTGTCCTAATGCAAGTTTATAGTGATCTTTATCATAGAGAACATTCATCAGATCCTCATAAAATGGATGAATATCTCCCAATCGTGGAAATTCGTCCAGAATGAGAGTAATTCTATCGTGAATTGTTTGTTGGCAAAACTTCACTTTTCTCATGTAGAATCTACGGATACGATTGATGGCATATTGCGGGTGAATTTCTGTTGGAGTTTTTCTTTGAGTCTTTGAGAGAACAATATCCATAAATTCCTTTCCGTTAGGAACGGGTGTAATTTTCTTGAAATTATAGACCACCATGATAATGTATATAGAGGTTATTATAAAGAGGAAGGGAGGATGAGGTTATGAAAAAGGCTTGTATGATGATGGAGAGCAATGGGCTATTCTATTTTTTTTTCTCGGGTCGATTTTTTGAATATCAACAAATTGCGTGAAGTCCAGAATGGACCACATTTCGCAAGGACAACAACCTGCTCTTAATTTAATTATTTTCAATAGACATAGGGAATAATTTTGTAAGGTACCATGGAGCAATACCTATCGAAGGATTTGCCATACTTTTGTTTCATCTTTCGGTGATCTCGCTCGTATCGAGTGAATAACAAAGCCCAAATGAATATGCTATAACTGTAGGGGAAAATTCCCTTATCGAAACCACACATGAGACCAAAGCTGAGAGAGTTTGCCAACTCACCAAAGTAGTTGGGATGGCGAGAGAGACCCCAGAAACCATTGACCAATACTTTTCTTCCTTGATCTGTCTCAATATATTTGGGTTTAATTCCAAGGAAGGGAGCATTTGGATCTCTCTTAAACTTGTCTTTTTGTGCATTGGAGAGTCTTGCAACTATGTATCCAAAGACCCACAATAATGATACAGCAATGATGCCCCATAATGGAAGTTCACTCCATTCAATGAGATAATAAGCTTGGGCAGTACAAACAAATGGCATCCTTGAATGTGTATAAATGTCACCCATTATTATTCATCAAACATAATGATTATGTAAAGAACAATTTCTAAATAATGCCTTACCATACAAAGTTTCCCCAACACAACATGAATCCAAATCTCTCTTGATAAATTTCAAAACCAGTAATGAATTGATCTTCATTGACGAAAAAGTCAAGCATGTACAGGAAAGAAGATATTAAATACATTGCCATTGGTGTGCTAATGGTACCATACTTTTCATATTGTACAGAAGCATATGAGAATGCAACCACAACCCATGTCAATAAGCTTGGCCTTCCATCAAAGAATAATTTGCAATCCACTCCAAGAATTCGAGGATTTCTTTCAGCACCTAACCATATTTCTCTCAATAATCCATCATTGTATTCTCTCTTTTTTAACATTCTTCCTTTAATAAATACAATAATCCAATAACACCAATGGAAAATGCTTGTTACAGCAACGAATTCCAATAAGTGATCATATACAATTGAGTATCTCCACCAACCCAAATAACCGCCTGTAAAAAACAATGCTAACGTTAATAGATATGCCTGCAACCCATTGCAATTATATTCTAGTACAGTTCCATCTTCCAAAGGCAAGCCTTTCACTCTTTTACCTGGTAAAAACCGTGCCATGGCATATTGCAAGACAAAATAAATTAAATAAGCTTTGAATACATAAAGACTTGGCAATGGAAGAAATAGATGGATCAGAATGGAGAAGCTCATAAAACCAAACACAACAAAATACTCTCCGATGGAAATTTGATCCTGTTGTTGATTTTCGTGGGACGATGATGACTCTTGCATTTTTTAATCTGATGAGAATCAATAGGAGATCTCGTTGATCGATCGTTTGTATTATTTCGTTTATCATTGAAGTACGACAAATCCCATGATTGAGGTTGCGGTTGAACAATGGAATTGATTCAATATCATCATGAATCCATTATTTGAAAAATAGCCCAACGACAACGTTCACACATACAGACTATTTCTATTGTTCACTTCTAAAATAAGGAGTAGTAGCAATAGTGGAAGAGGACAGAGGTGGTGTGTCCAAGGTATCATATTCATCATCATCCAACAAACGGAAGTGATGACTGTCTTGTTGTCTTGAATGATGTAAAAATGGTTCATTAATGAGATTCGATTCATTTCCTCTCAATTTTGAAGCAGAGGTTGTTGTTGTTGAGGATGAAAGAATCATGTTGGATGCACATACAACATTTGGAGGTTCATAGTGTTCACTCATTTCAAGATACGTCTCTGTCGAGGGAGGTTGAGAAGATATTCTGGCAGCATTATTGGATTCTATCAGTTCTTCATCTTCAAGAGCATTGGGTGGAATAAATACGACATTTCTTCGAGTACCTTTCTTGTGATAAATCTTTGCTACTGTGACATCGTCATAGAATTCATGATCTTGTGATTTAAGGTCTGCCTTCATTCTCTTAAATTCTGTTCCCTGAAGAATGACTTCATCTAAAATTTCACCTGGAGCATATCGTTTAACACTATGTTTTTTTCTGAAACTGGACAAATTTGCCATAATTCTCTTGTAGTGGAAGATTACAAATTCTGTACATGACATGCATAGAGCTGTCAATGAGAAAATACCAGAAAGAGATGCTAATAAATCAGTCAAAAAGACGAGAACTATTTTCTTTTCTGATAAAACTACTTCTAGAGTGGTAGAGGCCTTTTCGAATTCAATTTTGAAATAGACTCCATTTTCATGACTGAATGTCTTAAAGTCCACTTGGTCACCTTGTGTTTCAGAAGAGTATTCAATAACGTAACCAGTTTTCTTTGTATTTTCAATTGGAATTGTGTACTTGTTTTGAAACAGTTGAAGAGAGACAACCGTTGGATTGGTTGTTCCTCTAAAGAATTGATCTACTTCTGAGAAGACAGATCCTATGACAACCTGTCAAAAGTGTCAGCATTGTATCAGTAAATAAGAGACAATTGCGAAAGTCACAGCATCAAGACGGAATTGAATTGCAAAATTCACACACACAGAACAAAACTAATAAAAACTTACTGATCTCTGAGGTGGTTTTTGCATTGCATATACATCAATATAAGCAGAAGAAACATTCACCTTATAATCATAACCATTCGAAAACACATTTGTACCACCAACTTTGAAATTCACAGCAGCCATCTTCTTATCTTTTGCAATGGCACATTTAGAACAAGAGAGAGTAATCACACAGGCGCTAATTTCATTTTCAGATAATTCATCTCGACACATGATGGATGTCACTGTATCATTGAACACTTCCACAGATTCCAAAAAAGACAGATATTTTGTCTTGACATTTTGTAGGACTTATGGATAGTGAAGATCCAACAGTACATTTACCTTTGAATCCTAAAATTCGAACTTCTACTGAAACATCGGCATAAAATTCCTCAGAGACAGCCAAGTTGGGAATTAAACTTCTATTCTCCACATAATTTCCATAATTACTAAATAAATTGAAAGGTTCATATTGAAAGGTTCGTATTGAAATGTTTTTCATTTTTCGGAATGATCCATTGTTTCACAGATCAAGTTCTAGAACTAACTCTACTTACTAGTATGGAACAATTGTACCAATCAAATAAGCTAAGAAAGCAACTAACACGACAAAACTGTAACAAGCTCCCACAATAGTTCTTCTCTTAATCATCGTTCCCATCAATCGATTATGTCTCTCTGTAAAGAAAAAGTCCATACGTTTCAACCATTCCGTTCTTGGAAAGTTAAATACTCTCCACATGATAAAAGCAATCACAATAATTGCTGCTGTGATTGAAGCTAATACACTCGCTTCAATCTTAATGACTTGAGAATTTTCCATCTCTCTCGATGAATATGAAATGGGTTGTTGAGAAATTCTTTTCACACTTCTTGAATTGTTGAAAATTGGTTCAATAGAACCCAATTGACAAATTGAACCTTCAGGACAAGGTAAACATTTGGCTTGGCCTGTAAGATTGTTAAACGTTCCATATGCACATGGAAGACAGAATTGAATGTGATTGGCTCCAATCAAACTATTGAAAAATCCTTTCGGACAATCCATGCAACGTCCAGAGGCCCCAAATTTATCATAAAAAGTTCCAGGTGGACAAAATTCACAGGCCTTATTCACTTGATAGGTTCCTGGTCCACACAAGTAGCACCTTGTTTCTTGTTGTTGTGCCTCCTTATCACTACTACACACATTCTCAACATTGTATTTGAATAAATCTCCATATCGAATCGAAGGAAGCATGTATCGAGTGGCATATGGACTACCCACACCTCCAAAAACATAAATGCTATTTCCAACCAGTGAATAAGAATGATAGGCTCTCGGTGGAGGTAATGTGTGCTCCGTGTAGGGAGGATCAATTCTTGTGAGTGATTGTGTTTTTGCATCAAATAACAAGACATCGCGATAGAGTTCATTTCCAACTCGTCCACCAAAGATAATGGCACGATAGCCTGAAACTTTGATCGTGATGGATCCAGAACGAGGTAATATGGAACCTGTGGAATAATTTCCTGCCATGGAATATTTAACCATGTCACTATTCTTATCAATGAATTCTAATTTGTAAATATTGGTAGTGGGGGTCTCTGAGAAATCGTGACACCCAAAAAGTAAAATAGTTTGATAACTACTAGTCTCTGATTCTTCGTATAATTTTGCAGTACATCCAATGGTGTATGATGTTGGAATTTGTACTTTGATTTTCGACCATACCTTGGTTTCTGCTTCATAGGTCCATAAATCCGTGTATTGATTGGATTGTGTTCTTCCTCCAAAGATAAACAAATGAGTGGTATTCTTGGCCATGGTATGTTTGTATCGTGGTCCAGGTGAGAGAGATCCTTTCGTGGGTGTCAACAAGACCCATGCTGTTTCATCCATGGAATAGGTCCATAAATCTGAATACGTTTTAAAGGTTGAATCAGCACCACCAAACACCCAAATTCTATCACCTAGTGTAATTTGCGTGTGAAATGCTCGAGCATGAGGTCGAACAGAAGTTTCCACAAAAGACCAACTCTCTTTTGAAATGGAATATCGATAGAGAGCATCCGATGCAACATCATCACTCGTAAATCCTCCAAACAAATACACAGAATCTCCAAGTGTGGACATGGTATGTGCATACAAGGCAGGTGGAGATCTAAAATCTCGATTCACTTTCACAAGACTCGTACTTAGTACATTAAAGGAATATAAATCATTAAAATCATAATCGAGTCCAAATCCTCCAAAGTAAATAATGTAATTAGAGAAGGAAACAACTTGAGAATTAGATCTAGGATTAGGTAGATTATCTTTCACTACTTTCCACCGAACGGTGTTTGAATTTGAAGAGGGAAGATCTGCTCGAATGATTTTACGAAAGAGAGATTGTTGATTGAGTCTTGAAGTTTTACCATGAAAGACATACAAATATTTGTCTGTGGTTGCACATCCCATGTCCTACATATATATTTTGGAGGGTGATTGTTGTTATTGTTGTTGTTTTAGTTATCATGTTCATGTTGGTTGAATGTCCATAGAGAAGGGTGGATAATAAGAATATTTAGTTTCGTAATTAATTCAGGTTGGTTCACCCGTACGAATGTGTACATGGTGCATACATTCATGTTTCACATGTGAAGATCATTATAATTATAACACACACATGTGTGAATATCATAATAATTAAAACACCAATGTCAAGAAAATGATTCCATTCATAATGCATAATGATATGTGTTGCAACAATAACAACAACAACAACACTTAACAACACTTACAAATATTGGACCCTGAATATCTCCAGTTTGATTCAATAACGTCCAAGTTTGTGAACTAGTGTTAAAACTCCAAATATCTGCCAATGCATCACCATGTGTTCCCAATCCTCCAAAAAGTAAAATATTCGTCTGTCCATTCACCACATAGGACTGCATGCAATGAGCATATCGAGCTGGTGGCCATGGATTCGTTGCTGGTGTCATTCTTCTCCATTCATATCGATCATTATTAAAGATCCATAAATCATCTCTCACACCGCTATACGTTAAACCTCCAAACATGTACACTTCATTATTGAACTCGGCAATTCGAGCATCAAATCTTGCAAATGGCTTGTTTGAAACATTCATCAATTTCCATTGAGATTTAGTAATTGAAAATTCATACATGTCATCTGAATAACTGGCAGATCGTCCTCCGAAAATGATTAATTTCTCTTCACTAGTTGGTGTGGCTGGAATGGTCCACATGACATGACCTTGTCTTCCCTTTGGTGGAGTAAAACCATCCAAAGGATCCACTCGATGCCACTGTCCTGTAATAAAATCATAGGCCCACAAATCTGCAAAATAACCAGTGCTTAATTGTGAATTTCCTCCATACACATAGAGTTTGTTGGAGGCAAGAGCCAATGCATGAGCAAATCGTTCGGGAGGTATTTGTGCCACATTGGGAATGCTGAACCATCGATTGCCTGTGAGTGGAGAATTGCTAAAGATTTGCAAATGTTCCAAATATCCTCCTGGCACTCGTAAGGTTCGATTATTGAAAAAGTCTTCATCCCAAACAATGGAATCTAATTGACTCCATTTAGCCACTGATTTTACCTCTGAACGAGTGATGCTATTGATGGAGTAAAAGACACCGAGACGATCGCCTAAACTATCAAATGAAACTCTTCCACTGGCACCAATGAATGACGTTCTTTGAATGGTTGCAAGTAGATAGGCTCCTTTGCTGGGATCGAGACCATCTTGACACATGGTACGAATGGCATAACCAAAACTGAGAGCAGAGTCATAGGCAAATCTCTATGATAATTATAAATATAAGATTGAATATTGTGGGTTTGGTGATAACATCCAAAATTCATGACGACGAGTATATATATAAAGTAATGAAAAGATTCATATATAGGTTTCATCTTCTATTATTACTTATTGCTGTCACTACTTACATCAAATGCTTGAATTTGTGAATAAGTTTCCTCAATGGTGGAATACTTGTAAGTAGACATGAATCGTGTGATAAAATACAAATCTGTGGACCACAGACCAGAATTCAACTCTACATAGAGCATTCCTTGTAAGAGATCAGAAATTGTAAAATTCTTATTGGTTAATCCAGGTTGATAGGCAAAGCTCTCATCAAAAATCCAAATGTATCCCTTTTCTGTCATACCGGTTTCGTGAATGGTTTGAAGTACTGTATCTGCGTCACCATTCGATAATATTGATACACAGACAAACGTTTTCGTGTTACTTTCTTTTGCCAAATAAATTTGACGTTTGATATCTGAAATATTTCCAGGTTTGAAATAGAATGCATTTGTGACATTAAGACCTAATGCATCTGCATTTCTAATGATATTTTCTGCAGAATCTTTTCCATAAACTTCATCAGAAGCCAAAATTGCAATTTCATTAAAATGTAGTGAATATAAAAACTCAACCATAGCGGCCGTCATTGAGAAAGACGATGGAATTCTATCACCAATGCATTCAGAAAAGAATTTCAATTTTTTTTTGAATATTAATGTAAATAGAGCCACATAATAGGATTAGAATTTTCACACTTACACTCTGTAGAACCATCGATTATAGGACAAGGTTGAGGTAGAAGATCCATAGGAAATCATTGGAATTCCAAATGGCTCAGCAATATTAGTTGCAATGGCCAGTGATTCATAACTGTAATATCTGTTGTTGTTGTTCATTGATTATATTCACTCCAGTGATAATTGTTCAATCCAATTTCATCACTTACCCTCCAATAATTCCCACATAACCCTCTTCTACTGTTCCATTCACTAAAATTATTTGTTTCATCTTATCGATGGCCTGATTCACATTTCCTCTCGTGACAACAAAATCATTTTGAATAGTGACACCTGGAGGAATAATTCCAGCAATTTTCATATATTCCAATCCACTTGAAATGGATGTTTTTAATTTATCACCACTGAATGTATTTGTGGCATCATCTTCATCGGGAATAACACTCACGAATTTAAATGTTTTCCCGTTGCAATCAAACTTTTGCGCAGAGATGAAATTGAGACCGAATGATGACAGGATGTAAAACAACAATAGAAATGAAATAATGGAATGTTTTAGAGAGCGTTGTTTGTGGTGTGTACTGTATGGTTGATGAGAATTGAAGAATGACTGAGATGGCTCCAGAGTTGTCGTCGTCGTACATGGAGAGCTGAAATGCGAAAAAGGATGTTTGTGATGACGATTACATTCCCTGCCAAGTGTCATTTTTTTAAAAATGGAATTTGTGGATTGCGAAATCGTGTGAAAATGGATATGACCCCTAAAAATATTTTAATGCTGTTTTGCTCTCAACTCTTGTTGTTCTATGAATGAATCGCAACGTTTCTGTATTCGTAGAAGTGACTCTTGAAGCTCTTCCAAATTTTCCTTAATTTCAGGAATCACATTGAGGATGAGAGTTTCATCATCGACTCTGCCTTGAAGTGACAACATACTTTTGGAAACTTTGATGAGCAATTGAGAAAGAGAAATGAAAAAACTTGTCTTTTTTTCACACTCCTCAGTCGTAATTTCAAATCGTTCTTTAAGCTTGTCTTGTTTGTCTCTCTCTTTTCTTGCTTCCAGTTCGTTCCATATATTGGTCACCACATGCTGATATTTACTTTGAGGTTCGTCGTTTGTTTGGGAATCTATAGCATCATTCATTGCAAAACTAATGTATGAAAATTCATCTTCGTAGCCAGTTTCTCTGTTGACAAATGAAGAGTTGTACTCCATGGCTTTTGAGCAAAAATCATTATTTAAATCAATTGCTGTCAGTAACATATCATTGGATCTGAATTTTGCATTTACTCCCAAAAGCGCAAGAGAAAGGTAAATATCATTATAGGTTTTTTCATCCAACTTTCTTTTTGAAATTATTTTCCACATGGGTTCAAAGAAGTCTTTGGTGAGAGTATTTTTCAGTTCTGTCGCTTCATCCATGGATGCAGTGCATTGATTAATGATATCGTTAATGCATTGTGATTGTTCCTCTTCTTCTTCCATATTTAGTAAGAGTTTGATCAATGTGCCAACACTGAGAGCCAAATTATGCATTTTCAATACAAAGCCATTCACAAATGATTGTGATTTGAAATAAAAAGAGTTCTGACCAAGCGATTCATTCACTTCAGAGATGGCTTGAAGTACCACAGTCTCGGCATCTTGATCTAACTTGCAATTGCCACCTGTGACGCTTGAAATTGTTGGTCTTCCATGTCTAAATGGTGCACAAAATGGAAGCCAATAACATTCCGAGTCACTCAATAGCAGCTGTAAGTGTGTCATTTCCTTATAACATTTCTCTTCCAGTGAATTTTCGACCATGCTGTATGTCTTTTTTGGTGAGTTCTCAACAGCGTCAGAATGAAAGAATTTGAGAAATTCATCACGTAGATCAATTAAATTTTCTTGATCAATGATGGAAGCCAATGTCTGCAAATATTTCTCCAATTGGATGAGTCTCTTTTCAATCACATCCTTCTTCATATTTCCGAACACAATTTTTGATGGAAATTTCAACATGGATTGTTTGTCTTTAGAGAGAGCATTGCAAACAACAGTGGTGTGAAATTCTCGTAAATTGGAATATCTCTTTTTTGATGTGTAGACTTCACTTGAACTGACAGTCACATTGATGCTGTACACCACATAATCATTTCGAACTTGGTACGAAGGAATCCGTACAAGCAACATTTTTTTCTTGATGTGTGCATGTCATCTGTTTAAAGACAAACAGGCTAAAAAAATCAATGGATTCGCTTTGGGTGGTTGGTCTCACATCTGATGAGGATCATAGAAGAAATAATACACAGTTTGAATGATCATTTACTCCGAATGTTGTGTAATGAAGAAGAAAAAACCGAAATGAGATTCAGAGGTTGAATGATGGCCATTATGATTACCCGCCATTTTTTCAAATTTACAATTATACATCATCACCATGATGAATTAAAAAATGTCTAAAACACCTTCTCAAACTGCCCGAAAGACTGGAAAGGGAGGAAAAAAGAATGAGAAAGTTGAAGTTACTTTATTGTCGGATCTAATTTATAATAGTAATGAGAACATTGAAAAGATGTTTCCGGAGTGGGATGAAGAGGTTTTAAAAGCATTGATGGAAAGAGATAAACAATTATATAGCGAGGAGGGAACTAATGTCAACAAACGACCTTCCACTAATAATGCAAACAAAAAGAAAGATTCTTCTTTGGACGAAATCTTAAAAAATGTGCACGCGATTGACTCAAACAAAATTGCATTTGACAATGTCACTTGCTCAGATTTTACCAAAAATTTAAAGGAATGGAAGCCCTTGAGATCAAAATGGGAACCAAGAATGTCACGTGATCTATTTCCAGCACATCCATATTTCGGAAGATTTTACAAAACAAAAGAAGATGCTCAAAAACAAGCTGTAGACGCACCAGACAAAAAGAAACAACCTCAAAAAAAAGCAACTGAAGAGCCTGAACCGCCATCGTTTGTCCCAATTGTTTTAGAGTCGTCGGATGAGGAGGAATTAATTGTTGAAGATTTTGAAAAATATTCTCAAGTACTAGATATCTCAAACAAAGGACAATGGACTAAGGCATTTGTGTCTGCTCTTTATCATATTGAGGAATGCAAAGAATACATTCCGTTCGGATCGTATTTGTGGGAAAAGAATTTGGCCCAAAAAAGAAAACAGTCAGCTACCAACAGTTTGCTCCTGGGGAAGATATTATTTAAAACTATTTTTCAAAGGAAAAGACCGAATTGTGATTGTCGATGACAAATTACCTCATGATGCTAGTGGAAAGAACCTATTTCCAATTTCTCCCTATGACGAATTTTGGCCTTCCATTCTCTTTAAAGGAATAATTGCGATATCTATCGGAAACGAACACCTTGCCTTCTCAAATCCATTGTGGTGTTTTTCTGCGCTGTTTTCAAATTTTGGCTCTCAATCTCTCTCCTGTGCCAACTGTCTCGACATCATTTCACCAATAACATGCTCTCTACAATCAAACAATGAATGGAAGAATTCTTTTGATTTAGTTAGGTTTTTATGCAACAACCCTCAAACAGGAGACAACACCAAGAAAAAGATATTACTCCTGACTTGTAGAAAAGACATTGATGTTGAAACATCTGGTTTAAGGAAAGACAATCTTTACCGAGTGGAGGATGTTAAGGTGTGCAAGGGAGAAACTATTCTAAAGGTCGTCTCGAACGATGTAGCTTGGAATGGAAAATATTCATACAAAAATTCGTCTGTTTGGAGTGCCGATTTTGAAGAGGAATTAGGATTTTGCTATCAGGATAGAAGAATTCAAAAAAGGATGAAAGATTTTTGGGTAGAAGTAACAGATCTTCAAAATTATTTCGAAGGTATACACATCCTTCATGAAATTTCAAGTTACTCTGTTAGAGCTGCTCTTGGTAGTCATGCAACTCAAATAAGTCCCATTGTATTTTATATTACTGAGACAACCAAACTATTTATTCGAATTCTAGGTGAAAAACAAGCCAATCCAAGGGTGGTTGTTAAAAAGGCTAGCAATTGGAAAAAATTGACGCCTAGTAAGGTAATTCATGATTTCTCGATATTTAGCTACGACTGTTTAATTCCATTAACTCTTCCATGCAAAGACGATTTTGATATTTTTGAGATTAGGTTTTCTAATGTGGAGAATCAATATATAGAATTTCTGAGTGAAAAAAAACTGGTATTTGGAAAACAAGAGGATATTTACTCTTCAAAACTAAGCCAATCTATCCAAAGAACAGACACTTTAACCTCTCCTCCTCATGAAATGGAGGAATGGAAAATCTGGAGTGTGTAAGTATCCAATCATGAATGTTCATTTCGTCCATTAACAGGAACTAGTCAACAATTTAACATTGAGAAAGAGGGAGTTTTCAGTGCAAGATTGCTAGTTGATGATATTTCAATTCTTCCATTCACTCATCTCGTTCTTATTAATAATGAAAACTTGTCTGTTGTGAAGTCTATCAATGGAAGAATTTTCCCAGTGAAATTACTTCCTTGTACACATCAATATTCACTGGTGTGCTACGCATGTCCAAACAAAAGCCTAGAGAGCACGAACTACGCTCTAGAGACAATTTCTGAGAATGATGTTTTTGATTTGGAAGCAGCAAAAACTCTTACATGCTATCCAGTTTCAATCAAAGGAAGATATTACACCAATCCTGAGAGGGAGCTATTTCGGTTTAGGTTAGACGTAGGAGAAAAGGCAAATATTTGTTTTAGATTGAAATTGAGTGAAGCCACTCCAGTTAAGGTGGTCGTGAATAAGGTTGAGAATTTTGAGAGTAGTGTGACCATATTGGAATTTGAAAATTTTGAATCAGAATGCGTGATTACAGTGCCAAACTTGGTTGTTTATCCAAGCTCTAAAAATCAAAATATTAGTTACAACATTGTTTGTACGATAGATGAAAAGAAAGCTTTGGAGATTTTATCAAATAGAATTAGCGTGGCCGAGTCTGAATTCCTCCAATATCTCAAAGAAAAGAGCGAAACCACCACTCTTCAAGAATTGAACGCTGAAGAATCGAAAGCTACTGATCTAAAGTCGCCAAAGAAAAGTGCCAAAAAGCCTGCATCTGCTGTTAAGAAACCAACGACGAATCAAAAAGCGAAAAAAGAACAAGCCAGAATTCCTTCAAAACAGGACAAACCTCAAGTGCTTACTAGTCAGTATATTGAGGGTACAGAGAACAGTTCAATGCCTAGCTTAATTTATTCCCTAGACATTTTCTCAACTACGCCCAATATTATTTATGAAGAGGTGAATGTAAAGAAACAAATCATTGACCAACTTGTTGAAGAATGGGAATCAAACTCGCCTCAAAATGTCGAGAACGGCTTAGTAGCAAGAGAGAAATTTATCAAAGAACGCCTCAAACAACTGCTTTCCACTAACGAAAACTCACCCAGAGCTGAATTACAATCCCAAACTACGAATGAAACGGAAACAGAACGAAAAGACAGACTTGCTCGAGAAAAAGAACAAAATGCTCAAAAGATAAAACAGCTGAGAGAGTTCAGGGACAACGAAATGAAACAGCTAGATCTTGTTGTGAATGATAATGTGGAAAGATCTCTTCAAACTTGTTCGTCAATAATGAAAGAGAAATTCATTGAAACTCAAAAACAAGTTCTATCTATGAAGGAACAAAAGCTTGAAGAAGAAAAAAGAATTGAGCTAGAAAGGCTGAATGAAGAAAAAAGTGCAAAAAAGGGAGCAACCAGTGGTGCCAATACAGCTCGAAAATCTACAAAATAATTCTATGATGTAAATTTCAATCACACTTCCTGATCCACGATCATCATTAATAAAAAAAATAAAAATAATAAAATAATAATATTTAAATCTAGCGTAGGATTGTAAAATAAATAATGAATAGGTCATCGTGTTCATGCAAATTATTCAAGACAATTAGAATGATAGTATTGTTATCTGTTTTGTCCACCACCTCTTCCACCACCTCCTCTTCCGCCTCCTCTAGCCTGAAGCCGTCCACGTCCAACTCCAAATCCTAATCCTACTCCCGATCCTCTACTAACTTTAGTGTGTGATCCATAACCTCTACCTTGACCTTTAACAGCAGAATCCACAACCTTGAACATCGGAGCTTTTTGTAAAATATCTGGCAACACAAAGAACCTAATTTTACTTCCTCGAATGTAAACAGTATTCATGGATGATTGTTGTCCATTTCTATGTGTTACAGTTACATCGGTAAGTTGAACATTCATACTATCTTCAGCCTCCACCAGCGTTCCTCTATAGGTTTCACCCGATTTTGTTTCGAGTGATATGATGTGTGATTCTGCTTCGTGGAGCAACTTGATGGGAATGCCAATATTGCTGCTCATTTTTTTTTCTTCTTTGAACATGCATGGAGGGCTTCTGAGTTCAAAAGACAAAACAGCCTTGTAACATTGAAAATCTCAGCAATCCGAAGGGGTACGAGATACCAGTGCCTTTGGGCAAAGTCAGCTGACTTTATTGGTTAGCTACTCTAAAGCAAAGTAATGTGTCAAGAGTGAAACAAAGCTCCGATGCTAAAAAATTACCCAACCTTTTCCTCCACAAAAAAAGCGCCAAAAATGAATCGTTTCGAAAGTGTTGTAGAGTTGATGGACAGACTTTGTAGAGCTCTCATACTCGGAAGTGGATCAAAAGCAACACCATCATCATCATCACTCATCATTGGCAATAATAATGTGAGATCATTCAGTTCAGATCATTTATCGATGTTATCAACTACACATCAAGGATCACACAGTAATACAACAATGATGTCCAACAATTCATCGGAAGTTACTGAGAAACTATTGAAGAAAATTAAAATGAATTGTTTTTCGTATTTGATAGACAAGAATGACAATGTAAGTGTTGTGTTAGTTTTTTTCAATAATTTTTATTCAATATAATTAGTATACCCCTCCTCTGCATTACACAGAAACTGCATTTTCGTCTAAGGCTGCAGAATTGAGCTACAGAGCCAATACATTTCTTTGTAATTTAAGAATGCATGGTTTAGAATCAATGGCAACTAATCTTGAAATTTTGTTCGACAAACTAATTTATTTGTAGGTACCTTTTGAAGATCATTTTGTTCTGAATTTTGTTTTCAGAAATGAGGCTGTGGCATCGATATTATTGACACTTTGTGAAAATTTATCAATTGAGGAAGTCTGCTTGGTTCAAAAAGAAAATAATTCCATATATGATATTTCAACAATGCACTTCTCCATAACACCTAATTTTTCTAACTCTCAACTGAACTTGGAAATGCAAACAGAATTTTTTTCTAATTTATTGATTCCTAGCTCTGACTCCAACCAATGCAACGTCACAATTCCTAAATCAGCTCCTTCTAAATCTTTTTTCATTGATGTGAATAATTTTTCACAAATTACTCCCGATATCACTAATCTGAAGAGGCCATTAAGCGATTTTACAACATTTCTGCATTCAAAACCTGAGAAAAAAAAGAGATCTATTTATTTTACTGAACAAAAACCAGCCAAGCTCGATGAATACAAACACTATTTCGAACGAATGTGTTTTGGATTAAACATTCGGACAATGCGAGAAGAAGATGTTGTTAATGACTGCTTACTGCTTTTTCAAGGAATTTCTTCTGGAGTATTTGTTTGGGATGCACAAAAATTTATTTTCAAAGTCCAACCAATACGGTTGAAAACATTATCATTTCTTGGATTGCGTGAGTTACTTCAGCAAATTGCTCAAGTTGGATCTATGTATAAGCGACTTGAGGTTGTCGCAGAGTTTTGCCAAAATAACGTAGCTCTTACTGGAAAGTGTTTGCAAAGCTGTGGAAATGGACTGGCGGAAATTTTGAAATGGTACAAATCATGTGTTTTGGAGTTAGACACAATACTCAAGAGATTGGTAACAGATTATTCCAACCAAAAAAGCCAGCTAACATTACTGAATGTTATTCATCACATCAATCCTCTCAGACAGAGATTGAACATTGTTTGCGAAATCTTTGAGTGCGATATTCAGGAGCTAAATTCAGATGATGAATATTCACTATTTTTAAGCGGTCTCTATATTTCAAACAGAATTAGAAATATTCCTACTGGTGCCAAGCTAATTTCGGTGCTATACGAAAAGATTCAATTGCTAGAATTAAGCTCTATACCTGAAGTGATGAACATTTTACTGCTCCTTTTTTCCTTCTCCATCACACCTTATTTGGCATGGATAAAACAATGGATATTTTATGGAGAGATTGTAGATGATCATTATGGCGAATTTTTTGTTAAGGCAGCTAACCATGCACAAGAGTCATGGTATAGTTTTCAAATTGAAGTTCAGAACATTCCTCTTCCATTTACATCATGTGCCAATGATGTATTTCTTACTGGTAACACGCTTGACACGATACGACGGTGTAATCCCTATCATTTTATTTTGAAAGATACTGTTAATGACACCATTCGGAATATTAGTATTTTGTTTACAGAAAAGGATTTAAAAAAATATGAAATTTTGTGTTCTAGATTGCAAACCATTCAACACAACGAGGCGCTAATGGAAATGCACAGACAGTTATCAGAATTGGAAAAAAAGATACGAAGTCAAGAAGAAAAACTAAAATTTGGAGAAGATATTTTAGATAGATTTCAAGAGGAAGAAGTGAAACTCAAAGACAAGATAAAGCGAGACATTTTGGAAAACTATCGAAAGAAAATGAATATCGAAGAGTTCGAAGAAGCATTACAAAAGGGTAATCCAACTACTGAGCCTGGTCTCAATGAGGAAGTACATCCTGAAAACATTATGATCGACGGAATTTCCAATGAACCTGTGTTATTGCAAGATGAGACAAATGGCACTCTTAAACTGGATCAATTTGATGCTAATCGCTTTTTGGAAAGTAGCACTCCAATACTGGACCTTCCTATAGAGATTGTGAAAAACCGAAGCCTTTTGTCATTATTCTATCAACAAAAACAAATGGTGGATAGCATATTTATCAAAATGCTCTTTCATGACTACAAGCTCAATGAGCATCTTGGTGCAATCAATGACTACTTTTTATTTAAGGCCGGAGATTTACATGATGCTTTTGCTCAGCTCATTTGTAGTGGCATGAAGAAAGGAGTCAATTATACTGATCCATATATTATCAATAGAACATTTAAGGAAGCCTTCAAAATTTCTGGACATGCAGAACAAGACAATGACGTGCTCTTGTCTAATTTATTTTTTGACATTAACCCCAATTCTGCGCAAACCATTTTTGATCCAAATACTATTCACTCTTTTGATCATATAGTTTTGAGATACCGAGTTCAATATCCACTGAACATAATTCTGACTCCTACCACTATGGACAAGTATTCACAGGTGCATTCATTGCTGTTAAAATTGAAAATTGTAGACCTGGCCTTGCATGAGGTTTGGTCTAACCTCAAAGTGCACTCGAAACGAACCATGAGTCAACAAATGCGGTATCTCCACATGTTTAGACAAGAAGTTCAGCACTTTGTGAATGTATTCAAAATCTTCATCTTTGTTGAGGTTGTTGAGTCAAGTTTTTCCAATTTTGTTAACGAACTTTTACGTGAGAAAACAAGCGACAACCTTAACGTTGAAAAACTATTGCTCTTGCACAACAGATTTGTTGAATCTTTACACAAACAATGCTTACTTGGACATTCAGCTAAACCGGTCATGGACATTATCAGCAAAATGTTTGGACTAATTTTGAAATTCAAAGCTCAAATGGAAGCCAATAGTTTTACAAGTGAGGAAGAAATCCCAGAGTTAGCTTTTAGGATGATGACACAAACAAGAAAAGAGTTTGTGGATTGTGCACTATTCTTGGATTCGTTAATGGATCGTTTGGCTCAACAATCATCAACATCAAAGTTTGGACAGTTCAGAATGAATTATAAATTTACATATTGAGCTGCTATTCTTACAAGGAATAATATTCACTAATGGTTATTGATTATTTGAGGCAGCTTCTTCCTCCAACATGTCAAAGAAAGAAACTTGAGTCTTCTCTGAAGGTTGAATTGGTGTTACAGGCGTGGGTACACTTGCAATACTAGTGATGCTGGTATCAAGCTCTGAAGGTAATTTAGTTTCAGTTGTTGGAGTTGTTACTTTCTCGCTTAAAGATTTGCGTAATTCTCTCATACGAAGCTCTCCAAACAAAACACAACCATCTATTGGTTTTGCATACTGATCCAGCATTGGAATGCTTCGACAACCTCTCTTCAATTTCTTGACAGGAAGATAATTTTCACACAAAAATTCATCAGCCGTTCTATTCTTGTCATATACGGAAATACGAATGACAGCCAACTCGGGGCAAGTAATATTGAATGCAAATCGCTTATTGAATACTGGGTTAAATCCATTGTCAGTCACACTTTCAGATTTTTCGTCATATTCATCTTGTGGAATTCCCAATACTTGAAGTCTAACAAAAGGATCTACAATTTCACCTCGATCAGCCATTCCAGGTTTTGGTAATTGTTCGCCACATACAATCTATGTCCATCACATGAATTCATGATGTTCCATTGTAGTTATAATCACCATGAATGACCACGTCATGCATATTCCAACTTGTAAAATTCTACTTACAGAAAAGACAATGGATAGCACTGGAGAGGAACCAACAGCAAATGGACTTGGTAGTCCTTCCATTCTCAAAAAATCAGGTTTCAACACATATCCACACTTTCCATTCTCTTCAAACATGACTTCATTAAATCTCATATGTTCATCATAGGTTTGATAATTGAGAGCAACCATTTGACATCCCAATGCCCATCCAATCATTGGATTATAATTACTGGAAGAAATTCTTGTTCCTTTTGGATAAATTCTCGAAATGTGATTCTTATTATATTTGATAATGGCTTCTGGATCTTTTTTAAGAAGTTTTTCTAATTTTCCTTCTGAAAAGCTGTGCATTTTCCAACAAGGTTCAGCAAACTCTCCCTTAAAAGAAACTGCACACAATGCAATAATATCAGACAATGCTTTGGCTACTTTTGATTTTTTCGCTGGTTTCGAATCCTTGTTATTATTCTTTGAAGGTTTTTCTTTAGGAGTGCTTGCTTCACTAGAACTGGCCATCGTTGAAGAATCTTCTTCATCGTCATCAGAGTCACCTCCTTCATCTTCATCATCACTTCCACTCACTAATCGTTTTCCTTTCAATAGAATTTTTCTTCTCAATTCATGAGGAGATGGATAACTTGTGATATTTTCAGGAGGTGGTAAATAGAGAGAATCTCCAAATATTTGAACCATGATTTTAGCCATCATTTCTTGTTGAGGTTCACTGCAATGTACTTCTAAACTAAGAATGACAGGATATTCGGATGCTTTGAAGGCATATTCAGCAATGGTTTGAATGACATCTTTGAATTTAATCTTACTGACAAGAGTGTGACCATGGAAAATAATTGGTTCTTCTTTTCCATCCCAACAATCCAATTCGACACATCTGCAGCCAGTAAGTAAAACTTCCTTATATTTTTCAACAGAACTTTCACCTTTGAGTTGATGTCCTGTTAGATAGGTATTGTGTGACGATGAAATGTAATAGTGAGATAATGGAAGTGTCATATCTTGATGTAGTTTTTTAAAATCTGATTTAAGAATTGAATTGGAGGAAGAAAATAAAAATCTTGTAAAGTCATAACTTGTCAATCCAAGTCCCATTTCAGTTTTGATGGCTCCATGTTGAATCATTAATTTCTCTGCGTCTTGAACAGTTTGTATATCATCTTCTTCTTGTTGACTTTGAATAAATTCAAAAAATTGAGGAGCTAGGACCAATTGGTGCTTTTTTGAATATTTTGCAAAAATTGTACTTTCAATTTCTGGTCTTCTCATCATGGATTTGTAAAATTCTACAAATTCTTGATATTCAATATATCCACTTCCGTCAGTGTCAAATTGTTTGTATTTTCTGAAAAGTGTTCATTAGAACATGATTGTTATTGATCATCGAGATGTGAAACGACAACCAATCAAACAATTCTCTTCCTCGAATCAACAATTTGAACTGTACTTACTGTTTCATGGATTTACTGGACATGTCAATGTTCAACTTTTGACATAGTTTGACCACTTCCTATAAAATTGATCATTATTCACAACACTAATAATTTTTAAATTATTACAAACCTTGTAATCCAATTGTCCATCATTATTTGCATCTGCTTTCATCCAATGTTTTAAAATCAATAATTTTGTAGGATCCCGATCATAACTAATTCTTGATTCTCGGATCAAATAATTAAACACACAAATGCATTCATTAAACTCGCTATTCGAGTCACAGTAAACGGTCACTTGATCTTCCTTTTGTCCATAAACAATAACAAATCCAGTAGATCCTGAATCCGATGGAGAAGTCTTTTTTGAAAATCGTTTAGTAACACCAAGAGATTTGACTCCCTTGATGGTTGATTCTGTTGCAAAGATTTGTTTAATGTCTCTTAAGAAGACTGAAAATTGTTAAAAATATGACAAGTGTCACACATCATCGCAACACTTTTGAATAATTTAAAATACATACGATGCAATTTCGATTCCTTCTTTCTTGAATCCTTCACTTCCACAAACGTTTCATCATCATCCAATACAAAATAATATTCTTTTGGTGGAGTGAGAGAGTTTGTTTTTTTCTTTTCTAAAATACATTTCAACTTTTTTCCTGATCTGAATTCGTGAAGTATTTTGTTGATGAAAGCAGGTTCTGAAAATCGAAAGGTGTCAATTAATGACAAATCAATCATAATTTGTTCGCATAATTCGTTATTGATGGATTTTGAAGAGTTGTGTTGTGGAGAGAGTTCGGAATGTTGTTGATGATGATGAATACTGGTTGTTGTTGTAGTAGGAGTAGTATTGAAGGTGAAGGAAGATGAACCTGGCTCAGTTGTGCTCTCATCGGGAGGTTGTGGTGTGGAGGAAGTGGCTGACATTTTTTTAATGATGAAAGGTGAAAGTTGACAGGTGTTCGCATATGGCAAAGATTTATACCGGAGATGATACACAAATTTACGCTTGTCCCAAACCTTCCAAACACCACTAATCTCAATCTTTGAATCATTTCCTCATGTCACACTCCTACCTATCAATGTCGTACATGTATCATTGTGTCTTTTTGCCTCTTTTTCAAATGCTTTTGCTGTGAACGACAAGATTTAAAAATTAGCCCCTGTTGATCCCTCTCGTAGACACCTTTGTCATCATGACGAGACCTTCTTCTCCAAATCTTCAAGTCCACATGGATACGTCCTCAACATTATCATTCAGGTGTAATTTCCATCCTAAAAAAGAAGGACATTCACAACCTTCCAATTCTCACCAAACCACATCAACAAACACCCTTGATGCAAGCCTTATGAAAAAGGTGATGGTCGTTCAATCCTTAAAAAAAATATTTTGAGTGAGACTCAAAACTGCTCCATCATCCACACCACCTACCTGCAGGTGTACGCTCGGAATTATCAGCAACACTCAAAAGTGCACAGAGGAGATTCATTACCATCATTATTGAAATCGATCAAAACGAGATATTGGACATCATTTTGGTTGTTCTTGGGTACATGTGTACTTGAATAATTATTTGTACATGAAAGAACAAGAGTTATAGAGTTGTTGTTTGTATTTTAGGATACCCACAAATAGAATGGATATTGTACTCGAGCAAGTTGTGGCCTCCCCCGAAGAAAGAAAAGAGTTAGCATATTTTAAAAGACTCTACTATGATCTTTATGTAAAGGATAATCAGTTGTCTCTCAGTGAAACAACATGGAATTCTCTAAAACCTGTAAGTACCTACAGCATCATATGACCTTTGTCTAACATGCAGAAAATTGAAAACACATGTAAAGAGAGCTCTCAAAAGAAAGCATGATCAGAAACAGGAAGAAAGTTCCATTCTAAAGAAAAAGAAGCAAGACAAGGATGATCCAACAACGAAAGGATACAAAGTGAATCTGATCAAGTTGTTTGATTCTGGCTTGCTTAAAGAGGGAGACTCTCTTGTTTACAAGAATGATGGAATAGTTGTGAAAATGAAAATAGGAAACAGAGGGACTGTTACATTCACAGATCCAAAAACAAACAAAACTGAGGTGCTGTCTCATTTGAAACCTCTCACAAGAAAGATTGAGGAGTCGTATTCTGTTACACGCAAGCCCAAGATGTGGAACGCGTTTTTCAAAGTCGAAGAGGTAAACAATCGAGTAGTAGAAACGAGACTGAAAGAATTACGAGAACAATATTTACGTCAACTGAACAAGCCTGTTGATCATGACTCACATGGTCAGGCCTTAAACGAACAAAAAATATGTAGTCCAAGAAACATGCGTGTTACAATAGGGGATCTTTTTAAAGCAGGTTTTTTAGCACAAGCTGATGAAATTGTGTATAAAGGCTCTCGCCACTTTCATGCCACAATTTCTGATGGAAGAATTAAATACAAGGACCCTGTAACTTGCACCTTTGAGTATTTTGAAACGGTGACGACTTTCAAATCTCACATTAAGGAGTCTGGAAATGCTTGGGCATGTATTTTCATAAGAAAGGACAACCAAGAAGTTTGCCTACAGTCGCTACGAGATGCTTATGTTGATAAAAAGAAGTAAATCATTGCATTACAAATCAACAATTGTATGTTTCTGATTTATGCCTTAATCTCTGTCGGCCGCATAATCACAGAGGCCGCTTGTGATAATGGAAATATCATGTTTAGGGTTGTTTTTCAAGGTTTGTTGAAATTTAACAATTCTTGCTCGCGCTGCAGCACTCAACTTGGAATAACTTTCAATTAATGCAAATGATTCTTGACAATGATTTGCTGCATCCATTAAAGGTGTAACTCCACTATGATTGACAATATCGGAAACTGCATTTCTTTCTAGAAGCATTTTCGTTGACTCTGGATTTCTAAAATAGAAAAGTGTTATTAAACTACCAATATACAATAAAAAGGCTTACCTGTAATAAGCAGCCCAATGCAGAGCAGTGTCACAATAAGGTCTAAAGTTGGTAGATGTTGCTGTGACCTCTGAAACAGTTCCAATACAAATACCTACGGCTGATTTACGTAATTATAATCTGCTCCCATGTTCAGTAAATACCTAACTATATCATTGTGATGCTTGTGAATGGCAATCATTAATGCATTTACTCGCTTTCAATAATTGTTGTTGTGTGATTGGATGATTTTATATTTTTTTAAAATTGTGTTTGATCGAGGAGTTAGTGATCTTCTCCGAACATACCCCCTTGTCAATCGTTTCGTTTATATTACATTTCCCACTCTCCAACAATGATTTCACTTTTTCCAAATCACCATTGGTTGCTGCCGAAACAAGTGGACTTGAATCGTAATTGGGATATTTATTTTGACGCTCCAATAATTGTCGTAAAGAGCGATGATGAGCCAAGTCATTATCGAAGGACATTTTTTAATGAAAAGGAACAGACAAACAAAATTCATGACATTTCAAGGGAGTTTTAAATTTGGTGTTTGGATGATGAGAACTTTCTCGTGACAAATGATTGTATTGGCATCATGACACGAAACAAAAATGACAGTAGATTGTAGATCCCAAGAGTGTATGGTTGATTTTGTTTTGCCGTAGTTGAGAGAGATTCATGGCGCTCTTTGAATCTCTCTACAGCAAAACAAAATCAACAAAATGAGCTTGTCGGTTTCTGTACCAAGGGTTCCAAGAGAATCCGGATTAACATCATCATCAAAAAATCAACAACAACAACAACTCAATAATAACACAGATAATGAAGAGGATGTCGATGCTTTGTCATATATTGAAGAAGAAGATGATGATGAACTTGGTGATGACGATGATCTCTCTCTTTCCGATGATGAAAATAGAGAAAAAACTCAAGAAATGATAGAAAAAGAAAACGCAGAGCTTGACAAAATTCTACAACTATTTAATAATGAAAATATATTTGAAAAGAATGATGCATTCATGCTGAGAAGCGAGACAGATAAAAAATACATCTCAAAAGAGACTGAAATCAAGGTGAGGAATATGTACGAAGATTTATATGTTGCACATTTAAATCGGAAAACTCTTCATCAAATTGAGCCTATTGAGCTTTTATTCTTTTTGGCAAGTTACAGGAATTTAAATTGGAAAGAAATACTTGTCAGAGCACAAGAAAATAAGAGACTAGAGGTGGTGCGAAACGCAATCCAAGCCAAGTTGGATGAGCAAAAACTACAGGAAGAAGAAGAAGAACAAAATAGTGTTGAAGGGTTTATTATGCGAAAGGTAAAAAATTATAGAGATAAGGTTGTCAAGTCTATGGAATCTAGAGTAGAAGAAACGATTAAGCATATTTTAAATGTCTTGTATTTTCCTGTCAAAAAAGGGAACACTGTAAAACCTTTGATTGACTTTGGGCCCAAGCGACTAAAATCAAAATTGAGAAGCATTGTAAAGTCAATAATTTATTCCGATTACATGTACATTGAAGGGCAGGAGGATCCACTTCCTGGAGAAGAGGACGGTGAGCCAACCGAAGTGAATGGGTCAGAGCTTGCTCAAAAAGAGCTCGAAAATATGTATGCAGAACTTTTAGAGCTTAGAGCTGAAAAACGAGCATTTTCTGCTGAGGAAGAGTTAATTATTGATATAACATGTGAAAAATATTATGAGAGCTTAAATGAGAATAGAAGGCAAGCGTTTGAAATAAGGAACCTTAAGGAACAACTCGAAGGTAGATTGAGTTTAATTGCAAAAATGAATGAAGTTTATGTAAATGAATTTCAAAAACTCAAGATCAGTATAATTGAGAAGTTGGAACAAAAAAAGAGCTTCAGTGACGATATCATGCTCTTATCTACAATGGGAGGATCACTCATTGCAGACTTTTCGTATTTACTTGAAGAAGAGAGAAAGAAAGCTCAAGATCTCTTAAAAACAGTGAGAATAACTTTTGGAAAGGAAAAGAAAATTATGGAAAACCAAAAACTAAAAGAAATGCAACTTTGGAAACAAAAATTGGAATCTCTAGTACAAGACGGGAACACAGCTATTGAAACTATGAAAAAAACATATGAAGAAGAAAAGCAAACTCTTATGAACGAACTCACTGAAAAAAAGAAAAAGAAGAAAGACACCAAAAAGCCAACAAAACCTCAAAACCTTAAACGAGAACTTTCTACAACAGTTGGAACCAAGGAAAACCCGAAAAAGTTCCTTGTAATTCACCACTCCAAAGGAGTAGGCGTCGAACCAAGACCACAAGTAATAGCTGTTACAGCAAAAACATCACACATTTTTCACAAAGATCAGCACACAAGTGACGATGAAGAAGATAAATCAGATGACGGAAACAAAGAAAAACCAAGTCCAAACAAGAAACTTGAAAGCGCTACAAAGAAAGCTTCAAAACCAGAAAAATCTGATGTAATACCTTTTCAAATTAACGTATTAGACCAGAAACGAGTGAAGTTCTTAAGAAGCGCCCAGAAATCGACCAGAGATTCTTTTGAATCCAATAACGACGACGAATCTTTGCTAAAAGATGAAACTATCACACAAAAGGATAAATCACAATATCAATACTTTAAATTGGAAAATGAATTGTCAGGCCATAAAAAACAAAATAGGTTACTAAAAGCAGCTCTGAAAGATAGGACTGAAAAGCTTAAGGCGATAATTATCAAGCTCAAACAAGTTAGACAAAAGAGAGAAGCTGCTCTTGATGAGCTGGACAAGTTTAGAGAAATGTTGAAAGAAGAAATGGACACAAATACCATGTTGAGAATTCAAATTAAGAATTTAACAGAGCAAATCAGAAGATATTCCAAAGCTGATAGACTACACAGAAAAAACACTTCCACTCAATTGCTTGAAACCGAGTCTCCAACAAATACGATAACTGTTGAAAGTCCTTCAACTCAAAAAGAAGACAAACAAAAGGTCAACCGTATCAAGGAACAGTTTGGACATTTTAGAAACCAACTTAAACACTGGCCCAACAGTGAAAAGGCCGAGCTGAATCAAATCATTGACATTGACACTGTAGAACAGCTACAAACAGCAGTAGCAGAAGCAGGAGCAATAGATTCTACATTTTCTAAAAAGCTGCACAAGTGGGACAGTTATGTGAGAAAGACAGCCCTTAAAAAATTTAAAAGCACACCAAACATTGACCTGATTTCTGAATTTGGAATAGGTGAGTGATTTCTTTATTATTTATTATGAAACTTTAACTTTCTTTAACAATAATGATGATAGATGCATCACTCGAAAAACGTCGAAAACAATTGATTGGTTGTGACCGAATGGTTCAAACAGAAATTAGTTGTTTTGCACCAGATACAAACAAAGACGCCTTTATTGTTCCTAGTGTTGCTGTTCCTCGAGAGTTAAACTCAGCCTTTGACACAATAGAAGAGCAAAATGACCTGCTGGATGAATTGATTGGCGACATTGAACAGTCTTGTGATCTCACTGAAATTGAAAAGATTAACCTGTCAAGGATAAAAAACAAGAAAAACAAACTTGCAAAAGAAAGAAAAGAACGCTGGGGAAAGGTTGCACAAATTGCCCAACAGTTAACAAACTTTAGTTTGGGGAAGGGTCAAGTGCCTCTGAGCATATCTACCATTGATCAGGTTGTAGGTCTTGAAAACGAATTGAGCAACAAGGCAAACATGTTTCGAGTTCTCCCTTCCAGATTTGGCAACACAAGGTCGACGTCTCCCTTGTCTAGAGAAAATACTCCATCATCCTCAACTAAAAACGATTCCATTATTGCCAACAGAACAGAATTTCCATATGGTATCAACCGAAGGTCTGAATCTGTGGGCACCTGTTTAGTGGAGCTTGATGAAAATTCAGATGTCAACTTGTCCGAACTGAGCTCAGGAATTAACGTCACCTCTCAAAACAATTCTTTCCAAACCAAAAATCTTCCCAGACTCTATCCTCAAAACAACAACAACAACAATCATTTGAATCACTCTTTATATGGTCGACAAAGTGCTCCCTTAGTAAGAACAAAAAAGAAAAAGGAGCAACTTGCAGCAGATGATTATAGACAATTCCTCAATGCTTACAAGTCTCCAACCAAAAAACCTTTTCTGTAGAGGTGTGTCTTTTGGTACATTTGGAGGTACTTAGATGGTTTATCCCTTCTGGTCTTGATCATGACAATCACATCCCACCGGTCACTGAATGGCTGATCATGATGATGATGGATTTTACATTTCAGACGAAAGGCCATCACCCAAAAGTCAAAAATAAAAAATGTCTCAACAGCTGTCGTATGTAACCGGAGTAGACACCAGTACCGTTTACCAGAAATTGGAATTATTAGGAGAAGGGTAAGTGAGCGTGCACTCAGAGTTGGTTCATCATTGTTTCTTTAAACCGATTACGACCATGTTTTGAATGGGATGATATTTAAAATTTTCTTTGCATCATCATTTTTCACGACTCTGTGCTACAATCATGATTGTTTATCGAACAACAACAACAACAAATAGATCTTATGGTGTTGTCTGGAAAGTACTCAACAAGAATGATGGTAAAATCTATGCTCTCAAGTGCGTTCCCGTTGAGAATGACATTACTGAAGTGGAGAAGGAAATCAACATTCTAAAGGCTTGTGACTCGCCTTCAATTGTAAAGTATTATGGAGCCTACAAACAAGATCAAGAGCTCCAAATAGCCATTGAATATTGCGGAGGAGGCTCTGTTCAGGACTTGCTCACTGTACTCGGACCCGTTCTGAACGAACAACAAATTGCAGCAATTTGTGCTTCCACGCTGAAAGGTCTTGTGTATTTACATTCTCAAAAGAAGATCCATCGTGATATCAAAGCTGGAAATATTCTTCTCACAGACGATGGAGATGTAAAATTAGCTGATTTTGTAAGTAGAGTGTTCGAGTTTTGTTAGAGATACATGATGATGATGATGTCATGGTCGTAATCACATTGCTATTGTTTTTACACGAATAGGGTGTGAGTGCTCAACTGAACAATACAATTTCCAAAAGACGTACAGTCATTGGAACACCCTACGTAAGTGATAATGATGGCTCTTCATTCAATATTTAATATTAAATTTCAATCATCATACATGCCATGTCGTGACAACTTTCGAATATTATGATCTTCACATTTCAAATTTGAAATCATCATTATAGTGGATGGCCCCAGAAGTAATTCAAGAAACAGAATACGACGGAACTGCAGACGTTTGGTCATTAGGCATTACTGCCATTGAAATGGCTGAAGGAAAACCTCCTCTTCATGGCATTCATCCCATGCGTGCCATTTTCATGATTCCAAATAGACCTCCTCCAACTCTTGCAAACCCTGACAAGTGGTCAGATGAATTTAAGGATTTTCTTGCATATTGTCTTGTTAAAGATCCATCAGAACGACCATCATCCAAAACTCTTATGAAACACAAATTTATTCAAAAGGCTAAAACAACAAAAATTTTGCAGGAATTAATTGACAAGATGAATGAAATATTTGCAGAAGCAGGAGGCAGATTTAATTATTTCAAAAAGAGAGCTGAAAAAGAGAAGGAATCTGACTCTGAAGAAGATGAAGAGACAGATTCTTCTTCAGAAGAAGAGTCCGAAGAAGAAGGAGATTCATATGACACACTTGTTCAACGTAAACCCAAGTCAGCAACAGGAACGACTAAAATCACTACCACAAAAAAGAAACAAGAATCTTCATCTTCAGAAAGTGAAGAAAGTGACAATGAAGATAGTGATGATGACTGTGGAACTATGGTGAAACATCAGCCAGCCAAGAAAGAAAACAATAACTCTTCACAAAATAATTTAATTCAAAGTGAAGAAATGGAGCAACTTAAAAAACTCTTCTCAGCTCTGAATGTGGATGAACTTAAAAGACAACTCAAAAATATGGACGAAGAAGAACAAAAACAAATTCAAGAAATTAAGGAAATGTTTAAAAAGAGGAGACAAGTAGTGCAGGCCCTTATAGATCAAAAATAAATCTTAATTGTATTTCATAGACAACGCAAAAGGTGTGTGGAATACCAATTTCTATTCTTTAAGCTGTTCAGTGTTTGTCACGGGGTTCACCAAAGGGTTTTTTGCAACACCTTGTGTCATTAAGGTTGTGGCAACCATTACACGATTCAAAAGATCTGGCTGAATTTTGCCTCTCCTTAATTTCTGACAAAGGAAAAAATATAAGCTCCGCTGCCGGGAATCGAACCCGGATCTCAAGGGTGAGAGCCTTGTGTCCTAACCATTAGACTACAGCGGATTACGATTTTGAAGGTTTATTTTCAAATATCATGATTGAGAAGATCAGCAAGCTGTGTTAATAATGTTTAAACGAAATGTGGATAACCAACCAGAACATGAAGAATTGTTCTGATTTCAAAGTGACTGTTCGTACAAAGACTGTAGTGAAAGTGTGGCCATATTCCTGTCAACATTTGTCCATATTAAATGAGAGATCACTTGAAGAGAAAAAGAGACTTTTGTATTTTATTGAAACGCTCAACATTCTCTCAAGAATTTAACCCTTCTTGACCATGGGCTCTAAAATGCAAAAATATGGTGGTGAAGTTTCGTTGCCGTTAGCTCCCTTCTCAAGATCTTTTTATTCTCTCAATATCTCATCAGGAAGCATTGAGTCACCTTTTGAGGTCTTACACACCCTTTGTGGAGTTTCGAAATCACAAAGGGCGTGACGACAAGAGGAATATCATCAGCAGAGACCTCATTTTGCTGTTCGTTTCTTTCTTTTTTTTGATTGCAAGAGACGCTTGTTTGGACCAGAGAGACTCGGCTTGCTTGGCTATTTATCGATCTTTGAAAACACATTCACGTTCACGAAGCCAGTCATCCCAAGTTGAATCTTCTTGAATAATTATTTAAGGAAAGATGAGTTGAATGATGAGAATTCCGAGTGCCAACTTCAAAATAGAGTGTGATTCAATGACATTTCGACAAACCAAATTTCATCATTTCGAATCACGATCTGTTTGGAAACCATTATATAAAGTGATTGATTGGAACATTTCATAACCACCACCAATATTTAACTGCACTACAAGGATCGAAAGATTTCTTGTCACTCACAGTTCATACAGGCAAAGACTGTAGCGGGTGAGTCGCCATATTCCTGGCAGGCATCCCGTCCATATTCAATGAAAGAAAGAGAAAAGAAATGAGATCTTCCAGAATTGGAGTCCTCATCTCGTTTAGATTCATTCGTCACATTTGTAATGAACTTTGAATAAACGCTACTGCAAAAAAATGTCAGAATTCAATCAAACAGTTATCATGATCGTGACCAATATTTTCATGGCCACAGTTGCTTCTCTTCTTGTCATGTCTCTTCTTTTTTACTTAGTCAACTTGGTTTACATCAACAATGAAAACAAACAGCATTACTTCACGGCGTATTCTTTCATGATTTTGGTGTATGCAGTTTTTGTTGTTGTGAATGTTGCATGTGCGTACTCTTTGGGAATTTCCTCCATCATCCTTTCAGTGACTCTTGTTCTCAAATATGGAATATCCTCCTACGATATTGCAAATATTTATCGTTTCCTGAGGAAGTGGAAAGAAAAGCTCTTCACGAGATTACCGAGAACATCAAAAAGAAACGGAAAGAAAAGCTCTTCAAATGAAGCAAAAGATTGCTGAAAATGCGCAAAAAACAAAATTGGAAAAGCAAATGGCTGGAGTTCATGACCACCAGGATGAGCAATAAAGTTGTGTTTGGTTCAAAGTGTCCGTTCCTAAAAACATGGTTTTAACAAAGGCGTGAACAATAAGCACTGTTGGAGTGTTGAATTGCATCTATTCATTGAATGACGAGAATATTAACAATTTAATTATTAAACACTTCTTTTTGTGGACTTTCTTTGGATAAATCTTCTTTCTGTACATGACTCTTTGGCTCTGATAAGTCCTCTAACACTAAATCTTCTTCATGGATCGAGGAGGTATTCAGTTCTGAATGTTCAGGTTCTTCAGGTAACATGTTGTACTTTCCTTCAAGATACGAAATTGCCTTCTCTGTGGATTTTAAGGGGAATCGATTCTCAAATTGGAATCTTGGATGAGGGACATTGAATTTGTTTCGAAGATTGGTATCTTTTTTGAGAGCTTGTACTTCTTGTTCGATAAATTGTATCAGAATGGATGTATTCATTTCCTTTCTCAGAATTTCTCTATTTGTGTCATTTTCAAAGACTGCACAGATTAGTGTTGGTAAGAGAATTTGTCTGTTTTGATGTTCAGAATAATATTTCTCAGGTAGTGAGATGAGTCTTTGAAGTAGTGTTGGATTTCTTCCATTATGATAATGAAGCATGTCTTGATTGGATTGACATTCCAAACAAAAGTATCCAATCTCTAAAATGATCTCGTTCAATAAATCTGGAATAGTAATTTTGTTGTTGGGGGTGGTTGATGTGAATCCATCATATACTACAATGGATGGTTCATAATTTACAGATTCAATATACGCTAAAAGGTATCCAATAATGTGAAATAATTCAGTTTGGAATGTTTCTCCCAACGTTTTCTGTACAAAGTCTAGATCAATACAGGACAGATTGTTTAAAATTCTAAATGTCAAGAATGTAATCTTGAGTGCTAAATCATTCATTTCTGGTTTGGTATTTCCTCTAAGTGGACCATTTGCAAGTATCATGGTGCTGAGAACAGGCAAGATGTCAATAATGTTTGTCTTTCTAAACTTATCAATTAGATTTTCAACCTCAGTGCCTTTCTTTTGTACATAAACAGGTAAATGTCTAACTTTAGCATATGGGAAAGTTGTCAGCACTCTAACTAGCTCCAAGCTCTTTAAAATGAATGAAGATCTCTCTTGAAGTGAAATCTCGTCAACATATTTAACTTGAGCTTTGATAGTATCTAAGAGTTTTGTGTTGACAATAAAATCAATAAAATAGTCCTTAAACATGACCTCTGTTTCTACTGCCTCCGCAGTTGGAGTTTGTAATAGCTTGGTAATGATAACAATCATCATTTCCAATTCAGGAAGGGATGATGGTTGATTACCAACGTCAATTGCTGTTTGCAATATTGAACATATTAGTGAGTTAGTAGTGTTGATATAAATTAAGTTTTCCTTGTTCTTGCAGAGTGTGTTAAGAGCATGAATATATGCAGATCTCTCTTCTGCATCTTTGCTTTGGCTCATTTGTAAACAGACACAATCTAAAGCGCCTTCATCTCTCAAAGCCTCTAAACTATCGTTTCTTGTAATTCTAGAAATTGACAGTAGAGCAGAAATTAACACTTCAGGTTTTGTTGGATCCTTGATATGCTGGACAGTCTTTTTGAATAGGGTTGTTTTAGGTTTTGTTTTTGGTCTAATTTGAAGTAATTTCTTTTCCATAGACTCGAATGCCTTTAAGAATTTTTGTTTTGCCTTTTTGAATTTCTTATTAGCTTTTTTGGTATTATGAGAAGGATCTTCTTCACTGCTGGGCAATAAGACAACAGAATTTTCAGTTTTAGGAGGAGAGACAGCTCTTTTCCTTGCTTCTTCAACTTTTTTAAGATCTATGGATGCTTTGGCTTTTTTGGTCTCGATAGTTTTTGTTTTTCTATCCTCAGCAGCTTCTAACTTTTTTTCTAATTTTTCAGAAAGTAAATGAGTTGTTAATTCGGATTCTTTCTTTGTTTTTTGTATCTTTTTTTCATATTCAACCTTCTTGTTGATTCGTTCTGCTGATTCCTTTTCTTTTTTTTCTTTAATCAACTCTCCTTTCTTCTCTTTGGCCTTAATACTTTCATAAATTTCTTTTTGTCTCTCTGCCTCCAATTGTTCACGTCTTAATTTTGCAGCTTTTTCTTTTTCTAAATCCTTTGTGCACTTGACCTTGATTTTGTTTTGCTCTCGTTCTCGTCTTTCTTGTGATGCAGATAATTTTTGGTCAAGTTGAAATTTGTTCTTTTCTTCTTCTAAGCTTTTGATAAATTTAACTTCTTCTACTTTTTCGCTTTCTTTTCTTGCTTCTTCCATAACTTTCTTAATGTGAATTTGATTATTCTTTCTCGCTCTCTCATGTTTCTCTTCTTGCCTCTTTTTTGTTTCCTCTAATTCTTTCTCTCTCTTCTTCAACACCTCCTTTTGCTTTTCAGCTTCTCTCAAAAACTTGACTTCTTGCTGGATCTGCTTTGTCTGTCTATTCCATGCGGAGCGAGCCATTTTTTCTTCTTGCCTTCGCCTGATGTCCTCAGGAGAGAGTTTTCGTCTACTGGGAGATGAGAGTCTTTCTCGTACAGACATAATATCAGGAGAGCTGGGTGGTGAAATGTCAGGTGACACATCACCCCAGCATCTTCCTTGCGTTCCAAAGCTTGGGCTATTGAATAATTCTTCGAATGATGTGCTTTTTTGAATTTGTCCAAAATTTGAAGGTGACGTAATGGAATCATTCAAAAACGGACCTGAAATGATGTCTGCCATGGAAGAGCTGGAAGATATATTCATAGTTGATCTCTGTTCTGTTTGTCGTTGTAGAAGCTGAATTATATTAATGAATTTAATTTGTGTTAATTAATTGATAATTATTGAATTCATTGAACACTTACTTCCGAAAGTTCATTACATGTAGACGACAAAATATTGACAACCTCCATCGTAAAATCTTGGCCATTCACTTCACACTCTCTATGTAATTCTTCAATGTATCTTTTCAAATCGTCTTTCATTTCTTGTGAACAATCGACACCTCCTCTGGGAGAAGTCAATGATGACAAGGCTGAATTTTTTGAGTTTTCATCTTGAGAAGGTGTGGCAGATGGGATTGAAGGAGAGGGAGGTTTTTTCACCGTGTTCGAAGAGCTAGGCTTTGGGCTTTTAACTTGAGACGATGTATTGCTACTAGTCGAGGAAACATTCACAACTCGAAACGAATGAAGGTTTTTCTGGGAATAATTATTCCCTTTGTTTTTGTTGAATGTTTCTCTTGGATTGATCTTGACCTCTGGTGACGAAACATTGGATGAGTTGATGGAAGGAGATTCCGATGACTGATCATTTCTCCAAGCTTGCGGGGTGCCTGAGCTCTTCTTTGTGGCATTGGTGAGGGATGATGATGGCTTGCTCCAGGCAGATGATATTCCCGAAGTCCTACTATTCTCATTATTGTTTTGATGACTATCCACGACAGAGGGTGATGCTTGTGATTGAATGTTGTTGTTGGAGACTCTTGGTGTTGTATGACCAACAGACAAGGAATTGTTGTTGTTGATGGTACTACGAGGAGAGAGGAGCAGTGAAGAGCTGCTATTCTCTGCCGTTGAAGCACTTTTTGACATTTTTATGAATGAAATTTGAACTTTTGGAAGGCGCCAAAACGAACGAGTTGTAAATTTTGATCGTTGTTGATAAAAATCAACGTCGCTTCTTGATCGATCGATTTGAGGAACATATCTTTCGTGTTGATGGTGTTCCAATTTGAATCGATTTGAAGAAAATCTCTTATTCCAACAAACTCCAAGTTGCCTCAACAATAAAGGAGCCCTTCCATTCGAGAATTCTATTTTCAAATTCACTCGTTAAAAGAAAAAAAATGAACACAAGCGTTGAAACTTCCTCTTCTCTTCCCAATCAAATTCAAACTACGCAAAGCAAACCTCCATCGGAATCATCGGGAAGGAATTGGATTGTGTCTGGAGTGATGAAGGCGTATTTAATTACTTTTAATTCTCTGAAAGATGTTGTTACGAATATTGTACTTCAATTAACAGAGACAATGAAGAAGGAGGAAGATCATGTAGTATACAAACGGGTTGACCAAATGTTACGGAAGAGTCCTGATAATCCAAATTATTATTCCATTGCTCGAGCTATTGAACAAATAACATTATATTCAAACCAGGCAGAGGCTTTATTTAAATTCTTTACAAGCGAGCTTAAAATTCCTGTCGTGTATGGGTTTCAACCTGTTTCACAAGCAACAAATTATCCGATCGAACAATCAACAAGAATGGGGTGTGCATTTCTTAACAATTTTAAAATTCATTGTGTTGAGCAACCAGCTCTCAATACTTTGAGGTCTTATTTAAGCGTTATTTTTACCATGTTGCTAGGAGAGAGAGTTGTTGGGCGACTTTTTAATGCAAATATTGAACTACATGATGAACAAATGAATAGCGATAAGAATATAACTACACTCTATTATTCATCTCAAGCTCATACATTTGGATTGTTGGGAGTTTCGTTGTTGTCAGGAGTGACAGAATCGAGCTTGTTAAAGTCCAGAAATATTATCTATACCAAACAATTGAAGTCTCTTCATGAATACATTATTACCAAACCAATGCTTTCAAAAATCAAGATGGATAAGCATGAGAGAGTTACCATTTTCAAACAAACCTTTTTGTTTGGCTCAATATGGGAATTTTTCAAAAAATATTTCTACAAAAACGAACCATTCAAAAACCATGGATTATACACAATCAGATACCATCCATACTTTGACCTTTTGGTAAAACTAGTTAGTGATAAGCATGTGAAATTTGTGAGAATGGACGATTTTAGAGGAAGCTCTTGGAATTTAAAATATCTTCCATTAGGAGTTCTAAAGATCAAATCATGCAAAGAAATTGAATTCCATACTACGGCTATAAGGGAGAATGTAGATGGCCTGCTCACTTTCATCAAGTTATTTGGCTCTCAATGCGTTGAAGTCATAGAGGCCTATCGTCATTATATTTGGGATTTCTCTAAACTTCCTCATCATCCAAACACATCCCCATGCCCTAACCTTAGAGTCATTTGCATGGACAGGAGCGAATTGTGTGAAATGAATCGCGTTTATGGCATTCGTAGACTAGTCTTCGAAGTGGAATCATTGGATCATTGTCAATACCAACTACAATCAAAAGGTATTCCTTTCATTCTAGAATCTTCAAGCATTTCCATTTCCCACCCTCTTCTACAAAATATTCAAATAAATTTGGTGGAGTAGATCTATTATCAATAAAAGAATGATTTCGACTCATGATTTATTTCCTTAATAACCTAGCCCTAGCAAAGAATTTAGCGTTCAGTGGATGGTGTTGGCTCTTAATTATGGTGTTATCGCAAGGTAATTGGTCCACTAGTGACGATGAACTCTTTTCTTTTTTAACAATGCCCACAGGTCCAGGGATTATTCCTTTATCCTTCTTGCCTTTCTTCTTACTCGATGTTGATTTACTATTTCTCTTTTTCTTCCTTGTTGGAGTATATTCTTCGTCATCAATTTCTTCTTCTTCGAGAGGTTCAGATGGTGCTGTTGTTATTCTAATGGTTAGACACTTGGGATTGTGTGCGACAACCTTCATTTGCTCTGGTAATTCGAACTCTGATTTAACAGCGTTAGGAACTTCAATCTCTTGATTCGTATAAACCTTGGTAGGGTTGTTATAAGGATAGTTATAGGATGCATTAATTTCATCATAGTACTTTGAAATGAAAGCCTGATCTGAAGGTTGCAGTTGATGAGGTACTGTGGCCATACCAAAATCATTGTGCAAAAGTAAGGCACGGTATGATTCAGCTGCATTGCTTATAGAGAATTGGCCATTGTTAGAAATGTCGAATGGAGTAACAGAGGCAGAATTAAGATCACTAAGGGATGAACTACTCAATGGATCTGCATCAATGTCATCCAGAGGAACATCGAGATTAATTCTTACCGTGTCAGGGTCACATTGACAGCGCTCACAAACCTTTCCAATGGGCAGCCAACGTTTTGTTGCAAAGTTCACGGCCTCATTGACATTGATGTCCCAGTTAAAACCTTGATGATAGCTTCCTGGAAGTGTGATGATGAATTCTCCTGGTAATTGCGTCACACGAGTAACCCTAATACCATGCTCTTTCAATGTGAAGGGAGAGATCAAGGTTGTCTTGTGTCTGAGAAATTGGGAGCATGTTTGGAATTGTTCGGGAAATGTTTTTTTGACCAACTCTTCAAATTTGTTCTTGTAAGGAAAGGGGATTGTGTACCAAACCTTAGGACTTCCAAAATGCATATAATTGATACTATATAGATCTAAATCTTCGCAATGCCAAGCGAAAAACGATTTGTAACTACCAACATAAAGATAAGGTGAGTTAATTCCTGGCAAAGTGATTCCTTGCTTCTTTAAAATCCTAGATAAAACTGAATCTAATGTATTCAAATTCCATGGTGTCTTTGGATCGACGAACAATGTGCCGTACAAATCGCTTCCATAGAGCGGAGCTTGAAATGCAACATTCTTCCAAACTTTTCTTTCCATCCATTCCACTTGTTCCTCCAAGGTGGTCAAGTTGCTCGGAAGAGTTGGTGCCTTCTCGGTAACTGCTTTTGGCCACTTCTTGAATGTGGTTGGCTTTGATTCTTCCAAATATAACTGAAAGACGCCCTTCACGCCATCAACGAATTGTTTCACGGGTGTGGCAATTTCAAAATCAATTTGGTCCATAGTGAAGTTATGAGGTTTCCATTCCTTTGGAGGAATGATCTTGCAAATACCACCATAAGAACAGGCCGGATCCACCACCCGATCAATGTAGCCTTGAAAGTCAGCCATTTCCTCCAGTGTGGGAGTGAATACCGGCACTGAATCATAGCCGGAAATGTTGTTGGATGATGAGTGGAGGCTCATATCAAAAGAAACTAAAAGAGGTTGGAGTACAATGAGTATGTAACGGAAGACACAATACGAGTTAATAAAATAATCCTACTAATAACAGCAATGTTTGTTTGGTTGTTGATGATGATTTTGTTTTTGGTTTGCCAACAGATCGATGATGTTGTTAATCTTTGAAACGCAAGATCGATTTTGCTGGTGTGATGATCAAAAAAAAGAAGGCCAGACGTTCGTTCGGGTGAGTCGCTGTGATTGTTGAAAGAAGTTGGTCCGATTCAGATACAGAAGGATTGGCGTATGTGAAAGTCACAGGTTCCCGTACTATAGTCCGTTTTAAACGAAGAGAGAGCAGTTAGTTTGGTCTTTTGCCTCAACCACAAAAAACAGTCTTTTGATTGAATGGTGAGAGTGTTCTTTTTTTTATTCCTTTTTTGACGGCTGTGTTGCACACGTCTCCCATAGACCAAGTTGAATTTCCACAAGTGGATTGAACACTAACGTTATTGGTCAGACAATCAAGAGGGCAGTTGTTGTTAAAAACTAGAATAACAAGCTGAACAAGATAGATTCTAAAGCATCGCCCATTCACTGTGTAAAATTTCCCAAAGTTAAATTGGTTCTCTTGGTCATAGAACCCAACGTCATCTTGCAAGATTGCATCAGTGAGAGAGCAATGATGGAATGGGGGATCTTTGATTTTGGACGACTAAGGGTGATGTTCTGAATGGCAGAAGAACACTTTCATAGTGGTTTCGCGCTGTTTGTAAAACAAGAGTTGGCGCCATTTTCGAGTATTTGTAGCTGAAGGATTGCTGTGTCGAAACAACACCATACAAAAAAATTCGTCAACAACAAGAACCTTCTCCTCACCACATCAATACAACATCATACAATGTCGGACAGTAAGAAAGCAGTCATTAAAAACGCTGATATGGAGGAAAACATGCAACGAGATGCTGTTGATATTGCCTCGCAAGCGTTAGATAAATTCAACATTGAGAAAGATATTGCCGCCCACATCAAGAAGGAGTTCGACAAGAAATACAACCCAACATGGCATTGTGTCGTCGGCAGAAACTTTGGAAGTTATGTTACACATGAAAGTAAGTATTTTGTTGACCCATCTCATTTGACACGATAAAATTTGTTCCTTTGACTTGTTTCCGAAATACCATCATCCTTAATTTTAGCCAAGCACTTCATTTACTTTTATCTTGGACAAGTTGCCGTGCTACTTTTCAAATCTGGATAAACATATAACAAATCGTTTTGTATTTTTGTCTAATATTGATTGCTACAAGTGTACATCTCCCTTATGTGGATCGCCATTGATCTGTTCAAAATTCTACATAAAAATTATTAGTTTAGAAATCTCATTTTACAAGTTTGCTTGTTCTCGACTAAATCCGACATCTCGTAAACATAATCTGTACGCATTAATTAAATATTTGCATTCGGCATTATCTTCTCCGTTCGTGATGAGACAACTGTCTCTAATCTTTTTAATATCGGGACATGAGCAACAAATTTTCTTTGCTGGAATTCTGGGTGCGTCTGAAAGACTTTTTTCAATCAAAGATAATTCTTTTTCCATCGTTGTCTGTTGGGTGCATAATTGAAGAGCCTTTTCAGCCCATTTACATTTGCTGACATCATCAGAATTGTTTTGTTTGCATTCAGCAAGAAGAGTTTTGATAGTTTCACAGGACATTTTTTTGTTGAGGACGTATTTTTTGATTGACCGTGAGGGCCACAAAAGGAAGAGTTGCTCTTCATTCCAAAAACACTCCAGTGTTATCCAACTGCTGCATTAAATAACCTGAATACAAATGAATGGAATCATAAATAAAATTATTTACTTCATTTACATCTTCTTGAGACGTTCAATTGTTTCATCAATCTTGAGCAATTCAGAGTTATAACTTTCAAGCTTGATTTGGTCATTATCTTTCACTTCTTGAGGTGTGTTTGTCTTGTACTTCTCAGTTTGAGTTCTTTCGAGCAAAGCGTCACGGACTTTTTGAAGCTTTTCCTTATTCTTTTCTTGCTTCTTAACCTCTTGCTCAATGTCAATAAGTCCCTTAAGCATCATGTGAACTTCACAAAATTCGTTTACAACCTCAACACCACAACCCGATGGTATTTCTTCAACCCTCAAATCGAACACAAGATTTCCACAGATAGCCAACATTTCAATGTAATTCTTTACGCTCTTCAAAAGCGTGGCATGAGTTGGCGAAGAACAAATGATATAAACCTCAGGTGTTTGCTTTGGAGTCAACTTGTATGCTCCCTTCAAAGATCTGATGTGGTGAACAACATCTAGCACAAACTGCATATCAGTTTCAATTGCGTCATTACTCCATGATGGTACTGGTTGTGGATATGGGCAAATCATAATGGACTCTCTGTTTGCTGGGAAAGAAGAATGACCTGGAAGTCTTTGCCAAAGTTCTTCAGTAATAAATGGCATTGCTGGATGTAACAATCTCAAGCATTGCTCGATACATGTATATAATACCAATTGCGTTGTTCTTTTTCTGTTCAAATCTTCAGACTTGATGTCGTGCTTAATCATTTCCAAATATTGGTCACATAAATCCTTCAACCAAAAATCGTAGCATGACTGAGTATAGGTCATAAAGTCATAATTTCCTTTTTCAAATGAGGCATTGCAAGCAATAATTGTCTTGTTCAATCTACTGAGAATCCATTTGTCATTCATAGTCAAATTGCTAAAATCACGTGGGTAATTATCAATACTATCAGACTTAAAGTCAGACCAGTTCATCAAAGCAAATTTAGTGGTTTGCCACATCTTGTTGCAGAAGGTACGATAACCAAATACACGCATAATGTCCAAAGCAATGTCACGTCCTTGAGCTGTATAGTTCAACAAGGTAAATCTAAGAGCGTCAGTACCACATTCTGGAATTCCTTCGGGGAATTGCTTTCTTTGGCCCTCGGAAGCTTTTTCAATTTCTCTCTTTGGCAAGTTACCTGTCTTTAACTTTTCATGCATTTCTTCAAGAGTAATTCCATGAATAACATCAATAGGGTCAATTACATTACCCAAACTCTTTGACATCTTTCGGTTATCCTTATCTCTAACCATAGCGTGAAGCAAAACTTCAGTGAATGGAAGTTGTCCAGTCAGACACAAGCTCATCATAACCATCTTGGATACCCAGAAGAACAAAATGTCAAGGCCTGTTTCAAGCATTTGTGTTGGGAAGAAGGCCTTGTAATCATCAGATTCGGTATCTGGCCAGCCTAATGGAGAGAATGGGAATAATCCAGAAGAAAACCATGTGTCCAATACGTCTTCATCTTGTTGTAAAATAATGTCGGATTCTGAGGTTACAATATCTTTGAACTTCTCAAAGGCTTTCTTTTTGGCTTCCTCTTCAGAACCAGCTACAACCCACCATTTATCGTCACCATCTTGTGTCAGCTCTTCCTTTCCTTTGATTTTGATAAGATAAGCTGGAATTCTGTGACCCCACCATAATTGTCTTGAAATACACCAATCTTGAACGTTTGCAGGACCCAAAAAGTGGAACCAAGTGGTTTTTTCTCTTTCTGGAACAAGCTTCAGTTCACCATTTTCTACTGCCTCACAAGCTTGTCTTGCCAAATCATCCATCTTGACATACCATTGTGGCTTAAGCATTGGTTCAATAATGTCTTTTGAACGCGAACAAGTTTTGAGAACAAGCTTGTTTGGCTTTTCATCTCTAAATAGTTGCTTCTTTTTCAATTCTTCAATAATAGTATAACGAGCATCAAATCTCATCATGCCTTTGAATTGGCCACCATTCTCATTAATTTTACCATCGTCAGTAAAGACGCAAATCATTTCCAATCCATGTCTCAAGCCACACTCAAAGTCGTTGGCATCGTGAGCAGGAGTAATCTTAACAGCACCGGTACCGAAATTCATGTCAACCAATGTGGCATCTGTGATAACCTTCAACTTTCTATCAAGGAATGGATGTACCAAGGTTTTACCATGGAATTTCTTGTATCGTGGATCATCAGGATGTACAGCAACAGCTACATCTCCTAACATTGTTTCTGGACGGGTTGTTGCAATCACAATTTCTTCATTGGCCAATTCTGGATCTTCAAATTTATAGGCGAACGACCACAGTTTACCAAATTCATATTTCTTTGTTTCGGAGTGTCCAGGAACGAAACGTTTGACAGCCTCAACCTCTTCGCTGTCTACTTCAATGTTACTGATGGCAGATTTTAAGACACAACTCCAGTTTACCAATCTATTCTTTCGGTAAATGACACCCTTCTCATACATTCTAATGAAAGCTTCCTTGACAGCTGCACTCAGCTTTTCATCCATGGTGAAGCACTCTCGAGTCCAATCCAAAGAAGCACCAATTCTCTTGAGTTGTGTCAGAATTCTTTGACCGTACTCGTCTTTCCATTTGAAAACCTCTTCGATGAATTTTTCTCTTCCGAGGTCATGTCTTGAAACTGGTGGATTTTGATTCATCAATTTCTTCTCCACTACTACTTGTGTAGAAATACCGGCATGGTCAACACCAGGAATGTACAAGACATTCTTGCCGTTCATCCTGTGATATCTAACGATAGCATCTTGAATAGCTACAGTCAGAGCGTGTCCAATGTGGAGTGATCCTGTTACGTTTGGTGGAGGAAGAGCAATAGTAAATTTTTCTCTTGTTGTATCCTTCTCATCCGCTTTGAAATATCCTTGTTTATTCCACCAGTCATACCAAGCCATTTCTACAAACTCTGGATGGTATTGAGCAGGCATTTCGATTGTACGGATATCTTTCTTCTCTCCGACTGGAGTCTCATTCTTGAAGACGACCTTCTCCAACTCGGTCCTCTTTTTTGTGTTGCTCTTGTTTGGTGCTGAAGGGGTGGCTTGTTGGCTCATTTTTTTTTATTAAAAAAACTGTGATGATGAAGCTGTTATCTGGGTCAATAAAAGCTCGTGGATGGGTGGATGATGGAAATTGATTTTTCTAATAATACAAAGGCTAATTGTGGCAATGATCACAGGTTCTCGATTAGCTTGAAGATTTTCAAGGATTATGCGAATTTTCAGATGAATTGTAAAAGTTGAATTTGCACAAATACTCTCTCGTTCCGAACTTGTTTCCAAAATGTCCATGAAGAATGTTATCACAGCCACTGTGGTCCCTTGTGTGTTTAAGAACAGTAATTTGCCTCCTCTGCTGTGTCCTGTAATTTGCCTATGTCTTGGAAGTTCCTTTCAATTTCATTGACATTCCACAGATTGTTGCACGGAATGACTTGATGAACATGTTCGAACAAAAAAACGCAACACAACAGCAACGCCTGCTGTGCCAATCCATCATCATCCCACTCGACGCACCACAACAGTTGTTGTGTCCTGCCTGCACATCTTGGCACGTGATAATCCACCACAGACTATTCATCTCGTTAAAGTATTACTATTCTCGGAGTACAAATACGACATTATTGATCCACCGCGATTGAAGTCCGAAAATACATTCGCACCACCCTCTCTCAGCATCACCATGTTGATCCGACCATCATCATCATCATCTTCGCCAACCACAAACTCTCCTCCCAATATCAATAATTATAACATTACCGAACAAATGATCAAAGATGAAGCTCCCGACAATTTCCTGACGTTTCTAGCAAAACAAGAAACCCCTAATCATGCATCTTTCGATGGAGACGTCAATTATCGAAACGCTTTTGAGGAATGGATTGACTCCAATAGAGAGATTGCAAACAAATTCTTTAAAAACTCGAAACATCATCTTTTATTGGAAGATTCAATCGAGGAGTTAAGAAACAAGTTAGAAGAGATGAAAAACAACCCCACAACAGAAGAGAACTATAACGTGACAGTCTATTCTTTAGAGCGTGCCATTCAATCTTTTGAATCAGTTGCAAACGATGTCATGATGTTGTATAGAGAGCTACATGTGTTGAACATGGTAGTATCCCAAATGAAAATGGGAAAAACTTTTTGGGTTTGTTGCACCCATTACTGCCTTATTTCAAACAAGACATACACCATTGAGGAACTGATGGATAAAGCGAGAGTGAGAGCGAGTGCTTTCTTTTCAAAATTTCCTGATGAGTTCAAAGATTTGGGAACAATTTTTACATGTGTGATTTCATTCTGGAAAGGGCTTAACTTTTTAACTGCAACAGATTTTGTGAATTGCATCTCAGAAAAAGTATTAAGATCTATCATGAAAACTCTATTACTCACAGAAGTCGCTACTAACTCTTCGTGCCAACCCTTGTTGAAAGATTTTTGTTATTTGCTTGAGAGAATTGCAGAGAGCGAACCAATAGGGTTTTACCAAGCTTACTATAAACTTCTTTTTGAAGAAGAATATGTATTGACAAATCCCAATTGTGAACTAACGATTGGTTCTTGGGTGCTAATATTCCTGTCGATCACATGTGTTGATCCTGATGCCGGTCTTAAAAAACTTTTTGATTGCTTTCGAGTCATTACACAAAGCGACTGGTCGGTCACAAAGAAGAATATGTATTCCACCAACTTGTTGGATGGAATATTTTTCATTGTTAGACGATATGGAAAGGCCTTTGTGGAAAGAAATTTAGAGTTGTTGAATGAACTTTCACAGTCAAATTTTTTGAACACTGGAGTAAGAAATCAAAGACAAATTTTCGCAATTCAAAATGAGATGGACAGAGTCATGAATGCTAATAACAAGTCAGCTCTTGTCACCTATATAGAGTCTCTCCAAAAAACATCCAGCAAATGTGTGGTGTTGATAGTGGAATTGGAAGGAAAGAAAAAGAAGATATCTCTTGATGAATCTTACAATGATACAGATATTTTCCCCATTTTTGAAGAGAAGCTATCCATTTCGATGAACTCTTATTCTATTGACATTTTTGATGATGATTGTAATGACTGGGTAGAGTTCGATCCATCAGAGCACAATTTCCGTAAAATGAAGCAACCTATCAAGATGAAACTTGAAGAAAAGGTCGATGAAAATGTCACTGAGAAGACAAATATTAAGACCATTGATAACTACAAAATTATCAAACAATTAAGATCAGAAACAACTGAGCATTGCGTAGCTATAACATTTCTTGCAGAAGAAAAACAGCTCAACAAAGAAAGTCGAAAAATAGTTCTAAAATATTTGAACTTTAAAGGACATCATGCAGAAGAGAGACTTTCAGAAATGATTCTCACTCTCAAGAAAGCAAAGGATTTTGAAAAGTCAAACATTATTCAAATTTTTGATATTTTGAAACCAGAGAGTATCAACAACCAGAAAATTAAGAAGGTACAACATTTAGCATACACTATTCCTTACTACTCGCATGGAAGTTTGGACAATGTCACCAAAGAGAGAATTCATTTCAATACTCGAATGATATTATCACTCATCAAGTATTCGTTGGAAGCATTCAACTCTCTTGAAGAAGCACGTTTAGAATATGGAAACATTAAGGCAGAAAACATTCTTGTTGAACAATTGGATCTTGTGACAAGCACTCTCAAGATAAGAGTTACTGATTGGTGGAATCTTTCAAAAAGCAAAACGCCTGCTATTTGTCATTTGGGATTAATGTTGTACAACTTTCTAACCTTTGAAAAAACAGATTTAAAGCATTTAACGTCCGAGTCAGTCACAAGTCAAACGATTTCAGACGACATTTTCAAAAAGCAAAACAAATCTTCGAGTTCCTCCTTAGCCATTGCAGCAGAAGTGGTTGCGTTTTTGTTGGGCAAGTTTGATTCTAGGATTGCAATCACTGCGAGACAAGCTTTAAAGTTGTTATACAAACGAGTGAAAGAATCGAAAGAGAGTGGTAGTCCCAGTAAACAATAAGTTTCCGAATTCACTTGAAGTTTTGAATTCAAACTTCTCGAAACTTTTCCAAGTTTAGAGAGACAAGTCTTGTGTTCTATTTTAAAAAAAACTTCAAAAAAAAATGTCCAGCAGCAACGCGTCATCAACACCTTCATCCCAACAGAATCTTGTGGGTTTATATCGACACGGAACACTCGGAGTACAATTGCAAAAGGCTTTGGATCAATTGAAAGAACAAGATAAAGTATCAGATGTGGTGATTGAAAGAGTGATGAAGGTTTTTGATAAGAGTATTTGTAATGCTTTGGCAACAAAACTCAGCAACAAAATGACGCTGAAGGCCGATCAATGTATTACATTTAATTTTAATAATAATGTTTATGTTTGGACTCTAAAAGATGTTCAAGTTAAATTGGGCAACCATAAATGTAGTATGCTGGATTACGTGAAAATTGTGGCGTGTGATGGAACGACAGCTGCGGCCAAAAAACCAACGTCCAAGAAGAGAAAGAAGTAACGCCTGGTATCCGTTCTGTAAAGAGTTGTGGCTATTCTAATATATTCCTCAAGAGCATGATTGCAAGTACCTCAATTAGGAATTTAGGTTTAACGCAATGATCATTGCTCATCTTTTTTCTGCTCGTTCTTGTTATTGAGGGAATATCTCACATGTCCTGAGATAATAAATCCCATCTCAATTTGTTCATGCAACCGTCTTTCACTCGAGTCTTTTGGCTGAGTGTCTTTATGTAACAACATTTATTGTAGCCATTTGGATTGTAATGCTTTAAAGAACGCCTCGACTGCTTTTGCCGCCTGAGCAAAGTTAAACTCAAAAGTGACACAATTAATTTTAAGTGCTGAGTGTATTTGAGTTTCAATACCTTCAAATAATTTTGTTAACCCTAATTCTCGCATTAATAACACCTCATCATTCATTGTTCTTTTCAGTAATGACTTTTTTTTCCATTTCTTTCTTTTTCTTGGCGAGTTTTAAACGTTGAATTTCAGCTTGAATGGCACGATCATTCTGGACGGAACGTAGACCCTTTTGTTCAAGTTCATTATAACACTTTTTGAGATTTAAGACAAAAGCTTGACAAGCAGACCATGAATGGTTATGGGCTTCTAAACACTTATCCATTTCCCAATATTGCTTTGCGCAAGCTCCGAGTCCTTCAATTATCGTATCAAGATCGCTACTCTCCTTTGAATTTTCATCACCATTTACAAACAAGATTGGATTCATAAAACGAAATATTGAATAATCCCGATTTGTTGCCATCCATTATTAAATTAAATTGAAAATCCAATCAGGATCAAATTTAAATATCATCCATGTTGAAAGACGAGCAATCAAAATCATACTAGTATGATATTTGCATTTCCTTGAATATTCATAAACGAACCTCTTCATCAAAAGGCTTTGGGGACATTTTTTGTATGGATTCAAAAAAAATGTCTTTAAATACATCCACAAATCATGTCAATTATTTAATGGAGAATTATACAATCATTGAGAAGATTGGAGAAGGTACATTTGGAGTTGTTTTGAAAGCAAAGAGGTGTGTATTGTTGATTGAGAATTGTGATTTCGGAGCTCACAATTTTTTCAATGTTTTATAGAAAGGCGGATGGTAAAGTTGTGGCCTTAAAGAAAATTCGGATTCGGAAACAGGAATATGAGGATTTTCCAAAGAATGTTATTAGGGAGGCGAAAAGTTTGCAACATGTTAATCACAATAATGTAGGTCTTTAAAATTTTGTATGATGAAATTTTGATGACAAGGTGCCTCAGGTGTTGCGGTTGTATGAAGTGTTTGTGAACGGCTCTTCTCTCGTTTTATCATTGGAATATATGAAAACTGATTTAGCTAAGATAATCAAATCACAGAAAACCCCTTTTCAAGAGTCACACATTAAATGTATCATGTTAATGTTGCTAAAAGGTTTAAATAATTGTCACACAAATAATATTATGCATAGAGTAAGTTCACATTAAGATAGTGCTATAATTAACATTGGATCAAGGATATTAAACCAGCTAACCTATTGTTCAACTCTTATGGAGAGCTCAAACTGGGAGGTAGGTAGAAATTCAATATTATCCTTAACAACCTGGACAACCGGAACCTCAATTTAAAAAGATTTTGGATTAGCAACATTGTATCTTGGGAACGATCAATCCTATTCTCACCAAGTAGCAACACGGTGGTACAGGTAAGTTTGTAGATGACTTTCGCAGTTCAAATATTTTACACTTTTCGTAGAGCTCCAGAATTATTATACGGTAGTAGATCTTACAATTATAAAGTAGACATTTGGGCAGCAGGTTGTGTCATGGCAGAGTTATATAATTTATCTCCGCTTTTTACAGGAGAGAATGATATTGATCAATTGTACAAGGTGTTGACATTACTTGGCGTGCCATCTGAAACCAATTGGCCAGGAGTTTCGAAATTGCCAGACTTTGGAAAAATTACATTTTCCAAGGTAAAGGTTAGAGATCTAAGGGAGCTGGTTCCCAATGCGTCTGAGATTGCTATTGATCTCATGTCACATCTTCTTCAATTTGATATAAGTAAGCGATATAGCGCTCAAGAAGCTCTCAGACATCCTTATTTTTTCTCCGTTCCACTGCCCTCCGACCATTCTGAGCTTAATATTATTTAAGGTATGATTTACTTGTGACATGTATTGCATTCTTAATAACTTTTTTCTCAGAGACAAAACATTTGATCTTGTAATTATTGATGAAGCTGCACAGGCCATTGAAATGTCTTGTTGGATTGCCCTCTTGAAGGGTAAAAGATGTGTATTGGCAGGAGATCACTTCCAACTTCCTCCAACTGTGTTATCACCAGAAGCTCAAAAACAAGGTTTGGAAGTCACATTGTTTGAAAGAATGTACTTTAGATACAAGGAAAATATTTCGAGAATGCTCAATGTTCAATATCGTATGAACGAGGAAATTATGCATATGTGAACCCCTCATCACAAATGGGTGACAACAATCGAATTCTACGATTAAGATGATCTACAAAATAGAGATGTCCTGTAGGCATTCGAAATATTGAAGAAGGATTTGAAATGAAGCATTTGTTGCCAGTCCTCCGTCACCACTAAATGATTTGAGTGGCAAATGTTAATTTGTCATTTTGTAATTTAATGTACATACATCAATCAATATTTGCAACATATTTGTCGGTTGGAGCTCCATTAAAATTCTCTGAGCTAGAGCATTTCCAATCAAACTTCAAACTCATGTATACTCCCTTATTTGTACAAAGCAAAATTGAGTCATCTGTAGATTCAAATGCACACACGCATATTCCTTCAACATTTTTGTACCGAAACACGCTCTTAGGAGTAGATTCTAAAGAGCTTGTAATTGAGGTAGGAACATAATCCCATAGAGTACTAGTCCAACTCGAGTCGGTTTGGCCTTGTGCCAACAGTCTTTGTTTTTTCCAAGCATCATAATCAACAACAAAGACATGCAGAGTCCCGTTTGAGGACATGCATGCAAGAAAGGCTCCATCGTGGCTGAAGCATAAAGAATAGACATCACTCGTAAGAGCGCCCCTTTTGAATTCAATATTTTTGTCTCCACTATCAGTGTAAAAAACTCTGACAATAGTACCTTTCTCGGATGTTGTTGATAGAACAGATCCGTCATTGCTTAATGAAAAACAGCGAATTGATGATTCATGAGCATGAATAACAGATTCTTGAACAATTTTGTGAGTTGATGAACACATCCATATGAGCTTAATATTTCCCAAAGGACCATCACTGCAGGTTTCATCCGGATAAGCCATTAAAAATTGTTTACGATCCTTAATATACACCATGGCAAATAATCCATGATGATTGATGGCTGTTTTCAAAGAATGAATTGGTTGTCTATTTCTGACATCGTACACAAATATCATGTCTTCTGCGACAGCTACGAAAACGTTCTTTTTGGAATGAACAGATATGACATTTCTTGAGCAAATTAGCTCATTTGTTACCCTTCTTTCCTTATAGTTGTAAAAAACTATTTTGTTCATTGAAAATGCAGGTCTAGACCCTCCTGCAACCAGCGCCACTGAATCCTTGTCTTTATCCATGAAGGATACAAATGAAATTCCTCCATCAACAAATTCTAAATATTAACAAAATATTTTCATCATTATTTTCATCAATTTCCACAATTTGTTGATCATTTGTTTAAATACTCACTCAAATCAAACTCTTTCCGAAAGTGACCATAAGCGCATGAAAATATCTTAAAGCCTTGTTCTGTTCCGATCGCGAGCATTGAAGCCTGTGTATTAAATCCAGCAAACAGAACATTAGATTTGGACAAATTAGAACTGCTTAGTTCTCGTGCCAGTGATGTATTACCAGTGCTATTGCTTGTTGATGAAATGTCTGAAAGGCTTTCCGAGCGTGGAAGAATAATGACGAAAGACATTTTTTTCAATTTATTATTCCCTTTTCAACACAAAATTGGAATGAAACTTGAATTAGGTTGGTTATGGAAAGAACAAAAAAAGATGGTTTGAATTTCCAAGATTTATCACTTGTTAAAACTCTCTGATCAGAATTACCATTATTTCGATGGTCGTTAGTACAGATGGAGATTCGAACGATTTTTAGTTTTTTCAATTTATTTAAAAAAAATGATCACACAACGATTCCTTCTTCTTTCCTTGCTTCTTGGTTCTTTAGTGCTCATATCAAACAAGGTGAATGAGAAGGTGCCCGAACCGTATATGGATGAGATATTTCATATTCCTCAAGCCATGAAATATGTTCAGAACAAATTCTCGGAATGGGATGACAAGATCACAACACTTCCAGGCTTATATTTATTTTCATATTTAATTGAACATGTGGGAATGAATGTTGGATTTTTCAAAGAGTTCATGGGCACAAGTGGCTCTTTTCGAAGTATAAACGGACTGTTTTTAGTTGCATTGTTTTTATTATTCGGAAAGATTTTACATAATGATTTGAGAGCTTTCCGATTAGTATTGTTTCCTCTCCTGTACTTTTTTGCATTTCTCTATTACACAGATGTTGGGTCATGTTTGTTTGTATGCATGTCTTTTTATTTCTCTAGAAAAGAGCAAATAACAACAAGCGGAATTTGTGCCTTGATCGCAGTTCTCTTTCGACAAAGTAATATTATTTGGGCTTTTTGGATTGTGGTATCATATCTAGTAGAACAATTAGAAAAAAGAGAAAATTTTGAAGAACAAAGCTTAATTTCACAGATTTGGATATTTATCAAAGCGATTTTTGCTAATTTTTCGAGAATTTTGATTCAATTTTGGAGTTTCGTACTGTTGGCTATCATTTTTATTTTATTTGTTGTGTGGAATGGAGGATTAACTGTGGGAGATAAGTCAAACCATATTGCCATCACTCATGTTTCTCAATTCTTTTACTTTTTTGTATTTTCTTGTGTTATGGAGCCAGGCTTACTCATTCATAGATGTTTGAAATGGAAGCAAGAAGTTAAAAATTGGAAAGGCTTCACTTTAAGTTTGATAATTCTGACACCTCTATGTGCAGCCCTCTCTTACTATTTTAGCTATGTGCACATTTTCATGTTGAGTGACAACCGGCATTACATTTTCTATTTATGGAGAAAGTTTTTTAAAATTCATATCAGTCCCACCATTCAGCTGAAATATTGCATTATATATTCTCCAATTTATGTAGCTTGCCTATTATTGATTTATTCAGAGATCAGAAAACAGAGGTCCTTGATATGGACAATAGTATTCATTTGTTGCACTGCACTTAACCTTATTCCTCTGCCCCTTGTAGAATTTAGGTACTTTATTGTACCATTCCTGCTTATGAATTTGAATCTCAAGCATGTCGACTCGTCATTAGAAATCAAACACATGCATACTAGAGTGGATATCATCAACATGGTTTGGTATCTACTAATTAATGGCATTACCATTTACATATTCCTTTACAAACCATTTACAGGACCTGATGGAAATGAAGCCAGATTTATGTGGTGAAACAAGCTTCAAAGCTTACAGTTCATCAGCCAGCGGATCATCCTCATCTTCCAATCCATCGTCAACATCCATTGATGACATTCTTTTCTTTTTGTCATTGGCTTCAGTCTCCTCAAGCAATTTCAACTTGTTCACATTTGGGCTTGCTCCTGGGTATAATGGATTTTCTTCATAAAATCTTGACAAGAAATGGGTAGGAATTTCACTTGGATGTTTTGGAGGAATATCATCACTAAATTGAATTGAATACTTTTCCATATTCTCTGGAGAAAATTCTTTCGACTTGGTTTTGTCTGCTTTAGTTGCGAGATAATGATCAGATTTCAAATGATGACACTCTTGGCATAATTCTGTTTCTGGATTAACAATTTTTGGATTGTATACATAGAGTTCATTTCCTTGTTCTCCCACGGGCCATGATTGAAACATTTGGCAAGCACAACTACTAACTGAGCATGCTCCTCTGTATGGGTCACAGTCTATGTCTGGAATAAATCTTTCAGGTTCTCTCCAACCTGGATGCCAATTAAGATTAAATCTTGATAAATCATTTCCAAATTTGGCTAATTTTTCAGGGAATGCCTTCGAAATTTTCATTTTCGCTTCCACCGCTTGATCCAATAAAATTAATAATTTTCGTTTCTTTTCTTCGAATTCTTCTTTGCTCTCTTGATGTTCTTGTGTCGATTCGGTATTTAATATTTCTAATAATTCATCATTTTCATTTGGTGTATTAGTAACATCCTCTTTATGATTCATCAATGGTTCATTTGTCAGCGTTGATGATGAATGATCTAGAGTAAGAAGTAATTCAAAGCTCGTTCCGAACGAGTGGTGGAATTTCTGGTCGTCGATAAAATTGAAACTAAATCTCCTCCATGCTCTCTGCAAACATTAAACGGTGCCGAGAACACATGTCTCGAGAGGGCATGCAATCTTCTTGATATTCGAGAATCGTCGTTGTTTTGATGATGCATTCATATTTTTTATTCCCTTCTCACAAGTGTGCACGCAGTGGTGACAGCTTTTTTTTAGAGATCACATTTAGTTTTAAATAAGTAAATTAATACAAAAATTCGTCACAACTTAGAAGCCTTCAGCCAATTCCACATTTGTATGCTGGGCAACAGCAATTTCTTTAGCAGCAGAGGCAGCAGCCTTTTTCTTCATAAACACAACGGCAGAGACAATCGCAGCGGTCACTCCAACTGCACCTCCAATCACCACCAAAGGAACCACCACACCAGCTGCCACAGCACCACCATTTACTCCTCCTCCATCTGTATTACGTGAGTGTGAAGAAGGTGGTGAAATCTGAGGTAGAACTTGAATGGTGAGAATTCCTGATTGCACTCTTTCAGAAACAGTATTCAAAGAGGCAACGTCGGTCAATAGGGCATAGGCTTTCAGGGATCCCACACTGGAGAAGGATGGAACTAGTATTTGGACACTTGTGGTGGTGGCTGTCGAGGGAATTACATCGATGGATTGTTTCGTTGATGTCATTTGTCCATTAAATTCAAACTCAAATCCCACTCGAATGGTTCTTCCCATGTACGAAGAAGTAAAACTTGGATGACTCACAGAAAGTGTTAAAAGAGTAGATGCTTCATTCACATATGCAATAGAGCTGTTGAATTGAAGAGTGATGGATGAAGCAGAAACGTAAAAGAGTGAACAATCAATTCCAAGATAACCACTCACACATTGACAGCTGTCAGGATTCACACAGGTGCCTTTTCCACTACATACTCCATTCGTATTGGCAAGAATTCCAAAACATTTTGGAACACATGTAGAGCCACCATAACTTGAATTTCGACAAATGCATTGATCTGGTAAAGGGCAAATTCCATTTCCAGAGCAAACAGTTGGATCATTAGAAAGTGTTCCATAACACGAGGTTACTTCACAATTTTGTCCATACCATCGTGAATTGCAAGTACAATTATTAAGAGCCATGCATGTACCATTAAGGTAATTGCACACTTGAGAACTCACAGAGTCAATTCCATTACAAGTCGTAAATTCGCAATTCGATCCATAATATCCAAAATCACACTGACAATTGTTCACACCAACACATTGGCCATGAGCACTACAGACTGATGGATCTTGAGCGGATTTTCCAGAACACATCACAATGTCACATTTAGGTCCAGTATAATTGGCCTTACAATTACAAGTATCAACTTCAACACAAGTTCCGTTTCCACTACAAGCAAGTACACTCATTTGAGAAATACCAAAACATTTGTAATTTTGACATTCATTGCCATCGTATTTGGCAGGATCGCACACACAATTATCCTTACTCATACAGTTACCCCTTCCATTGGTACAAGCCAAACTTGAATTTCCTAATTTTCCATAACAGATGGGAATACTACAATCACTTCCAGTATATCCAGTAAAGCATGAACACGACCCTGGTGTGGTACAGGTACCATTCTTGTAGTTACACACCTCAGGAGAGGTTGCCAATTTGCCGACACATATGGGAACGTCACAATTTCTACCATTCCATCCAGGGTTGCAGACACAATAATTGGCAGAAGCACACGTACCATGTCCACTGCATGCAGTTGAGTCGTTAAAGTTTTTACCATTGCATTTCCAGAATTGACAGACATTGCCATAATAGCTTTTGTTACAGAGACAGACATACCAGTCAATACAAGTACCTGTGAGTGAAAAGAAACAAAGTAATTCAATAATTCAGTAATCCAGTAATGCATTTGAATGCATGTTGCGACCATGATGGTCAACAGTTTCAAATGAAAAAAGTTTGAATCAAATCAAATTTTGAAATTACAACTTACCATTTCCACTGCAAACATTGGATGCATTTTTGGCCAAACCATAACAAACAGGATCCAAAGGAGAACACTTTTCTGGTAAGGTACAAATTCCACGAGAGTTGTTACACACTCGAGTGTCATTGGCTAAATATCCTCCACAAATTGGATATTGACAAGTATTCGATGGACCATAACCACTGTCACAGGTACAATTATTAAAGGACGAACAAGTTCCATGTCCATAACAAACATCCTCACTATCTGAAGCAACGTTATTACAACTTGTCTTTTCACACTGGATTCCACTATAATTTGGATTGCAATTACACTTGTCAGGAGCGTAACAAGAACCTCGTCCATTGCAAACACTTGATGTTTGGTTTGCTAAAATATTGAAACACACAGGAATGGAACAGATTGCACCTTTCCAACCTGAATCACATCGGCAAACATCTGGTGCATCACAGAAACCATGTCCACTACACACTGTGGATGTTTCGTTTTGTAAAATATTGTTACACTTTGGAAGAGCACATGTAGGTCCACCCCATCCAGCATTGCATCGACAGACATCAGGAACATCACACGACCCATGTCCACTACAAATACCTGTTGTATTTTGATTCATTCCAAAACAAATGGGCATGGCACAATAGGCTCCTGTCCACCCTGGATTGCATCGACACACCTCTGGTGCATCACAGAAACCATGGCCACTACACACTGTGGTGATTTCGTTTTGCAATGTATTGTTACATTTTGGAAGAGCACATGAAGCGCCACCCCATCCATCATTACAACGACACACATCAGGAGCATCACAGCTACCACGTCCATTACAAACACTTGAGGTCACATTCTGCAATACACCAAAACATTTTGGTAGAGAACAAGTTGGACCTCCCCATTGTGTACTACAGACACAAACATCTGGAGCATCGCACGAACCATGTCCACTGCAAACACTCAAAGTCACATTCTGCAACACACCAAAACATTTTGGTAAGGCACAGGTGGGACCTCCCCATTGTGAATAACAGGTACATTGATCAGGTCCGTTGCAAGTGCCGTGACCATGACAAACATTCGTGGTATCGTTTTGATTCGTTCCATAACAAATGGGCATGTCACATGAAGGACCAGTCCACCCAGCATTGCATCGACACACATCGGGTGCATTACACGAACCGTGTCCACTACAAACAGTGCTGGTCATATTCTGGAGAATGCCAAAACATTTGGGATATTCACAATCTTCACCTCCAAACTTGGTTGGGTCGGTGCAAGTACATTCATTTGGAAGGAAGCAAACACCTCTTGAATTACAGACTCCTGTGTCATTGGAAAGTTTGTTGTTGCATTTGGCGAGTTCACAGAATTTTCCTCCATATAATGTGGGTTGTGTACAAACACAAATGTCAGGTGCATTGCAACTTCCTCTTCCTGTGCATACACTTCCTGTTTGATCAGAGAGAGTGCCATTGCATTTTGCGAGTTGACACCATTGACCGCCGTATTGAGTGGGATCTGTGCAGACACAGACATTGACATCATTACAAGATCCTCGACCACTGCATACACTCGTTTCGTTTGCAAGGGTTCCATTACATTTGGCATATTCACAGAATTTTCCTCCATAATTGGTTGAACAAGCACAAACGTTGACATCATTACATGATCCTCTTCCGTTACATACATTGGTAGTGTCATTAGCAGGAATGCCATTACAATACGCATATTCACAATTATTTCCTGTATAGTTTGAATTACATTGGCATTGATTCACATTCACACACGAACCACGACCATTACACACTGTTCCAGTATTTTGTGCACTGATTCCATCACATTTTGGATATTGACATGCAGTACCAGCATAATTGGTAGAGCATGAACAAGTGTCCTTATCCACACAGGTACCTTCACCATTACAAACATTAGCAAGGTCGTTACTATCAAATCCAAAACAAGTGGTAATAAGACATTCGCTGCCTTTCCAATCAGTAGTGCATGAACAGGTGCCAGGACTTGCACAAGTTCCTTTCGACGGTCCTCCACATGCATCAGTGCCTGTTATGAAAACATAAATATTCATCATTGTACATGAAATGAGATTTCTGTAAGGAAATTAAATGTGTACTCACCTGATTTACCATAACATACTGGTAATGAACATTCGGTTCCATTCCAATTACTGGTACAGGTACAGGTATTTGGAGCGGTACAAGCACCTTGCGATGGTCCTCCACAAGCACCATCTCCTGTTTAAAAGAATGTTTGAACAAATGCTCAATTGTTGTGAATATTTCATAACGTACCTGTTTTTCCATAACACACTGGAGTAGAACAATCAGAGCCAGTCCAAGACGAAGTACAAGAACAAACATCGGGAGAGGAACATGAGCCGTGAGAAGGACCTCCACATGCTGCACTTCCAGAACTTCCATAACATACAGGATTGCAAGTTGTACCATCGGAGCTTAATACGTATCCTGTATCACATGATGGAGCAATCTTTCGAACCTTATTTCCAGTTTTTTCTGATACATAAATGGTTCCATCCGATGTCACAAAGACTCCAGAAGGTGTATCAAAGGTGGCAGATGTAGCAGCGCCGTCAGCTCCTCCTGAATTGCCTGTACCTGCAATGGTATAAATGTAACCATTTGAAATCTTTCGTATTTTATGCTCTTCTTTTTCTGTGAAGATGAGATCTCCGTTTGCAGCGAAAAAAGACTCCCACAGGCTGCAAAGCATATCGATCAAGAAGAATTGATGATATAACATAGATATAAAGAGAATTAAGTTATTCAAGATCATTGGTCTCCTTACCTGATTAAGCTGAGCACTTGACGCTATGGTTCCGTCTGCAGACGAGGAAGTTCCACCAGTTCCAGCCACAGTTGTAATGACACCATTGGTTGCTATTTTTCTAATCCTATTATTTCCAGTATCTTGATGAAAATAATAAAAGAGTACATGGGTTTGAAAATTTCACATCTCAACACTTACCTGCAAAATACAGCTCACCACTCGAAGAGAGTACCAAACCCCAAGGATTTCTAATTTGTGCACTCGTTGCAGCACCATTGTCGCCACTATAACCTCCAGACCCTGTTCCAGCTACTAATGAAAGAATATCTCCACTAATTTTCTTGATGCGGTGGCTATCCCATTCTGAAAAGTATATATCACCATTGGTTGCCACATAGATAAACCATGGGTGATTAATTTTAGAGCTTGTGGCCGTACCGTATGTATTGCCTGATTGTCCAGTTCCTAATGTTGTGATTGTTTTGTTCATCACTTTGTTATCAAATTCAATGGCCATCATAAATAACACTTACCTGCAATAGTCGAAATAGTTCCTGAAGCAGATACCTTCCTTATCTTGTGGTTGGTGTAATCACAAATGTACAACTCATTGTTGTACATGTACACACCTGCTGGATTATTGAGTTTTGCTGATGTTGCCTGACCATTATCACCGCTGTTGCCAGATGATCCTGATATACCAGCAAATGTGCTTTGCGTTCCACTCGAGGTCACTTTTCTGTTCGTTTTGTGATATTAAAAACGCATAGGAATGAAATAATAATTTCACTAGTGTGATGGTGTCAAATGCTACTTACGTTACGACATGGTCGTTATACTCTGAAACATAAACATCATGACTCGACGATACCGTATACAAGCAATAAGGTGCATTCAAGCCTGAAACAAGTGTGGACACTGTGTAGGTGACTCCTCCTGGTGAAGCATTCACTGGTTGAATCCAATTGCCCAATAATGAAGAAGCCACACAGGCAACGAATCCTATCGTTGTGGCCCAGAGCAGAATAAAGGAAGGTGTGTGAGACACCATTTGGAAGAAGGAGCTTTTTGTTTTTGGTGGTACAAGAGAGACCAAGGATTGACACATGTGTGTACATAGGAAATTTAACTCATCGAAAACGGAAGAGCGGAGATGAGCAACCAAGAGAAGCATATCAATTTTTGGGTAGGTTTTATATCCGCCAGCCACCTCAGAACCGTCATGCTGTCTGTGGTAGGAGCTCATTGTGAAGGAATTCCAAATGTCGCAACGATTGTACGCTTTTACTTGCGCATGAAGAGACAAACCTCTCCGACCAATTCGAAACCAAGCGCAATGTAAAAGTGGTCTGCTGTGTTGGTGAACAAATCCAAACATTTCAAACGTAAGCGGTCTTTGGCGTCTTGGAAGAGAAGGTCAAAGGTGCACCGAGCGAGACCTTTGCGTCTCAACTCAGGAAGAGTGTACACAAAACCAATGGTGCCATGTGAATCACTCCATGAATTGAGACTCGCTGTTGAAACGAGTTGTTTTTCTTCACCGAGAAAAGTGCCATACGTGAGAGTGGTCTTGAATGCATAGGTAAGAGCTTCAGGTGTGGAAGGAGAGAGACCAATTTCCTTCTCGAATTTTCTTTTCATTTCAATATAGGAATTCAAATCTGAATCGGTCAATATTCTTGACGTGATGGAGGAGTCACTTGAATCATTCGAAGGATCTTGCTGACGCGTTTTTGGAACATACTTGTCCAAAAGGAAGGTATAGAGATTTTCCTTTTCTTGAAGAGCCATTTCCTCTTTCTTCCACACTTGTCGTTCGAATAAATATTGTGCAATGATTGAACCCACTTTATACTCTCCAATTAAGCTATTAAGAATATTGATGAGAGTGAAACAGTTTGACAATAGTATGTTTCACAACCAGACAATTAAAAATTGTCAAGAGAGGCTGAACCTTCATACGTACCCTTTGATTGAACCTCCATATTTGGAAACAGTCTCCTCCATAATTTGTTTGTACATTCTCTCAATCATTTCATCAAAGACCACTTGAGCAGTATTTTCATCCAAATCAAGCAATCCTTTTAATTCTTCTACTGTTTCTATTTGATAAAGTAATGTCTCGGAAACTGTTACACAATACACTCCAATGATTTTGGCTCCAAAGATATGACCATGAGCATCATCTCCGACAAAATGTTTTGCTTCTTGTTCATGATCGTGTTTAATAAAAGTCATAAAATCACCAGAGAAGAGTTGATCTTGTAGTCTACAACATCATCGGGATGATGAGGAGTGAAAAGTCACATTAGGAACGATAGTTTATAATAATTTTCAACATTGGAACGTTAATTACTATATATTAAATAATTTGCGTAACGTCATGACTGAAACGTTACCTTGAAGGACCAAACTTGATGTAATTTCCAACCAATAATCCACAAAAACTTTCTCTCTTCTTCATGAAAGACACTGCCTCCGAATGCATGGATCTTCCCAGATGGACGAGAGGAATCAACGACACAAAGGGACGTTTATGAATCTGATTTGATTTCATTTTTTGTATCTCTACATTATTTTCTGCCTTAAAAGTTAATTTTTAAATAGCACTTTTTTAGTTAACGAGCCTGTTCTCTTCGAAAGAGAATTGAAATTCAGTCACGACTTCACAATTAAAATTTAAAAGGATCAGAATTGAGTGAAATAAAGACTCTATGAATGGAGGATGCTTGATACATGTTGTCGTTACATTCCAATGGGGTTCGAACTGGTTACTATTCCAGTTATAAGTAGAAACACAGGCAAAACGGGACAAAATTTCACATGAACCTTTCGGACTGTAAAATCTTTTAAACGCTCAAAAAAATGTCTCGCTACGAACACGACACTTTGTTGAATATCAACAACTCCTCCTCGACAACTCCAAGTGGCAATGTTGGCAAAGCTGCTCTCACAGGGACTGGAATTTCTCTCTTTGTCATCATTACAGCAACTCTTGCTGCTGCCATTGCTGCTGCAGTGTTGAGTGGTTTGATCTATCAATCCGTGTTGTTCTTTACCACTCATTCCTTTGATGTGTTGAATGAGATTGAAAAGTCAACCAAGGTTGTTAATGGCACCAGTTTCATGTTGATGGGTGTGAAATTATTTCAGAAACAAAGACAAGGTGACCAAGTCACTGCAAAGTTTTTGTTGACTTATATTCGTTCGACACCAAACACTCCACCTGTTGTGGACCCACCACATTATTGGCGTTCACACTCAATTCCACCAAGTCGAATCTATTGACCACCAATTTGACCACAACAGATTTCAAATGATTGACAGGTGGAAATGCAGCACAAAATTACAATGCCAACCAATTCACCATTGCTTTGGCCAACTCAGGACTCAAATCCTCTCCACAAAGTTTATTTGTCTTGTACATGAACTCTGCTCAAAAATGTTGCTTCTCTGTCGTGTCCTATGACAATTCCACTGACAGGTTGTCAATCTTGAATGCATTCACGGAAGGCCCTTCTGGAGTGGATTGTAAGGTTGGTTTAACAAGTTTCACCTATGATGCATCGACTGTATTGCTCTTTGAATTGAATTCTTTGGCAGCTTTGAAGATTGATTCCAAAACTGGAGAGTTGAGTGTGAAAACCAAATCCACACAAAATCTCATCTATCGAGATATTTTGTCCAGTGCCAATCCAGGAGCTGTTTTTGTTGGAAATGATCTTGACAATGACGAGGAAAGATCCACTCAATTCTTTGCTCTCTATACCAATAAGGACTCTGGTTACGCTTCTCTTTCAAAAATTTCATGGAATGGAAATGATTTTGACACTTTTCGACTCATCCCATTAAGGAAGGTCATGAAAAATCCAAGACTTAGTTTTATCGAGACGAATAAGGCTCAAATTTTCTATGAAGATTCCACACGAAATATGTATCGTACGGCCATTCTCACCTTCACCTCTGAAGCTGAAGATACCTATACCATTTCAACTGTTGTAGAAGGTATTCATTTTGCACTTGGAACTTTATCACCATCTGCATGGAATGTCATTGTTCCTAATAATTGTTTAATGATGAGTTGCATTCCACTCTTACAAAGTCCAACAGTTTGACATTTAACATGGCTGTAGTGTCCACTCCAATCAATTCGTTTGGAGTGATTGGAGTTGCAGCACAAGATGGCAAATTTGGTGCCAATGTCAAAGTCATAACCAGTGGAGTGACATCAGTTGGACAAGGTTCAATTTATTCCTGGAATGAAATATTATGCCATGAGCACAGCCAGTGAGGGATCAAGATTGACCATCAGTCCTCCATTTGAAACTTATGGATTGTATGTTGGAAGAGCCATTAGTAAGAATCAACTATTGATCGACTTGGAAGAGAGAGAATTTTAAAAACTAATCTTTTAAAGATATTAAGTGTGATTCGATTGGTTGTTGTTTTCACATTTATGAATTCTTAGAAGAACATCATGTCATTCATGCTATATTCACAAATATATCGGATCGTCACATTCACATGAATATCTGATTCTTTTCTGCATTGAGACAATGGTTTTCTTTTTTGAACACAATCATGTCCTGTCAATGTCACACACAAATTTCAACAGTTCTCAAAAAATAATCATCAACACTCGAGTGTTTTGGTGATGAAGCTAACCGTCTCCATTATTGAATGCAAGAATCTGATTGTGGGAGACTTGATTAGCGGATTGGCCGATCCCTATGTCGTAAGTGATTCTTTTTGTTCTTCTTCAAAGTGTTCACCACATGTGGAATAATGTCAAACACTCTGAATTCATGTTTCAAATCGGAACGCTTGAAACTATTGTCACCCCTTTGATTTGTCTTATCATCATCATGATTGTGAAACACATGGTGTCATTATCACAATTTTTCCTAATTGTTGTTGTCAATCATTGAATGATCCATTCTCTTCTCAACAATCACTCTTTTCACCATCACACCAAGATTGCCACCATCAATGCTCCTGCTCAAGAAATCCGAGAAAATGAAGAAAGACTCTTTCCTTCTCCATCGGCAATCATTCGAGATCACAAATCACTTCTACTACAATCCAACCCAATAATGAATTCACAACAATTCACCACCACTACCTCCACCAATACGACAGATTCAATTGTATCATTACAATCGTCTTCTTCTCTTGTTCAATCCTCCATTAACACTTCTTCAACAACAAAAGGAGGGACACAAAGAATTTCTTCTTCATTTGTGTCATCACCAACCACTAGCAATAATGGAGTAAATCGAGGAAAGTTATCCATTGTCAGCAGTAAAAGTCATTTGAATTTAAATCATTCGTCACCACAAACACCAACCAATAGTACTAATAATATGAATGGATCAAGTCCACAAACAAATGAAACAACAAGTAATAGTGACACAAGTGACACTGCTCAACAACAAGTCGATGGAAAATCTAAAGTTTCAAATACAGTGACCTATGTGAACAAAGCTCCATGTGAATTTAAGAATCGAAAAATTATTGCACAAAAGAAGACTGAAATTGTTTATAATAATTTAAATCCAATATTTTCGAACGAGTTTCTGATTGTGAATAATATTCGAGATGCATCATTGATCAAAAATTGGTTATTGACTTTGGAAGTGTATGATTATGATTATGTGAAATATGACGATTGTAAGTTGTTAAGAGAAGCTGACAAAAAACCCGCCCAATGAATAATTATTCCATAAATGGATGATTGAAATAATTATGGACACACGATGAATATTTTGCATTTCACACAATTTCACAAATTCAATGCCAAACGCATGATATAATCTGAAAAATTACTTTTAATTCTTATAAAATGTAGATCTTGGAAGTGTTGAAATTTCATTGGATCAAGTCCAAGTTCTGGAACCCAAGATATTAACCATTCCACTCGAAGGAGTGCCTCATGGTGAAATTACAATTGATATTAATCTTGGAGAAGAATCACAAATTTTTGGAGTGGATATAGAAAAAGTCATGTCACGTCACCGTGAAAAACTACATGGAAAAGGTCTTCCAAAAGCTGTACATGACATGTTTGTTTTCCTATCCGATGATCTTTCAATTGTGGAGGAGGGAGTTTTCAGAATACCCGGAAAAGTAGATAGTGTGAGCGCTCTTAAAAAACTCTATGACAAGTGTGAAGATCGAGAAATTAGAAACTTCATTTTAGAACAAGAGAAGATTATGCTTCAAGATATTGAACATAAACAACGTTCGAGTGGAATGGTGAAAATTGTGGCTTCTCTGCTCAAGGACTACCTTCGATCATTGCCTGTACCTCTCCTGACGTATGCTCTGTATGATGAATTTGTAAATTTGAGTGGGGATAGTGATCAAATCATTCTGAAAACTGTACAAAAGCTTCCACCACTGAATCAGCATTTATTGTATTGGCTCTTGGCTCTCATTGACATGATCATTGCCAAGACGCAGCAAAACAAAATGACAGCTTCGAGCTTGGCTAGTGTCATTTCTCTCAACGTGTTGAAAAGAAAGGAAGACAAAGCAAATCAATCTGCAATTAATTTAGAATCTGTCAGATTGGAAACTGACCGAGTCATTAGAAGTTTAGAAATACTCATTAACAAGTACAAGACAGTGTTGTGTCCTTACTTTTCAAAGACATTCACATTTTTCAAGTAGAGATTGCCAAGTATTCTCCTGTTTCACTCTAAGGCGTTCCAAAGCCCTTTCAAATTTGAAAATAATTGCGTCATTTGTATTTAATAAATTATTGCCCACAAGCAATATCCCAAGTTGGGTTTTTATATATTCATGTCTTTTCTTCTCATTGATTTATTCGTTCATCTTCAAAACGACCTTTCTGTCACGGTTTTCCTCAAAGCTCTTTTCCAAAGCATAGTTGAACTCAGAGAATTTGAATGTTTCCATAAATGCCAACAATTTCTTGTCAACAACAAGCTTGGATAATTCATCAATCATCTTCATTCTTTCTTCCTTTGAATGTGTTTCAACCCACTTGGTCATCCAGAAACCTTTAAGTGTAATATTATTGAAAATGAAAGGACCAGTTGGCACAGTAATTGGTTGTTTTGACATTCCTCCATATGTCACCATGATACCGTCGTCAGCTAAATATTTAGCAACAACACGAGCAGCCTCTCCACCGACACAGTTCAATGCCAATTTTGGTTTTGGCATGTCCGATAATAAACGGTTCATTGAAGTATTGTTATTAGAAAATGAATAAGGCATGACAATATCAGCTCCTAATTCCTTCAATCTTTGTACGGTTAATTCATAGTTTGGTCTTTGTCTTATTAAGTTAATAGTTTGAATGCCACGCATTTTAGCCAATTGAATGACCAAGAGACCAACCATGCTGTTGGCTCCATTTTGAATAATAACATCACCTGGCTTCAAGTCAACAAAATCATTGAGAAGTCTATAAGCAGTACAAGGGTTAACAGAGAGAATTGAAGCATATTCGACTGGTAAATCTTTTGAAACGGTGGTAAGATTATCAGCTTTACACACAAGATGAGTTCTCCAGGTTCCTAATCCTGCACTGGATGGAATAACATGATCACCCTTTTTGATACCAGTTACATTTGATCCAACTTCTTCAACAATGCCAACACCTTCATTACCAGGAATTGCTGGGAAGGAATTTGGTCTTCTGCCGTAAACTCCTTGCACTGTGTTAATATCTGCTTGATTGATTGGAGCAGCCAACATTTTGACAATAACCTCGTCGCCCTTTACGGAGGTATCAATGTTCACATCATCAACTCTGAAATTCAAAACGTTGTTAGGATTGATGATGAAAGGATGTTCAATTTTTGATGACGCGACGTGGAGATGAAAAATCATAGCACGTTCAGAAATTTCAAAACCATGATAATAATAATTTGATGATGGCACGATGATGAAAATAATTTTCATTGAAAGGTATTCATTAAAACATAATAACAACAACAAAATTAATACTCGCGGACATACATCAATATCCAACACTTACTTCAAAACCTCCAAAGGATTACCAAACTTTTCATAACGAACAGCCTTTGATTGTATTGTTGCATAGAAGCAGGCCTGTTGTTTTGAGAGAGCAGAAAAGTTGTTGTTATTGTTGAAACGAGAGAGAAGTTGAAGGAGTATTTTTCATTTTTTTTAAATTCTTTACAAAAAATTTCATAAACACCTTCATCATTCCTCTCTTTCAATATCAATATTATTGTTATATATATATATATAAACGATGAGATCTTTACATTGGAAAAAGCTTAACGGAATGAAGGGAAATTTGTTATTGTGGGGCAATGGCCATTTTTCATCATCAGTAAGAAGAATGACTGTTGGCTTAGCTTCCGTAAACCATCGTCACGACAATTTATCCATCTGTCTTCATAAAACGTCTTGTTTCAACCATCATCCGCATAATAACAACATAATGAACGGATATATCAATCAACAACAAATACGATTATTTTCAAGAAGCACCAATGATGTAGTGGATTCATCAAAGTCCAAGCAAACGGATAATAACGAAAAGTTTGACCTTTCATCATTTTGGTATAAGCTTCTCATTCCTATTGCTGTCGGAGCCATCTATTGGTACATCAAGAGATGGGAGAACAACAAGGCAAGAAAAGATTTTGATTATCTCCGAACCTATCTGGAAAAGTATCAAGACCAGATTGCAGAACAGGCTCTTAAAGCTGGAGTAGAATCTTTGACTCACGAAGAGCACCAAGATATAATGTATCAAATCATTTCACAGTCAAGTGAGACTGGAAAATATTTGGTGGAGTCTTCTTTAACAGGCACTCCACTTTTTGAAATGAACATTCGCAAAATTGAGAATGTGAAAACGTTAAGACCTCATCCACAAATTGATGGATATGTGAAATATGCATTGTTTGGAGAGCTTTGGACACTAGAAGAGCAAGAATCATCCACAAAATTGAACGCTTCAGGGAAGAAATGCTTCGATTCAAGAGATATAACACTTAACATTCATTTTCCAATCAAGATATTGCCAAAAACAAAGAATGGATCTATTCTGGGCCATTTAGAAGATAAACCGCTTGTTTATTTGGGCCTTAATGTAAGAATGAAGTCGATTGAAAAAGATTTTACCTCTGAATCAAGACCATCACTAGTGATTTCTAGAATTTCTATTTCTCCAATTACAAGATATTTTCCGACCATACAAGGGCTAAGAGAACAACGTCTTTTCGATGAAATTGAAATCGAAAAAGCAATTGCACCAAACGGTATTCATCATGCAACGGATGGGCTTCATAACGTTACTTTTACATGCAATTTTTACGAGTAGATCATTGAGAAAATATAACGTTGATCATCCGAAAAATGTTTTCTATTTAATAATTTAAGAGGGTAACATTGTCACCATTTAGCTCGAATGGGGCAATGTCAATGGAGGAGTGAGTGGAAGTAATTGGCTGAGACCACTCTGGGAGTAATTTGGTCAGCTCAGTAAGAGAAAGGGTCGATGAAAAGAAGGTGCTACGTATTTCAAACTTAATTCGGAGGTTTTCTGCATTTTCTTGAGGCTTGGCATCAAACTTTAACCAAAATGAAAAGACTTTGGATTTTTCTTTCATCAACTTTTCATCTCTATTGTAACCAAACACACCTGTTACGATGTATTCATTTTTAAATTCACCTCTTGTTGAGGGCATTATAGAATAATTCATTGGAGTTTGGAACGACGAATCAACTATGGCAATATTTGTGAAAATATGCACACTCGAATGAAAGACTTGCTCATCCAAAACAATATTCACATGCACACTGCCATTTGTCTTGAAGTAATTCTGAATCAGGATTTTGGGAAGTACATGGGCCCATGGATAGAATTCATTGTTTGTCATTCGTGTGAGGAATGGCCCTGGATATTTAGTTGGTGTTATAACACTCTTCACAGAATGGGGTAAAATTGGAAAACCTGATTCTTCATTCGCTCTCGAAAAAGGTGGAGAAATATTCAATCCTTTCAACAATACTTCTTCCTTACTTGTAGAAGGACTGATAATAAGTTGATAGGAATGAGTATTTTTCAAAGGATATTTCACATCGTTTGCCTTAAAGTGGAAAATATGTTGAAGTGAGGCACGCTTTGGATGCAATTTTGTGAAGGCCACTGCTCCATTTCCTAATAACAACACCATAACGAGAGACAAACTCACAACAAAGAGTGCAACGACAGTTCTTATCATACTTCTTTTCTCATCCGCAATTAATAAGGGTAACACTTGACACAACATTAAGAATACTGTCACAGTCACGAGAACAGCAACACCATAGTCTGCCTCAAGTGCTTTTCCCATTCGCCCACTCATAGGAATGAACATATCATAAATTTGATTGAGAATGCTACAAAGGAACGCCAACCCGACCAAAGAGAAAATTAAGGACAGTTGTGGAATGATAAAGTAAGCCAAAAGTAGGCATGTAGTAGTCACTGTGAAAATATATCCTGATGGAATATTGAAATAGGTGAACAGTGTGAGGAATACAACAAACACCCATGTCACGGCATCCCTAATTCCTTTTGTGCTGAGCCCATAAATGAATTTTCTCGTAATTTCAATAGAGGTGATATACACAAAGAGTAAAATAGAGCCAAATAACGCAACACTGAACATGGGATGGAAAGCAAAGAATAACATTCTCTTGTCATTCAAAACTAACAGAATCGAGAATCCCATGTTGGTTGCAAGTCCAATCAATAACACCAAGAACAGGAAAAAGAGTGAAACCAATCGGTCAAAGAGAGAATAGATACCCTTAGAGAAGATTGAAAATCCCAATAAAGTGGCAGCTACAACAAGAATGGAGATGTTCATCAATTTAGCTGTTTCCATACTATAGGTTGCAAAAAACAATCCAAAAACATCAAAATAGACAAACTTTTGAATGTTTTTCTCTGCTGCCATTTGTTTGGCTTCAAATTTAGAGCTCGCAAAATGAGAAACAAAACCTTGAACATTGTCACCCATGTGCTGAATTCCACCTGCCTCATAGGCTCTCTCTGCATCCAAAGAAGTGTGATAGACATAACCATTCTTATAAAATGAAATGTCAATTCCAGTTAAATTACGATTATTGTAAATGTAATAATCAGTTGCTGATGGAACAATATTAGCTTGAAAAACATCTTGAGCTACAACATTTCCGCTCGCTCTTTTCACATACTTGGCAAATTGTTTTGCCAAAAATAAATTCTTAATTTGAAACGCAACTTCTTTGGAAGCAGATCCAGCAGCTTCCAAATTCAAAAAGTATTTCACATCCTTGGACCATACATGTTGAAAGAATAATTCGGCTCCCAACAATCCAACTTCCTCAGCTCCATTAAATAAAAATATGACACTTCTTTCAAGTTTCAATTGATCCTCTCGTATTAATCCCAACAAATTGTGAAAAGTTTCAACCATACAAGTGACTGGAATTCCATCATCATAAAATCCAGGAGAAGTCGATCCTGAATCAAAATGACTTGAAATTAATAAACCATCACCATTTGCATGATCAACACCGAATGGAGGATCAATTCTCACCATAATATTGGACAAATTGGTATAATGTGTAAACAATTTTCTTCCAATAATTTCAATAAAACAATCACCAGATCCGAATTGTTCTTCCAATCTCACTAAATGTCCACTCACAATCGTGGTTGCAACCGTGGTGGTAGCATTTCTTGATTCCTCTCGATCCTTTTCTTTTTGTGAATGTTTCATCATCACATTCATTAATTCTAATTTCAAAAAATCAGAGCTTTGCTTTTCTTGAAACGTTCCAACCACTCGTGGTCCGAGTTGAGTGGAAAATTGTTGAAGGAATTTGAGAGCTCGATCTTCACGGAAAGAATAATCGTTTTTGAAATGGGTAACTCTAGGAAGAAGACCTTGATAAAGGTAGGAACCTGTCAAAACCAACACAGCAAGGAGTAGGGTGAGAAGAGGAGAGAGTGATGTTGTTGTCGGCGTTGATCGACGATTCGAGGGTTGAGGCAACATATAAAACATTTTTTTGATCTTGATAAAAAACACAATTTCTGAAATATTGTAAAGTGTGAAATTGTTAGAAGACATTTGAACTATGTTCTGTCCGTTGCTAAAGATATTCTGAATACGGATTTAAAGATGAAATACATCATTGAAGAAAATTAATTTTAGAGAAACCATAAACTTGAAAAAATACCTTGTGGACATGGATATGCAAAATGTTCTTTGAAACGGTTGAATTTCTTTCAACAACAACAAACATCGTCACTCATTGGTTTCCTCACTGACACTGAGAAAACAAAGCAATAAAGCGCTTCCATCAGCTCACGAGGGAAACCAGAAGAAATCCTCCTCTCTGGTTGACAACAAAGCTTGGTCTTTAGAATGCACGATCTTGCTCCATCAAACAGAGAGGACATTTGTTCATTCATCTTTCTCGCGATATGATCTTCTCCTAATATAACGAAACAATTATCATCTCATGGAGGAAAGAATTTTACAAAAAAATGAAAAGATCCAAATCTTACTCCTCCGTATTGAATTTGGAGCATATTCAAGGTCTCTATGAGTTATCGGAGGAAGAGAAACAAAATATTCAGCGTAGAAAACAAATTGAACATTTTAAAAAGGAAGTAAAACAGTTAAGACGATATGTGGAGGAAATTAAAACGTTTCGGGATCAATGGGTGTGGGTGAAATATGCGAGAAAAGTTGTGATGATTACTCACTTGATTACCGCGGTTTATATTATGGCAGAAAAAACATTACGAGTTTTAAATATTTCTTTGTATCGCACAGTATCTCATCAATTATCATTTAGTCAATTAATGAAGTCTTGGATGCAAAACAAATTCGAACAAAGTAATTCATTACAAAATTTAAAAGATGCATTACAAAAATATCATGAAAATGTTTCGAGACAATACCAAGAACAAAAGCAACGAAGATCAGAGTATTTACAATATTTAGCCTCTCTGCCACCAGAATCATTAAACAGCCAATCATCATCTACACAGGGAGGTTTGCTAAGTTATATTTCGAGCCTATTTGGAAGTGATAGTGGTGCTAGAAAAGTTTCAACGAATATTTTGGATTTCATGGACCCGTCAGATGGATTGACATACTTTGGGGATGATGGCGTTTTTGCATCATTTCTGAAAGAGGCTGATGGAAATGCATCTGCTTTCAATTCGTTCTCCTCGTTAAAGACAGAACATTTTACCAACACAATGACACGAAGTATATTTGCTTCTCAAGGCTTTCGAGCTATTGCAAGGTTATTTTGGAAAGAAACATTGCAAAGTGGCTCTCTCATTTTCCTTGTTTATTGGTTTGGAAAACAGAACATTCGAAAGGTAAGCTTTTTTTCATCGTCATGGGTTGATTGACATGCTGTCTGAAGAGAGTATTTGCAACCATTTTGCTCTTTTTGTTCAACGTTTACATGCTAGTGTTTGATATGCATTCTGGATCTTCAGCACGATTTAGAACCATTTTGCGATGGAATGTCATTTTTAATATTCTGTCGTTAGTGACATTCTTGCTCTTTAAGCAACATTTGAACATTACAACAGAATATTTTGATCAAAGATATCTGAAAGATTAGAACTTTATTCGTTTAACATAAGAACATGTCACAGATGAAGGGAACAAAGTATTGCAATCACTCTTCATGTTCGTGGATGCCAAACCACTTCTTGTGGTCATAGAGTCTAACTTCATTGAAGCGAAGAGCTTCATATACTAATGGAGCATCATCATTACCACTTGCATTCCATCCACAATCATTTGGTGGATACATAAAATAATCATCCACACTAACAGTTTGAAATTCTTTTTTTTGGTTTTCCAGTAATTCTTTTTCTCTACTTTTCAAAGGAACAAATGTTTCGTTTCTAAATGATGCATATTTGCCACCAAGGGGTATATCTCCAAACGCACATCCATTGTTTATAATACCAGCATGTTCTAGTAATTCTTCAGCAACTTGAACCCATTTACGGAAAAAGATTAATGGCTCCTCATGCTTTTTTTTCCAATTCAAACATTTCAAAAGGATGCATGTGTTGATATTCCATAAAGTGTGACTTGTAGTATGGATTATTTTCTGTTTTTACATGTATCGGATATTCCTTGAATAATCCTCCTTCACCGTATTCTCTAATGGTGTGATGTTTTTGCAAATCATAGTATCGATAAATGTAAACAGTAATTTCTCTTCCCCTCATGTGCTCAGGCCATCCACTATCAATGGACAATGAAGACACTCTCGATTGATCCTCAGATTTAACATTTGAATTCAAGAGTATTGAATTTTCCACACTCGAACGTTCTACACTCAACTCTGAAACTGATGATACAGTTTCGCTATATTGTGCAATTTCAGATGCATGCTTGTCCTTCCAGTCTTTCAGCATGTAAGCTTTCATGCCAAACTTACAACGGCTCAAAAAGAAGTGCTTCGCTAGAATATCGAATGCTTTTGGTATATCTTCAATCTCAACAGAAAAATGTACTTTAAAATCTGGGGCTCTATGAGTGGTCATTGCTTTTGATGAGGTGTTTTGAAGTATTAAAGATCAGACAATACAAATTTTCATCGATTCTAGTTCTATAATTTCCACAATTAACATCATCATGCTTACCCTGAGCTAACCAATATTTATGTCCCTCAGCTGATCATGCGCATTGAAGAAAATATTATTCTGATGAAAAATTTTCATATTAAACAATACCAACCTGTATAAACTCGAACAAATCCGTTGGAGGCTCCTGCATAATAATTCTTCAGTTGATACATTTTACTGGTATCGGAAACAAGTCGTGCATAATTAAAAACATGATCCACCATTTCTGGAAAATCTTCTTCTTCCTCTTCTCCTCGTGTCATCCGAAGTTTATATTCATCATCAATGAAGAATGGACTATTCTCTTTGTTGGTGGTATCCGTTATTGTTGTTGTTGTTGGTTGTTGATCCTGTTGATCCTCTCGCGATCTTGAATTTGTGCTGGCAATCATTTTTTCTCAATGCTGACGAGAAGTTTCAAGTTCATATCCCAGAAAAAAAATGGGCAAAAAGAGAAATCAATCTAAGGATGATGTGGGTTCATCCTTGGCCGATTTAAATTTGATCAGAAGAGCAAAATATTTGAAAGCGAAGGAAATGCTGCAAGATTTAGAGAATGCAAAGAAACGAGATGTTCCGATTCAATTTATCACATTGATCAAACAATATGATGATGGATCTGATGAAGAGATTTATATTGATTTAGATTGCATGTTACAGATTTTCAGTTATTTGAATCCTTCTGAATTGTTGTTACATGTTGGTCTTGTATGCAAATCGTGGTATTTTCTTTCAATACGAACGAACTTTTTGTGGCAAAATTTGTATTATTCAGAATTTGGTGATGAAACTTCCCGACCTGTCTATAATGCTATTATTGATGAGAATGACGATTCCGAATTTGATGGACAATGGAAGAAAATGTATGCCTATAGAGTTGACTTGAGAAATAAGTGGTACAATAATCATCCTGATCGTATAGGATATTTGGACATTTTACAATCTGAATATTCAAGAAACAAGAATAAGAATACTAATAAGGGAGAGTTATTTAAGAAGGATGCGCATTTAGCTTGCATTTCAGAAGAAGAACTTGTCTCAGAAGAGACAAGTGACAGAAAACTCTACAGAATTAACCCAGAAGACAGGGCTCAAATTACCAAACTTTGTCTTGTCGGAAATGACAGACTTTTGAGCGGTGACGCAAGAGGGGTGATTAAATTGTTCAATCTTAGATCTTATCAACAGGTGAAGAAATTCGTAGGAGCGCATGACACCTCTATTTCGAACATTGTGTGTATACTTCCAGAGCAACAATTATCAGAAACTCCAAGCCAATTTATGACACCAAGCAAATTCAAACTCGAACCAAACTATACCTACTTTTTATCAACAGGCTTGCAATCACAGGAAATCAATGTTTGGCACCTTGAGACTGGACTTCTCTTGAAAAAGCTCAGAGGAGAACATGCTGTGGAAACATGCTTTGGAGCGACAACCAAAATGAGACATCCTGTCGTTGGTATGAAGGTTTCCAGGTTTTGTGGCCAACCTGTTTTGGTAGTAGTTTCACTTAAAACCATCGAAATCTATGACCTTACCACCTTTGTGCTACTCAGAATCATAAAACCCTTTTACAAGCCGAAAGAAAAGGGTGCAGCACGAAAGAAGCTCATAGATGCATTCATTGAAAAATTAAGAGGTGAATACAATAGTGAAGACGAGGAGGAACAAGAAGATGATGAAGTGGATGACGACGCTATGCATGATGCAGGCCATGCTCCAGCAACTACCATTATCAAGTTCGAAATTCTCGACGATAATACCATTGCTATTGTCTCTGGAGACCAAATTATTCGTGTGTATAATGTCAGTCTGTCTTTATGTATCAAAACGATGGACATGAAGAAGACCAAGGTATTGGACGTTGAAAATTACAATCGACCAACTTCATTGGAAAGTTTCAAAAAACTATATCGCAAGTTTGAGGTTCATGAACAGATTATTGTAACTGGTATTTACAAAACGAATATTGATGGACAATTTTGTGCTACCGTGGTTATAGGCTCAAATAATGATCCTTACAATTATGCTGCCTCTAATGCCAAAACATTTATCAAGTATTTTGACTACCGATTTGGCATTGAAAATCCAGTAAGAAGTGTAAAATTAGATGTGAAAGATAGTTATGACTATTATGGATATAGACACAGTTACAATTCAAACTATTTCGATGACGACAAGATAATTATTAGCACCTATTCAAGCATTTGCATTGCTGGCAGAAGAGACGGTATTGTCAAACAATCGATTCAACATCCATTGAACCTCTCGTACAGTGTCTCTACTTATTATGCAGACGAACGCTTTTTGATTATGGGCACTTCGTTTGGAGGAATAATTGCATTAGATTTTGGTGGAAATTTGCTTTATTGGAGCAATCTGAAAGGAAGAAGATTGCTTGACGAGACTTCCACCACTGGATCTGCTGCTTCTGCTACTAATGACACAGATGTTGAGCACACCACCTCAATGGCTGAACACATGGATGAATCTCAAGATTAAAGTTTACACTCTCCGAGTCGTGTCGCAAAAGAGAATTGAGAGTTTTTTTTTAAAAAAAATATTTGATCTCTTCCTCAGAGCTTTTTGTTCCATTATTGATGATCAGCACCCGATCAGCAATATATTATTAATAATAATTAAAGAGTGGTGAGCCAAGTGGTTGTTTTCTTAGGGTTGTATTACAATCATCATCATTTTGACAAAGTATTTGTGCATCGGAAATTTTATCGTCCTTCATCAGTCCAAACCTGATAAACTTTATATAAGCTCCATAATATCTGTATGGGCAACAAACAAGTTAAAAGTAAAAACAGATCCATCACCGAGTCACCATCAACCAATTATAATTGTGCAAGAATGTATCAAGTATATTGTGCAGGAAGTAAATCTTCGAACGAATATCCTCCAACAATAAGTAAGTCATTGATTTTTGATATCGTGTGGAAGCAATAACCAAATCAACTTTATTGGTAGATCCTGAAAGTACGGATTTTGACCCTGTTAGCCCTCTGACTTTTGGAAATGAAATAATTAGAAATGTCGCCTGTGGTTATCGGTATGTAGATTTTCGACATGCAGATCATCATATGATCATCATCATTTCTTTTGCTAGATGTTCATTCTTTCTTACTGAATCAGATCATTTGTACTCATGTGGTCAAAACTCGTCAGGAGAGTTAGGTTGGGGATTTATGACAGAATCTTACCAAGAATTAGCCAAAGACAAAACAATAATTCCATCATATGGCATGATTGACTACATTTTAAGTGGTGACACATTCTCTTTTTTTGTCATGAAAGGTCAGTTTGAAATTATCACACAATTTTGTGGACTCAATTTAATTAGATGGAACATTTCTAAGATGTGGATCAAATTCGGAGGGGTATATCGGAGCTGGAACAGTATCATCATTGTCAACTCCCACCGCTGTCACAAATCCTCCGTGGAAGACAAATCGTGTGGACAAAATTTCATTTGGATATTATCATTCAGCAGTATTATCAAATAATGTATTGTATCAAACAGGAAAGGTTCCTGGATCAGATGTTTGTAACGAGTACAAGCCCATCGACGCTGCTCAGCTGAAAACCATTGGAAAAATAGTAGATGTTGCTTGTGGAGTGTTCAACACATTTTGTATCAATGGTAAGTGTCATTGATAAGCAGTTGATGGATTTTTTCTCACGCTGTTGATCATGTCAGATAAGGGAGAGCTTTTTGGAGTTGGACAAACCACACACTATGGAGAATCTCGTGTGTGGACTAAAATGAATGTTGGTAGACCTGTTTCCAAAATTTTCAGTGGCTCTCTGTCGGCTCTTGCACTCACTTTTAACGATGAGGTGATGGTTTTTGGCGATAATGGAAGTGGAGGTATGTACGATAGAGCAAAATAGAATTTAATGCCGTAACACATTTGAATAATGTGAAGAGCTTGGATTTGGAAGCGAAGCAGTTCATGATTGGACTGTACATCCAGAGCTAAGTGGTATTGGAGTGCATACCATTGGAATTTACACATATCAGACAATTTTCATAACGAAATCAAATGAGGTTTATGTAGCTGGAAACAACACAAGCGGTCAGGTAAGTGATTTTCTTACTATGAAATGTTGAATACAAATTTTCTCAGTTGGGTAAGTTTTCTTAATAATCATTTGCAAAAAGCTCATTGAGCACTTTTTGTTATTCTTCATCATTATTATAATGTAGGTCAAATTGAGAAGAAAAATCTACAACGTCATCCAACATTAGAAAAATATTGTCGAGAACATGTTGGAATGATACCTCATGTGACAGGAGGTTTTCAACACATGATTGTTTATTTCGCAAAAGATAGTAAGTGATCAATTTTTTCAGATTTTTCAATCGTTACAACTTTGAAAAAAGCAAGGAAATCTCTTCGATTCCAAGTGCTTCTTCACAAAGCTGTTGTCAATCATTCACTCTCCGATATTTTCATTGAATGTGGACAATAAACTGCATAGAAATAAATTATGGAACTCACTTTGGAAATGTCAAATACCTTTGTCAGGAAATATTTCACATCATGAATCACTCGACTCCGATTCAAATTTTCCAAAGAATTGAAAAACAATTCATTTTAAAACAAGATCGATTTCGTGTCATCTTTTTTCCAATGCTCTGCACACCAGAGGCAAGTGTAGCTGTGGATGATTTGAATCGATTGGAAGGATTTATTTTTCTAAAACAAGCATCGTTGGATGCTTTCAAGGAAATGCCAACTGGATGTCAATTTTGTGCTGCCTTTCTCAATGACAAGTTCACATTTGAACATCAAGATTCAAAGTTGTCATCCGTAACTATCAGTAGTGCAAGTTTGAAGCAACATCAACAAGGAAAATTGACAAATCAGGAAATTATTTCACTCATCAAAATGCCAGTCAAATCTTTTGGATATTTCGAAATGGAAAAAGGAGCAAATAACTAACAATTGAACTATATTGCAACATCAAATATGAAACCTCCAAAATTGATTGAATTTATCACTAATTTATTTCAGAATCGATTTCCATACTACAATTTACTCATGACCAATGATACAAAATATTTCACAAAACGAATTTGTTTCTTTCATTTACCTTTCAGTTTGCAATTTAAATTATTGAAAATTTTACGGAGCTCATGCACCATCATGCTTCTCTTCGAATCAATAAGGGAATTTGTAAAGTCTCACATGTGACAGTGACATCCGATTCGACACTTGCCAATCAATTGACTCACACGGATTGTCTTGAAGTTCATTTCTTGCAAGAATGTGTGACTCATGAACAGAAATTTGTTCGAACGTATTCCTATGTCTCTGTCATCAAACCTTATGTGACACGAGTGAGATTTTTCTTGTCGAGTGAAAAAGTAGAACGCGTATCAAATGTTGCTACATAACAAGAATGGGGTCAGCATCTTTCGAAGAAAAATTCCTCTTCAAGTGGATGTTTGTTGGCATGAACAAAATGAAACAACATTGTAGATTACAACATTAATTTGCATCTCTTTTTATTTACTCGCGAGTACTACTCTGTTGTAAATCTTGACACTTGTTTTCAATTACACAATGGAAGTGGAAGGAACTGTATTGATACCACATCTTCCCTTATTTCTAATAATACGGAACTATTTTTCACAACATTTGTTCATCACATTATAATGAATTCATTGAAAAAATTATAAAAAACTTACGTATCCCCTATTGGATTGAACGTTGTGTGTCACATCATTATTTTCACATCATTTTGATCATTCATTGATTCACATGTGAACATTAAATCATTAGTTCCGTTTAGATTTCACTAATGAAGGCAACACCAACAACTAGTACTTACATTTCACCCCAATCTAAGTCACAGAATTTCAAAGTCCATTCACAAATTCACATAAAATTAATAAGTTAATAAATAAATTAATAAATAAATTAATAAGTAAATTAACAAGAAAATTAATAAATAAATTACTAAATAAAAATCCAATAATTCATAACACTTACCTTCACCCCATGAATTCTTAACAATCCAATAAGGCTCAGGAGATCCAAACCAGAATGTTTCCACACCATATCCCACCAACAAGACACCATGATCCAATTGAGTTGGATCACACCAAGCAGGATCACCAATTCCATTATTATAATTTTGTAACCAATCAGCATTCAAAGCCACAGCAATAGGTCCATTCTCAGCCAACCAAGCAGCGAGTTCAGTCTCATTGGTAGACAACATGGTCCAATTTTGAAGTTTTGCAACAAATTGAGAAGGTTTCACAGTGCATGTGTAAGATTCGGCATAATAAGGATAAGCATCTTCAGAGGCAATGCCACCTGCTTGAATGATGTATTGATAGGCACTACATTGAAGACCACCATCGCAACCAGAGTCACAGGATTGTTGATTTTCGAAAATGACACAATTGTGATCACAATCGACAAGTTGTTGTTCTGTTGTTATTCCATGAAATGATTATTGTTGGAATAATGATTGTAATTGTTGATGGAATGATGGAATGAGGATGGTTATTGTTGGAATTTGTTGATGTTGTTGAAGAGTAGATGATGAAATAAGAGAACTTACCTGAGAGAGCCTTAAGTTTCTTGGTTTTTAAATACCATTGACCTTCAATGTTACCTGTTGCAGAGAAAGCCCAACAACTAGGAGATGAACATCCATGTACAGAGAAGAAGATCACAGTGATATCATCATCACAATAAGAGCAGCAGTGATGATGTGAATGTTATCAAATGAATGTTCGATCACCCAAATTAAAAACAAGATGCAATTTTTAACTTACCTTCCACATTGACCTTGATTCTTGACATAGGTCACAGCACCATGATCTCTCCAATCCCATGACTGGGAATATCAAAGAATAATCCAATCGATCATTATCAAGTCGAATCGATGAATGGATTGTGATGTCATTTCACATTTCATCATATACATTTTGACAACAATCAAATTGTGCGATCAAATGTTAATATTGAATGCATCCAAATGAATGGAATCAACCAGAACATCCACACTTACCTTTGGAGCATCACGAACTTGTTGTTGTGAAACTCTAGAAATTGGCAACACTCCATTTCGATTCACACCACTGCTCATCATCAATTGTGGAGTTTTTGGTTCCATCAAGTAATACTTTTTAAATTCTTCAGGTGAGAGATCACTGAATTTAGTGACTCCATAAGTGTTGCGACCTTCCAAAAGGTTCATTTGACGACTCTTTTCAACATTTTGTGAAAAGATTTCGAAACGTTGTTGATATTCTTTTGGACCTTGATAGAATTTGTTGTGTTTGTGAGTGAATTGTAGGAAGAGAGATTTCATTTCATCCACAGAGAGAGGTTGATAGGAGGATTGAGTACTTGTACGACTATGAGTACTACTCGAGGTTATTGGATCAGCAGCAACAGTAGCGGTTGTACAAGAAATGCACATCATGAGAGATGCGAGCACGAGAGAAATGATGGTTGGATAAGATAATGATGAGAACATTTTTTCGATAGGTTCGATGGAGGTGAATTCAATTCTGAGTGTTACAGAGCTAGACTGGAATGTCCATATTGAAGCTCGGTTCAGTCCCATTAGTCATTCCAAATTCCAAAGCATGTTCCTTGTTTCATTAGTGGTTCCAAAATTCATAAAAATTAAAACATTCCTTTAAGCTTGGGATGTTTCAAAGGTATTGGGTGGTTTCAAAGATTCAGGGGCGTTTCAAAGATTTTGGCGCGTTTCAAAGAATCCGAAACATTCCAAATCAGCTTCTTTTCAACTCAGCTTGGGAGTTTCAAATAAAATTTTGAATTGAAAAAAATGTCTCTCGATATCAGCAAAGAAGACGCTGTGAGATTGAGGGAAATCGAGGTCAAAAAATTGGTGGCCAATGAATGGAAGGTATTGCATGAAGAGCTGCCAATTATTCAGAAATCAAAAGGTAGAAAGGATATCAAGGATATTCCTACAATGAATAGAATTAAAGAAATAGTCTGCCAAAGAATTGGATATGTTGCTACATTCATCTTCTTACATACTGTTGGTACTATCTGTGGATGGTTAGAAGGTCCTTATCGTAATGTGGGCAAAATCTTATTAATTCTTTACATGTTACTTGAAAATGAAACATTCGGATCCTTAAATGAGAGGAGAATTATCGCAAGGTCTACAATATGGAGAATTCATCACACAATTTTCGTTGAATTTCATGACCAACTTAATGAATGGGCTGACACTTGTTTGCAAAGAATGTTTTCAAATTATTATTCGATGTCTTACTGGTATAATTGAAAACGAAAAAGGCTTCAAGGATGGAACCACTTTTTTAGATGGTCATGATACACGTATTGAATATAGTAATTTAGCCAAATATCCTAAAAGGGAGTATTGGAGTTACAAATATAAAGATTCTGGATTAAGAACTCAAGTATTGATGGATAATCAAGAATTAGCAATTGCTATTTCGAAATCCCTACCATGTGCTCCTAATACAGACATTGGTATGTTCAAGCAAATGGGGAGAATTCCAAAACTATTAGATCCTAGTGTGGATGTATTGTATTTTGATGGTGGTTATTTCTTGGGAATTCCTGATTATATTGAAAAATTGCAAGAAAAAGGATATGATTTTGATGAGTCAAATTTCAGAACTCCAATTAGAAAACCAAGAAATCAAGATCTAACATACAGTGAAGCACAATATAATGAAGAATTTGGTGCTTTTCGTGGTATGATTGAAACATTATTCTCTCATATTGGTGAGAAATTCAAATTTTTCAATCCTCATTCAGTTGCTAAAATGAGTGGAGATTTGGAAAATGTGTGGAATTTAAAATTGCATTTGTGTTGTTTGACATTCATAGATTCGTAGAAAAATATAATATTCAAGTATTAGATCACCACAAGGAATGGATGCGTTCAGACTTTGATTTTCCTATAGAAAAGCCAAAATTATTAAAACCCTCTGTTAATGTTGTCCGTCAAAAAGAATATGCAGAGGAAAAAAGAAAAGCTCAATGTAACCTTATTGCTAAAATGTTGACAATGAGTGACACTGAATTAATGACACTATCAACTCGTGAAATTCTAGAATATTCACATAATTCTAATCCAGTACAAATCGGTGATGAAGGATCAGAAAGCGGCTCGGATAATGAACTTCCAAGAAATCTACAAGAAAGTGATTCTGATAACGAAGGATCTGAGAGCAGTTCTGATAATGAAAGATCCAATTCGCAAGCCTCAAGATCAAGATCAGAAAGCGATTCGGATAGTGAAGGATCAGAAAGCAGTTCTGATAATGAAGAAAGATTGATATCACCAAGAAAGACACAATTCCCAAGAATAACCTCAGGCTCGGAAAGAAGTTCACAAGACTACACACCACAAAAACTTCCACAAAAAACTCCAAAATCAACTCCACAACCAAGAACTCCACAACCAAACACCCCTATCCAAATCCAAAGGCCGGCTCTGCAAGCATCATTTAAAAAAGTTCAACAAAGAAGAAAACAAACCAAACACTTCGGAACCTCCTTTCGGTATTGGAAAACGGCAAGCCAAACCAACAGCTGCGGCTAATCCAGAATACTACTCACCACAACAAAAGAAGCAAAGAAAGTCAACAAAACAGTAATATAAAATTGTGATGATATTTTTTTGTAGTTGAAACTCCCAAACAAAGTTGAAAAGAAGCTGATTTGGAATGTTTCGGATTCTTTGAAACGCGCCTGAATCTTTGAAACCACCCAATACCTTTGAAACATCCCAAACTTAAAGGAATGTTTTAATTTATGAAAGCCTATTCAATTTAAATAACACGTTTCAAATGCATTGAAAGGTCTAGAATTAAATGGTCCTGGAACGAGCTTCATTTGTGGGAGGACAAAGTGGAGAAAGACGAGAACCGAAATTGTGTTTTAACGTTGAATCAATTCACAAAAAAAAGAATTGTTGGGAAGGAATTGAATTTATAAAAGCATTAAAGCAAACAACTTTAGTAATATATATGGCTACCGATCTTCTCTGTGATATCTATCTTCTCTCAATAAAGGGAAATTAAAAAAGGCTACAGCACTGCAGGTTCCCAAGTTGTCTCCAACCTCAGTACTGATGCCGCTCGACGATGCTTAACTTCTCAAATCGGACGGGATGAGGTGCATTCATCGTGATATGGCCGTAGCCAACCATCCTTAAAATCTGAAACCTATTAATCAGGTGTTGTACCAAGAACAACAAGGGTTGTTGACTTCATAAGATCGACGTGTGCATACAACAATACCACCTTTGCAAATGAAGAGCTAATTAGTTGTTTGTAAAAAAACCTGTCAAAATTTCATTACTAACCTGCAATGTCCTTTTGAACTATATATTAAATATATTCTTTCCTTTTGTTTTTTGACCATGGAGGTCTGAAGGAAGTCGAATCTCCAACATTCTATCTATCTGAAGATGGGACTCATTTTGTTCAATGGATGACTGTCACATCAAAAAAATCAAAGTATTAATGGTTCCATTGTCGCCCAGATAGACAAAATTCTCCCACAAATGTGGATCCTTCAACTTAATCACTGAGAATTCCAATCCATTTCACTTTCAACGACCTTCTTCAGAGTCTTTGCTCCAAACCACAGTTCTCTCTTGGCTCTACCACAAACTCCGTCTTCATGGGAGATCGTGATGGATCTTTTTAAGGAATCGCCACACTCATCACAAGGTTTGTCATGAAAAACTTCACAAAATGTCGCGGTTGGCAGGACTCGAACCTGCGCGGGTCACCCCATTTGATTTCTAGTCAAACGCCTTAACCACTCGGCCACAACCGCTTACATTCATTGTGATTGTATAAATCTTACATGTCTTAAGAGGTGATACATTTGATCTAAAAGAATACTCTTCTTTCCTTCCATTGTTAAATTCAGTTGTTCAAGTTGTCACTGAACACCCATACACCCTTTCACAAACAATTATAACAATCGGTGGTCACATTGTTTCGTCTCTAAGCACATACGTTACAGTCGCTGATCCGAGTCTCTAAAAGCTTGATGTCGTGTCTCTCACGTGGCTATTGATACAAGTGTCATTAAAATCATTCACTTTTTGGAAAAGTACCGTCCCAATAAGACCTTAATTGTCTTTGGGAAGGAACAGAAAGTGGCCATAAAATAACAAGTTTATTTAAAACTGAACATCTGTTATATTTTAATAGTTACACAAAACAAGTGTTCTCTCGCAAGGTTATTATACGAATGCTCAATTAATGACTTGCCAACTTTAAAGCTTGAATCCAAGAGTCTCTCTTGGTAATCTTTTCCCACCATGCTTTCACATGAGGTCGTTCATTAATCAAATGTCCCAAATTAACCTTCTCATGGAACAAATAATTACCATAAGGTAAGTGATACAGATCGGCCAAAGTGAATTGATTTCCTCCAATGTATTCTTGCTTGGCCAAAATCTTTTCATAGACATCGAGGGCTTGAGTGAGCTTTTGAGTGAGCAACTTGACACGAGCTTCATCAGGAGCACCTCCACCAAACATTCCCTTAAATACCAATTCAAAAGCAAGACCACTAACATTGGGATCAAAGTAAGAGGTCTCAATGGAAGCTCCTTGTTCAAAGAGTCCCAATGCCTTCAAGTCTGTTGGGATCAATTGAGTTCCTTGACTCTTGAACTTGGCTTCCAAATATCTGCAAATGGCACGTGATTCATAGATCAAGAAGCCGTCGTCTTCAAGAACTGGAATGACACCAAAGGGTTGCTTCTCGAGGAAAGCTGCTTGCTTGTGTTCTCCCTTTGAAAGATCGACAGGAACTAACTCAAAATCCAAATTCTTTTCCTTGAGAGTAGTGACCACACGTTGAACACAGGTAGAGAGGTAGATTCCGTAGAGTTTGAGAACCATGTTGTATGATGAGGAGTATGTGCGTGTTGTGAAAGGATTGTTTCGATTTGTTTTTCTTGTTGTTGAATTTTGCAAGTTCTTATTTGATTTTTATAGGATTTCAAGAAAGAAGTGCGGACGTATTTTTTGATCGGTGTGGAAACTGAGCTTTCAAGAGTTGAAATTCCACACAGAAAATGCGCACTCAAGGGTCGGGAATCTTGTGACATGAACCCTGTTTCCGCCAATGGAGAGAGACAGCCCAAAGAAAGGTGGACTGTTGTAGGGAATGAGTTCTAAAATAGAGCGAGGATGTCGTCAAACAACACAGAAAGATGTCTTTTCGACCACATCAGACAAATATTCTTGATAGTTGTTTTTGATTCATATCTAGCTAGAACACAAGGTCAGAGGTGTTGTTCGAAAATTCGAATCTAATGATCAACAACGAGACGAACTGGATGCTTTTTGTGATGTTTAACTCACGCGCCAAAACTAGCCGATTCATTTAAAATTAAAAAAAATCATACCAAAAAAATAAACAAGCGAGGCCTCATTCCATTAAAATTCTTCATCAAACCACAACGATCAACTGCACTCATTGATGAATAATCAGAGAGCACTCTTTCTTTCTCCTCCACCTTGCACCAAATCATCATCCAGAATGAACAACAACAACAATAGCATGCTTCCTCCTCCTTCTCTCTCCAAAGATGATAGCGTTCTCGGAATGAACCGAACCGAACGACTCCGAAGGCAACATTCACAAATGCAACGACCTAATATGCCTGTTACACCCACACTCCCTAAAACCTCTCACTTTCAAACTTCATCCATGGACAACAATAGAAATCCTCAACTACAACCACCACCAACACAACAATTACAAGTCTCTCAAGTCCACAATACACAACAAGGGACCTCCTTTACCATTGAACTCGATTCATCTGTGCCCAAGAAGACTCTTCCTCCTCACTTGGCCGAACGTTTGAGTAAACGAACAAGTGTTCCCAAAACTGTAAAAGACTCGGAGATGGGTGGAGTGGAAGATCAGACGACGACTACTGCCATGAATACTCAATCAACAACTACAAGAAAATCCATGGGTGCTACTTCCAATTCTGCCAGGTCCAGCATTTTGGAATTCCAGAAAAGAAAGAGTTTGGGTTTGAGACAGACGAGTCTCTTTAACAAGTCGTCCAACACATCATCTTCTGTCATGAATACATCAAACACTGAACAAGGAGGATCTCAAGGCCTTACGTATACAACCTTTGACACGGTGGCTAATCATGGACTCACACTCGATGATGACCTTGAAATTGGTTTCGAAAATAAGAATAATGGATCTCCTTTGTTATCCATGCCAAATCAACAACTGCCTCAACAACCACCTCAACAACCACCTCAACAAGGATCTTTTGGAACGATGATGGCACCTCCTTCACAACCTCCTCAAGTTGTTTCCTCTCAGCAGCAGCAAGAACAACAGATGCAATTCAATGCTCAACCCATGACACAAGCTTCACCCAGTGCATCTCAAATCACTTTTGGATTTTCTTCTCAACAGCAACACCCTTCTTCGTCGTCGATGACACCATTTGGTAATTTCTCCTTTACCAACTCGCAACAAGCTGTTGCTTCTTCTCAGCAACCTTCATTTACTTTTGGTCAGCAACAACAAACAACTTCGACAACACCTCAAACATTTGCCAATTCAATGAATGATAGTATGAGCTTGGGAAATACTCAAAGTCAACAAGAGCAAGAACGATTAGAACAAGAAAAGCTCAAGCAACAACAACAACAACTAGCGATGGAACAACAAATGCAACAACAACAACAGCAACTTCAAGAGCAGCAACGTCAACAACAATTGTTTGAGCAACAACAAATGTGGCATGCCCAACAAGCTCAACAACAACAGCAAGAATCCTCTCAACAACCATTTCCTCAATTATATCCCTCTGTCACTCCACCAAATTTCTCTCCTCTTATACTGCCAAGCCAACTGCCTGAAGAAAGCCAACGACTGTTTTATGAAATGCAAATTCAAAGAGCAGAGTTGGAGAGAGAACGCCAAGCTCATATGGAAATGATATTAAGAGAGAGAGCAGAGATTGAGATGACTAAGGAAATGCTTCAGCGTCAACAAATGGAGTTACAAGCAAAGATGCAAGAAATTGAGCGATTGAAGCAAGGAGGGCTTCGAAAGAATGGGTGTGCCTCTCCTGATGATGATGAACGAAAAAAGGAAGTTGAGGCCCGACGAATCGAAAAGAGAAATATCCAGAGAACAGAAATTTTAAAATCAAAACGTGAACTTAATTTGTTAAATGTTGACAAGCTGTCTCGAGCTTCCAGAGAAAAGCAAAGAGCAGAACGAGAAGAAGAAAAGAAGAGAGTGAGATCTTTTTTACCTGCCAATATTTTCTCTCCTCCTAAACACAAGCCATCCCATGACACTCTCAACAAAAGAGCTTCAATGTACACTGGAACAAGCATGAGAAGTCCTCCTTCATCAAGAGCAATGACATCAAGCGAGTCTATTGCAAGAAGTTCGCATTCATCCTCCAATAAGATGACCTCAAGTGGACCTTATCTTGGTCAGATACCAACGAATAGTTTGCAAACTCCACAAAGTACAACCAGTTCTTTACGATCCTTTGCTTCCAAAACAAGCAGCGTTCGTAGTATGGAGGCATCTCCTGGAATTAGCAAGAGAAAGCAAATGGTTTTGGAAAAAACAAGACGAAAAGCAGAAGAATTTACAAGAAAGAAGTTATCGGATCGCAATAATAACGAAAACACCCCATGTCAACGTTAATTTATTGACATGATAAAATTCTTTTTGTAACAATTACAGTTATTATTAATAATTCTTGTATGGGTTGTATCCTTTTCCTGATCGAGGTATGGAACTGGCAACAACTTTTGGATGATATTCAAGAAAACGTAAGAAATTATTCTTGTCTACAAAAGCATCTTCGGCAGTTATATCCATGATGTGGTTCCATTTCTTGCCTTTTAATCCAACAAAAACGTAATCTCCCTTTCGTTTTAAGGATTTCACTTGAGCTTCCGAAAGTTGTTGAGCTGCAACATTGTCGGTAAGAAACAAATTGTACTTGAGATTTTCAACAGAGTTTAGCGGAATTTTGATTTCATCAATTGGAATTCTGTTGTCCTTATAATTTGACCATCCAAATTTAGCTGTGACAATTCTTACTGTTTTATCGTCAATTCTTCCAAATTCTAAAATATTATGTTTTGCATAATACGAAACTCCGGCAATCACTGCCACAGCTGCCAAGGCATAACCTAAACCAATTAAGATTTTGGAAGTTAAAGATGCCTCTTTTCTATTTCCTAGTTCATCAAATTTGACCATTGTTATTGTGAAATATGCCAAAATAGAAAGGGTGATGGCATTAGCGATTGAAGCAATGAAAGCAAATTTAAAGAATCTAGCTTTTGGATTGCGATACAATAACACATAATCTTCGGGAAGAGGAGGTTGATTTTTGGGAGGTGCAATCAATGTTTCTATATCAATATATTCTTCATCTGCTGATGAGGGATTTTTAGATGATGTTGCTGCGACCGGAACTCGACAATGTTTCATGTTTTGATGAAATGTTCTTTTCATCATCATCACACTAAAATCATCATAACAGGCCATAAATCCATGAAATTGTGTCCTATTCATCTTCTCTTCCGACGCAACAATGTTCCCACTACTTTTTGTTAGCATGCCTCCGATGAAGAGATGCCGTCTTGGATTGGAGCGAGCCACAAAGTGTTTCAACATTTTTTTAATGTCTTTATTTGGAATTAATTGAAGGGAAAAGAGTGGGAGCAAAAGATTGATTGGCCTTAGTATTGAATGTGAGAACTCATGATCAAACACCACACATAGTGTTCGCTTGCTGTTGATCAGTGTTCCCATAATGGGAAATTTGTACAATTCATTGATGAAATTTTAAATACACAAAGTTGGTGTGGTGCTGAATTAGAGCTGTTTCAGTTTGTTAGCCTCAGTTTTAATTTCCTTAACACAAGCGGCGAGAGCTTCGGGATTGATTCCCATCTCACATAAATTCATAATTATTGAAAGACTTTCACGATCAAGACCCGCATTTAGAATATTATTAATTTCATATGCAACTGTATCATCATCATCAACAAAAACAGATTCGGAATTGAACTTTTATATCACTCATATACACTACAACGTACTTTCAAGTGTTTCTTGTGTTTCCTTGATGACGTTGTTCCCCGAAGATGATGATGAAGATAAAGATGACGTTGTACTTGAAGTTGGTGGTTGATGGTGTTGAAACGAACTGCTGCTAGTTGTTGAGTTTGACATTTTTTGTATGAAAGTTAATTGATTGGGAAACTCTCATTAATGTTTTTCCTTTTGCTTTACTTTTCGTTGCAACGATAATAGTTTTCTTCGTAGCAGTAGAACGTCGTTGTTGAATCCCTCAATGTCTAAATTTCTTCTTTTTGCCAAATCTTTGTATTTCTTTTGAAGTTTTTGCATGCTTAGTTCCATTTGCTTCATTTTGAGATTGTATTCTTCTTTCTTGGCTGCAAGCTGGTCTTGTAAATGCATAATGTCATTTTCTTTCATGATGGTCTGTTCTCTGAAATATCGAGCATATTCTTCGGTCTGTTCTCTGGCATTGTTGATAAGTAGCCGAGCCTCTTCTTGTGATCGCTCTTTCAGCTTTTCAATTTGTTTCCTCAAGAATAAATTTTCTTGAGACAGCTTATCGATGGTTTCTCCTTGCTTTCGAAGCTCTAACTTTAAATTATGTGACGTCACAAAATATTCTCTATTGCAAACTTGAAGCTTTTTGTGTGCTTCCTCATAATCTCTTTGAAGCTTCATGATAGTTTGTCGATCTCTTTCTCGCCGTTTTTCTTCCTCTTCCATTAAGATTTGTCGTTCCTTTAATAATGCCTCTTCCTTTTCTTTTGATAGTTTTACATGTTCTTCGAGTCGTGCCTGCAGTGACTCGACTTGAAGAAGAAGGGTGTCTGTTTTTTCGTTTGGCATAATAATTGTTCTTAATATTCTGGATGGTTGTTGCTGATGATTCTGAGGATTGTTGTTGGAGCAAACTTTTGGTTTGACTTTGGTAAATTTAGTTGAAGAGTTTTTGGAGTCTCCTGCCGATTTAATATATTCTTCCATGCAAATATCTTTGTTATCCTTCTTTGGATCACTTACAACAACCTTATTCGTTTTTGTGTTGAGCATATATTTGGTCACTTGATCAGGTCTACAATCCTTAAAGTACGTGACTTCTTGTGTGACAGGTTGTGTAAGGGCAAGTAGGTCTCTAATCTTCTTTCTATCTTCCATTTCTTGGACTGAATATAGTGTTGAATTTGAACTTGTCAAAACTAGTCATCCACTTACTTTTCAGAGCGTCATTTTGGTGTTGTAAATGCATGGAATGCTCTCTTTCATCAAAAATATGGAGCTGAGCGTCAGCAAGCGCTTTTTTTAAAGAATCAATTTCATCTTCTCTTCTTCTAAGCTCCCATTCTTGGTCATGAAACTTTTGATATTCAAGTTGAATGTCCGCAACCTTTTTAACGAGGTCCTCCCTCTCCTTCTCCAATTCCGCTATCAACAAGTTTAATAACAAAAAAAGCAAGATCCAACGAAACCTACCAACTTTCTTCTTGTAATATTCAATGCTCCCTTCGACAGCAGGGTCATCCGTGGATGGCCACATGTTCAATTTTTTTAATCTAATTTTCGAATGTAATAATTGGCGCCAAAAGAATAAGGCGGGACACATGGCGCTCTTTGTGTTTGGCGCTCCTCAATTACATTTTCATCCATTCTCATCTTAAAAAATGCAGAAATCCCGATTATCAACAACATCATCGTCCACAAATCAAAATGTTCGAGTGAGTAAAAGTGCAACAAAAAAGTCTCCTTCCGACCAGAAATCTGTATTGTATCGACCAAGTTCGAACACATCAAAGAAAAAGAAAGAATGGGATGTAAGTAAGAACAATTGTGTCATGCTCATCTTTTCATATCATGATCTACTTACTCAAGAGCACGATATCCAATTTGAATGTTTACAAATTATCTAAAGAAGAATTGGAGGCTAAAAAGAAGTCAAGAATTTCAAAACATCAAGAATATTTCAAGATTCACAGCCCCGAATCTTATCATCCAATGAGATTCATGAATGTTGAAAGACCTTGTTCGGCACCTCCTTCTAGAGTAAAACCTCTCGTCAGTACACCTACAAAAGAGCCCTCTGCAAAACAGACCCCAAAAACAGTTCCAACCACATTAAAGTCGAAAAACTCCTCAAAAACATCAAAAATTTCCTCTAACACCACCCTCCCATCCTTTAATATGGACCTTAACAACACTCAATTCTTGAATCTATCAAAATTCAAGCAAGAGTTTCCTCAGTTGGATCTTCTTCCATTAACCTCTCGAATACTTCAGCAAGAAAATTCTGAAACTTCAAGTGAAAGTGACAAGGATAAAAGCCTAACCAATGGGGCAGATATTTTCCAAGAAGATGACTTTCATAGGTTTGGAGAATGGAGCAGTAACATGCATGGTACCTACGATGAAGGACCAGCTTTTGAAGCAGCCAGCCGAAACAGAGAAACAGAATTAGATTTTATTAAGAACGAGCTGCTGGATCTTCGATCGAACGTTTTGTTCAAAAAGGAGAGTGAATCAAAAGCTATTGAAAATCTTCTTGAAGAGAAGACCAGGAGAGAGAGTGAGTTAGAGGAAAAAGCAAGCTATCTTCAACACGAACTTGACATTTCTCGAAAATCTTATGAAGATCTGGATCGCAGATTTTCACAATATCGAAAAGAAAACGAAGAACGAACAATCTCTCTTTTGCAAAGAATTGACGAACTCGAAAAGGCCTTAAAGAACTCTCAAAACAGAGAGGACGAACCATACGTCTCTCATTGTCAGGAACAAAAGGAAGATCCTGCAACAGACTATGTCATTAATGGCAGAAGCGTTCTCAAAAGCATTGAAGACACTGTCATATTTACACCAAAGAAAAATCAGACCACACCTCCCCAACCAGTCATGCAACTCGATACAAAACCAGTACTCAGAAAATCCTCTCCAAAAGATCAATCCCCTGCTCATAATCATTTTTTGGATGAAAATAAGGAAAATATTGAGATTGTGAAGAATGGAGACGAATGTTCGCCGTTCTCAACTTACCGATATCCTGTACAATTTACTGACAACGCTATTGAGATCCATCGGCCGCTCATCATTGGCAGAGACTTCTCAAGCACTCTGCAAAGCAATCAACTTCCATCCAAGCAAAACAAGGACTTTTCTCCTCCTTCATCCTTTGGAAATAACAGCTTGCAACACTCCATGCTTTCAAACAAAGTCAAGAAATTTAACATTCGTGAAAAACATTGATTAAATACATCTTTACAAAATTTAGAGTAACACACACAGAAGTTCGCACTCAAAATTGTGGGTTAATTATCGACAAGAAGACATCTTGATATTGCAAGGACATTCAATTCGAGGTGTCGACGGACGGATTTTAGGAAGAAAAAATGCACCAATGTCTGGGCTAAATTTTGTCAAATCGAACAGCAACATCGATGCAATGCTCGCCAACAATAACTCTTCACCATCTCATCACAAAGATGATTCTGCAAAGAAAACAATGACAAACAAAGATCCATTTAAAAATTCTCCGATAAATCTTTCGATGGATATTCCGATGGATGAAAAACCAGAAAAGTATAATAACAATAATAATAATAATTCAACAACCTCGCTGACTCCTCCTCATCCAATTTCTTCTCAACATTATTATAGGAAATTATTTTCGGCAGGAAATGATAAGACTTCATCATCACTAGAAAATGATTCATCTCAAAACAGTCATCAAAGCTCTCATCATTCAATTTTGTCGCCATATTCTGTTCAGACAGGTCATCCTCCGTCACCCATGGTGCTAACACCACCTGCATTAATGTATCCCGCAAACAACTATCCTATTGTCATGCTTCCACCACAATACTATAATACTTCACCCTCTAATTCTTCATTTCCGTCAATGATTACTGACGCTTTATTTTCCCTATTCAAATATATCATCACATTTTTGATCTCTATTGGAGTTTTTAAATTTGGAAAAAGATGGTTTAAATCATATTTTAGTTATTTATCCAAAAAGAAGATATTCGAAAATTCTGAACCTCCAATAGTATCATTGCCCGAGAATAATGAAAATAGTGTTTTAGCTGAATCCAAAGAGGAGGACACTGTTCACAATAATCAAGAACACCAACCTATCGCCAGTTCCAAGTGGCAGTCTACTCAACAAAGAGAACCTATCAACGATATTGGAACGATTTTATTCTTGCAAAGAGAATTGAATGATTTAAAATTATACATGAATGAATTGAAAACCAAAATTAGCGACATCCCTTCGAATTCTTCCTTTTCATCGACACTTTTAAAACAAATCGAAATGCAACACGAACAACAAAAATTAGTGCTCTCTCAGAATTTCTCTCAAAACAAACACTCTGATAATTTACTAAATATAATGGAAATGCAAAGAGAAATTAGTAATTTAAGAAGTGATATTTCCCAGCTCAAAGGAATGATGACAATGACACCTACTATTTTATCTTCGAACATTTCTCCGACAAGATTGTATCAAACATCCCAACATTCCGAAAGGGACAGAGACCAACAGAACTCCTCTGTGATGCATAACCCTTCTTCTACTGCTTTCCAACCCAAGTTTTTACAACAAAATTTAACGAGCCACTCAGTGATTAGAAACGAAGCAGAAGTGGAACAAACCAACTATAGAGAAATATCTACTGACAGCAACACCATTGAACGCCCTTCGTCACCGTCACTCAACATCTCATTCAGTAAGTCAAAGGATGAGCCTACAAAATATGTGACTGGTATTAACAAACGTACATCAATTAATCAAGCCATGGAAATCGACACAAATAGGACTGGAATCGACGTCACAAATATCGTTCAAGAAAAACAACCATCTCCAGTAATTTCATCTTCATCAGAAAAGTCCAGCTCTGAAAAAACCAATCAGTTCTATGATAACTCTGAAAAAACAGAAAAACCTGAAACTGAACCCGTTTTGAATAGTACGAACACTAACTTTGATTATTACACAGAATATGGAGAAAAGATTGAACCAATCAGTGAAGAAGAATATAACCAAGTTTATGATGACTATTTAAGTTCTCTTGGTAAGAGATTTGAAAATCAATTCAATTTTCATACCGGGGTTGACGTGGAACAAGAGAACAACTCTGCAAAGACCAACAACCAAGAAGATAAATCTTCTGCCGCTCATGAAGACACTGCAACGTCCACTACAGAAGAACATCAAATTGCGGAGAATACTAATGTTCAGCAACCTCAAGCGAATAAGCACATTTCTGAAAATGAGCAAGCAATTTATGACGATGGCACTACTCCTTCAGCTGAACGAAAAACAGTTTCTGATTTTGATACAACCTCTCCAGTGGATGCCGACGTTTTCAATATCCTAAAAACACCAAGTCTTTCATTTGACGAGTTGTTTGTTAAGGCTGCTCCCAAAACAGAGAGTACTGTGAACTATGGAAATAATGAATTCAACAGCATCCATATGTACGAGGCAGATAATATTATTTCATCCAATAATAACTCTGTCAATCAAACCACATTAATGACTCCTTCCTTGAAAGAGGCAACTAAGGAACTTCGAAAAACTCAATTAACTGCTAAGCAAAAGAAATCTAAAATATTTGGAATGTTGTTAGGTCCAGAAAAGAAGAAGAAAAAGAAGAAAGATACTGCTCCAAAAGAGGAAAAGCAATCAGAACAAGAACAGTTGCAAACGTCTCAAGAAATTGCATCATCTTCAACCGAAGTCGCAGCACAAACCACGCCATCATCTACAGGCGAAACAAATAACATTGAATTTGTCACACTCAAAGAACAGAAAGAAAATATTTCTTCCAAAGACACATCCAACAATCTCGAAGTATTTACGAGATTTGAAAACTATCCATTTGATTCAGATGAAAGATTTCAAAGAATGCTTTCATTAACTGCAGATGACGATGAATGTCCTGTCGACAAAAGCAATCCAAACTTTTTAACAATTCAAAAAGGAATTTATTTTAAACAATTATTGGGAAATGATGAATTTGGTGTGGAGGCCTATTTCAAGCATAAAGGAATTGATATTGGCAGTTCAGCTGTTCAGAACGAATAATTATAACCATGACACTGAAGCTTGGAATTCTATCACTCACCAATCATGTGCTTTTTTATTCAACTAACATGAAAAATAGATTACAACAATTCCCCATTATTGGAACCATCTCGAACTCAAAGTAGATCAATGTCAAAGATGTTACTGCTACTACAGAATGGAACAGAGGCTTATCGTGGAGTGGAAAAATCAGAGATTGGACGACAAGTTCCAACTTCCACAATTTCAAATCAGAAATTAAAAATGTCCTCATCGTGGCCACTGCCATCATCATCATTATCAATAGATAATAATTCCTCTCTCTACTGTACGTTTCGAACATGAAAATATTCATGGGGTGGATTTGCATTTCTTCAAAGTTATGGGGAGCAATCAATGGTATCAATCTGGAATTCCAGGTTTGGAATCTAAATATGAATCGTTCATGAATATTCAACCTGTTCCAACACCTTGGAAGGGTTCCGAAGATATTATTAAAGTTTCTTGTGGAGCAGAGTTTACTCTTGTATTATTGAAGAATGGGAAAGTGTTTGGAGCTGGTATGTAGTTCCAGATTTGGAGATGATCAATTAATTTTCTTTTCATTCATTTGAACAGGTTATAACGGATATGGCCAGGTAAGTAATGTTTAGAGCTAATTGTCATCATTTCAACGTTTATGAAGTGCGGAACTAGGAGCAATCAATCATTCCAAGAATTCCGATACTTGAGTGGATTGCAGAAATTTGAACCCATTCGAAACATTGCAACAGGAGCAGAGCACACTGTAGCAATATCTGCAAAATTTGAAGTGATTGCTTCAGTAAGTGTAATCTGCATGTAGAATTCTACTCAAATTGCATAATACAATATGAAATCAAAACTACACAGGGTTATAATACCCATAATGAGCTTGGAGAAAATGAAGGAATCAACTCGTTTGAATTTAAACCGATGAATGCATTATTGGAACTTGTGAGGCAGCATGAAGAAAATTTTGAAATTACGAACGTTTATTGTGGAAGTTGGACGACGAGTGTCTTGACAAAAGCTGGAAATGTATACACATGTGGAGAAGCTAGTTCAGCCACCACTGAATGTCGTAAAATGAATATTTCATGTGTGAAAGAGCTCTTCTCGGGCGAACGAATAATATTCTGTAGAGACATTTTTAATGATTTTTACGTATTGACAGATGATCAAGCACCTTTGAAAATTATGTTTGATAAGACGTCCATTGTTCTGAACCGATTATTTTGTAATGTAGATGAGGAAGGTTTCATTGGATATGAAATTTTTGACAAATCATCAGGCAAATGGTATGTCGACATGAAACAGGGAATTCTATCAGACATCGATGAGCGTACCTTGCAAGTAGAAAAACGAGAACAGAGTTTTCTACTCACGCCCGATTTGGAGATCACTAATGGTGAGCCAATGCCGTTGATCAAAGATGTAGTTTACTGTTTTCAAACAATTATTATTTTGTTTAAAGATAACACAATACGGGCGTTTGAAACAGACAGAGGAAAAGAGAAATTGGATGTTACAGAATGGAACAAAAAACACAAAAATAGTGATGTGAATTTCAGATTGAGTGCTTCACATCAACACATGATGATTTATGTTCAAGCCAGTCATCCTACGAAAAACCTCACTCAATTTTTTACTGCACTCAAGCTAAGCATTAATATGAAAACTATTTTGCATGATACTTCATTTAGTTTTTCAAATTAGATTCTGAATGATTATGCTGAAATCTTTTTGCGCTATAGCTAGACATTACATGTTAATGTTGTAATAAGGAATCATTGTTATTTACACTTTTTCAAAATCCAAGTTGTAATCACTGATGTCTCTTTCATATGCTGCAAAATATTTTCTAGCTCTCCTCCCTGATGATAGTCCTCCGCTTGCAAGATTTTCATGAAAAGTTCAGTCATCACACACAGAACCTGATATGCCTTTGAGTTATCTATCATAATTCTATCGTTTACAATTTGCATAAAACCCAGCTTTTCATAAAGCCCATAGCAGTAATTTGCAGAGATGACATAAGGTTCATATGCTGCCTTATCATGCATGACCAGATTGCTCAAATCTTCGGCCACAAATGCAATTAATGCGCTCTCCATTTCTTGTTGGGAAATGTCTCCATGATCATAGAGAAGTTTGATAACAAATGTTGCCGTTAGTTGTGCTCTTGGCTCTTCAAGTATTGTTTTTGTGCTTGTTGAAATGCAAGTGCGAACACAATCCAAATTGTACACAGCATGTCCAAGTTCATGAGCAGCAATGAAGAATTTGATAGAGTGTGCAGGAAATACGTATTTGGCAACCTCTTCATGTTTGAGAAATAATTTGGTAAGGAGAGCTTTGGTTTGTATGTTATACGTTTCTGTTGAAGTCGGGTCAAAGAATATTTTGCAACCTTTTGCTTGTGACACTTGGGTTCTGTTGGGGATTGACTGTCCAGAAAATCTAAAATTTAAACTTCCTCCACATATAAATGGAAAATAATAAATTCCACACATTGATTGTTCTACAGCATGGACCCCTTTTCGGGAAATTTCAGTATCACGTGACTTGTAATATTCTAAAAGTCTATGTTGTACTTTTTGGCGAATGAAATTATTGACTTCAACATATTCTTCATCTAAAAATCTGCAACTAAAGTCTGGAATTACTTTACATCTCAGCACGTCACAATAACCATACTCAATATCGTGGACATATTGAATAGAATGTCTAATATCCATCCACAGCTCATCCAGCTCTCTATATGCGTCCTCCAATTTTGTCTTGTCTTTCTCCAACAAATTATCTCTATATTTAGTGATGTATTTAATATATTCGTCCAAGTAACTAAATGAACTTTCAGCATTTTTTAAATCTTGTAAATCTTTGATCAATTCAGAAAATTCCATGACAATGGGTGACAATTCTTCTCTAAAGTATTTTGCATAAGGTACATCATAGAGCTCATTTGTTTCCTCATTCCATGCAATAATTGTATAACTATTTTTCAAAGCAGAATCGATCTGCTCTTCCCCTCTTTTTTCAATTTCTTTCGCAGCTCTGCTAAGCCGCACCGCTTTTGTAAACTCGACATAGAAAGAATGATATAAAGCTGAAATATTGCACGCTCTTAAAATCAGTACTCTCTCCATTTCATTAAATCCAAGGTGATGATCGTCATTGTTAGAATTTCTCAAAAGAGTCGAAATAAAGTGTCGAATGAGATTCTGCCTTTCATTTGCCAAATTTAAAATCAAATAAAATTCATTGGAGAACTCTTCAATGCCTTCAAAATTTTGATGTAATACTGCTTGCTTCAATATTTCTTTCCATTCTTCTTGGGATCTATTTGTATCATTTTCACTTATTTTCTGTTTGATCAATAATTGATTCAAAATTTCCAACAATCGTTCTCGGAAATGTTTCGTATCTTCATCCACAAATTTCAGATCATCCTTCCGAGCATATCCATCCAAATCATCCAAATCAAAAATTACATTCTCAAAATACCAATCAGTCACCTTAACAATTTCTTTCAATAGAGCTATTCTTGAAAATTCATGAGAGGAGAAGGAGTCTTTTAATTTTTGAAAGAGCGGACCATCATGCTTCATATTTTTTTCATCCGTTCCGAATAAGAATCTTTAAGTTGGAGGATCATCAACCATCGTTCCGAATAAGAATCTTTCTCTAGTATTCCAATTTCATTTGACATGCTTTCACCAACTGAGTGCTTTATACTTCTCTCTATAGAGAGGATCTAATCCTGTCCCTATCAAAAAAGTGCACACTCTTGTCCTCTCTCACCACAATCATCGTGTCTCTCTCAAAATATATATAGAGGCGAATTTTGTGCGTGCGGTTAAAGAGCGGCTTGTGGAAAGAGAGTGAGTGCGCACTCACTCTTGGAGCATCCCTTCTCCTCATCATAAAAAAACAACACAATCAGCAACTGAACCACACTCTCTCTCTTTCTAAAGACTGGGTGTGCATTTCATTATTCCAAGAAAGAACTTGATCTCGCTCTCAAGTATCCACCTCTTTAATTCCATCCCTTCCTATTACGATTTTATTCAAGAGATCGATTCTCACAGACTCCAACAGACTCGGTGATTTTCCTTTTGAAAAATGATGATCGAAACAAGCACAACGACAGTACCTTCCTCCTCCAACGCAAGTACATCCACAGCATCACCAACCACTGCATCAACATCTTGCTGTTCCGCTGCAGCTGCAGCAATCATTCTCAAAACAAGTAATAGAAGTCAACATGAAGCGCTTTTGGGAACCTCTCCCGAGCAATATGAAACATTCCTTGATGAAACTTTATTGTCTGCTTCTGCATCCTCGTCGACTCGTCAACAAATCAACTCTGTGGCAACTGACAATTCTGGTAAAAATTTACTTGTGGAACAATTTCAACACTATCAAGCAAGTGATGATGAATATTCATTGAGTGTGCAATTATTCCTAGATTCACCAGTGGTGGTTCATGGTAGTCATTCATCATGCTCTGCAAATGACCTTGTAGTATTATCGGCAGTCCTGAACACACTTCAAGAATTGAAGAGAGCTCACGTCGACATGTTACTCATCAAAGCTTCTTCACCACAACAAGTATTGAATTATTGGTCCGATGTCGAATTGTTAGTGGAGAATGGACTTGTAAAACAAGTTGGTGTGTGTGATTTTAGTGTGGATGAATTGCAATCGTTTATGTCATCCAGTCAAATCAAAATTCAACCACAAATCGTGCAAGTGAATTTAGCATCGTATGAATCATTAGAGTCATTGAATGACATGACACAATTCTGTTCCTCGAGAGATATCAAAGTCTTGACGGGATCGAGAGGAAGTTTGAATGATTTTAGAAAAGCAGGTTCCCGAGTATTGGGCTCTTCACAAGTTTCACTTGACTATGTAGTAAGATATTCACTTGTATCAAAGCCAACATCTGTGGTGAAAGATATGGGATTTATTGTCAAGGTCGATGGAAATGAGAAATGTCAATGCATTTCAGGACAATGTTTGTAAATAAAAAGCTAACACATGTCATCAAAATTTAACTCAATCTTGAGATATTCCCTTTGATACTGCATCAATATGGAAGTAATGGAAGGACGTTTGTTGAATTTCCTTGACTGTAATTTCTGGTTGAGGAGGAAAATCCTTTCCCCTGATGCAAATTTTAAATGTAATTTCAATATTCCTACAACGAGATCCTTTCAAAACAATAATGGAAATCTTTTGGCGATTGGTAGAATGGTTGTTCAGGTGAAGGCATTCAGGAAGGTGAGATTATGCATGGTTCGGAGAACAAAAGTTTATCTAAGGATTTTCCAAGCCCTCTTTGATACAACAGACATAAAATGCAAACTTCAGAATTAAACAAAATTCTTTTTTCAAAATTAAGAGACAAATGGAACCATCATTTACACGAGGTCGTGAAGGATGGCATCTTTAGATGATCATTAATGTTTTTCAAAGAACAAAAGAACATCATGATTTTGTAAAGACAAAAATAGCTCCATTAAAGCAAAGTTCCTCTCAGAAATTGAAAGAAAAAATACTCCACACAGCAACCTCTACATCATGAGCGTAGGTATTTTTTTTAAAGTTGTTCCATGAGTCTATCAGCAAGATCATCCTGATGGTTGTTATGGGGTTCTTTTAAATTGAACCCAATCCCAATCATCATCGTCATCATGAATACTTTATTTATTCAATCTCGGTACTCTCGGTGAATTTCAAATGGCGATCATCTTGTGCAACTTTTTTAAAATTTTAATCCAATGATGATGTCCCACTATGAAAACCAAAACTACGACAATTCTGCTTGATCGTAAATACCAATAATACCAACTTGATGATTTATCTCCCATCTCTATATATCCTGATGATAATTTGTTCAAAATTATTTGATTATTATACTTGTGTGTTGCGATTATGGGTTCAACCACACGTACCAATTATAATGTACGTATTACTTTTTACAATCCGATATGTATTTGTAACTTATTGTTCTGCGATTTGGCTTGATTTGTATATTTCATGAATATATATGTTTTGCCATTAATCTTATGCAAAATTTAAACAGACATTCTCACTTGATCCACAACCACAACAAAATTGACACCAACAGACCAAACTCACCTCCACTCAAAAGAGTGTCGTTCAACAATTCCGTAACATCACTTCAACCTCAGAGAAGGTCGCCACTGAGTATCTCAAAAAGTCAAACTGGGAATTGGACAGAGCTGTAGATGACTATTACAACAGCACTGGTGGAAGCTTAAGCAGCTCAGCAAGCACATCCAAGGAGATGGAAGCTTCCTTTGAGAAATACAAACAACTCAGTAATAACACCAATGAAGAGACCATTAACAATATTACCTTGGATGGTATTTTGGCTCTTGCTAAAGATTTGGATACCGATCCAGAATCTGATCCACTCCTTTTCGTTCTCTTTTATAAACTCGGTTGTAAAACAGCCTATAATATCACACCAGACGAATGGAAACAAGGAATGAGCGAATTGAAGGTCACTAAGTTTGACCAATTGAAGAAGAAGATTCAACAAGTGAAACAAGATATTTACAATGATTCTAATCAATTCAAAGATTTTTATGAATATGTTTTCGATTATTCTTTGGAAGAGGGAGCTAAGACTGTTCCACCAGACGTTGCCATTGGTCAATGGAAACTTGTGTTAAAGGGAAAGTACAAGTTTTTGGATATTTGGTGTGAATATATTGAAAAGGTTTACAAGAAAGCCATTACTGCTGACACTTGGAAACTCTTTTTAGATTTTACAAAGAACTATCCAAATGGTGACTACAAAGACTATGACTCTGATGCTGGAGCATGGCCAGTGGCAATTGACGATTTTTGTGTGTATCATCAAGAAAAGATGAAAAAGTAAAGGGTGTGGATGTCCTTAATTGTTTTCGAGATGCATATGAACTTTAAAATTCGTAAACGGCAGTTTGATAAAGTATTTTTTCAAACAACAAATCATGTACTTTATCAAGTAATTCATGTAGCGTCGCTGAGGATTGGACCAATGGATTGTTAGTGAATAATTGATACGAGGAGAAATAATGGAATATAAATAGGTACTTCGAATGAGGGAATAAATGGTAATTGTTACACTCCAAAAATATTGATCTATTCCAAGACAACACAGGACGTTTTCAATATCATGTATAAAACAGGTTTATTCTTTTAGTGCTTGTTTCAATAACTAACTCGTGGATTTGGTTACTTTCATGCACGATCTTATTATTTGGTTGCTTTCATGCAATACGGTAAGTGCAGACTCTCAGGATTCCACATTTTAAATAATATTATTATTAATATTTAATTATATAATATAAATATAATAAATAAATTATTATATTTAATTATGATGAAATTCACAGTGAAAAACACAAGTTTAAATACGCTTTGATGAATTTGATAAAGCAATAAAAACAGAAATCATTCATTTCACCAAGCACTTCAACTTCAAAAAATGTGTAAGGACCACCACAAACGAACTAAGCATATGTAACGCGGTATTCATATATTAAGACGTCCATATATAGTTAGGCCCAAAATGGAAGGTAAAAGTCGCTTGCGATCCCCGTCAAAGGCAGAAAGTGACAGAATCAAACATTGATCATCGTCCCAAATGAACCGAGGGGTGTGAGTGATCACGTTCCGTGTTGTTTTCAAGCATTTTTTGTGTTGTCGTAGTGTTGATAGGTTCACTTCGATTTGAACATCACTCATTGGGGGTTGGAGCATGAGAATAAGCAGTAAATGAAAATTCATCAAAAAATTAAAAACAAATTATTATCACTTTCTAGCTCATCATGACTAATTGTTGTTATTGATTGCATTATTGACATCAACTTCATCAACAAGCGATTTTACCCTACCCACGATTCTCTCCAGTTGCTTTACTCTTTGTTGAGTGGTTGCAAGAGCTGCTTGGGTGGTTTCAAGAGCTGCTTGGGTGGTTTCAAGAGCTGCTTGGGTGGTTGCAAGAGCTGCTTGAGTGGTTCCGAGGGTTGATTGTGTAGTTTCAAGAGCTGCTTGAGTGGCTTCTATTCTTGAGGTTGTGGATGACAGTCTGTTCTCCATCACGTGCAAACGACGAAGAAATTCGTCATACATTTTTAATCTGCGACAGAGCTGAGCAGAAAAGCCTTCTCGTTTTTTGCATAGACGAATGGTTGGACGAACGGCACCACTCTGATTCAAAGCATGATGATAGAGATCTGTAATGACCTGAAAGGTATCTTCTTCTAAACGATCATGTCTCTGAGGGAACAGCAAGTAACTGGACTCAACCGTTTCAATCATTTCCTGTGTTTCAAACGTTTCCTTATACACTCCTACAACTCTTTCCAATTCTTCTTGAAAATTTCCATCATCATTACCAGTTGCAGCTTGAACGCAAAAACCATGCTCTAACAAGGTATCCAGAAAAGCCTCTACATTTTCAGAAGGATCAACAAGAATACGTTGCGGGTGCTGTTGTCTGAAAAGCTTTGCTAAGAAATTGAGGGACTCTTGTGAGCACGCACAAAGAGCTTCTCGGGAACACTGTTGCAACAAGTGATGCAAAACACCTTCCTTGTCGAATGGATCTTCAGTGATTGATTTTTGCATGAAGAGTGGTAAGGTTTTTTTTTGTAATGGAGTTAGTTTGTAAACCAGTCGGTTTACAACGTTAAGGCTTTGAAAGTTCTGCTTATTTCAATGTTTTATAACGAGCTCTTTTACGAGTATTTATATCCATGCACGTACGGGCGGTCAGAGAACAATTTTTGCTCCATTTAATAAGAACGATCATCTTCGTGGACTCGAAGTTTCAATATTTCTCGGAAACTTTCAGACTCTCGTTCAGACTGTGATCTTGTTAATTGGAGCAAATGTCGAGAACGAAAGGAGTTTTCAAAAAAAATTATGTTCATGGATTATTTCTCGCCCGACAATGACGCCCACTAAAAAGAGAAAGCTCCATCCGTTGAACTGGTGTTGTTGAGGCAACAAATTCATCATCATCAACAATGATCAATGATAGTGGGGAAAAAGATGATCTTTACTTTCCGACACATTTAAATGAGATGCATGAATTCATTGATGATATTATTTTTGAAATTCTTCAATTTCTTGAATCATTGTTTGTCATTCAAGTTTGTATGAAAATTTCAACACAGTGGAGACAAGTGTCATTTCAAATTCCTTTAAAATTATCATTCAAATGAAATCACTTCCAACAACTTCCTGAATCAATCACACTTTTAGCTAATTGAGAACTGTTGAAGAATTTGACATCTTTGAATTTGGTCTTCAATGAAGGTGTCAAATATATTGCTAATAGTGAATACTTGAAGAATTTGACCTCTTTGGATCTGTATGACAATAGAATTGGCAATGAAGGTGTCAAATATAACTACGAGTGAATGGTTGAAAAACTTGACTTCTTTGGATCTGTAAATGATAAGTGATTTGGGTAAAACTTAAGCATTAAGGTTTGTAAACTTTGGAGCAAGTGTGAGGTTGAAAAAAATGAAAAAAATCGCTTACAAGGATGTATTTTAACCATAATCGTCGGACCCTGCTGATGAGATGAACTTTTCAACTAAACATTTCGAACTCTCATAGAGCTGCACCTCCTCTGTGTTTCCATGGTGTTATTTTCAGTTGTCTCCAATTAATTATTATCATCATCATGAATAACCACACGACCAGCACGACTTGTCATCCGCTTCTCTATACTCTCGAAAATTTGACTTTGGATGATTACCGAGACAATATATACTCTTCAACGAGCTCCCCGAGAGGTATTTATCCCGATCCTCTCTTCAATACCTTGTTTGCTGCAATTTTAATATTCCTCTTGTTCATCATTACAGCATCCATCCAGATCCCCATCATCCGATTGTGTTTTTGGCACCAATTTTTAGATGTTGGAGAGTGTTTATCATGTATCGATTGAATTGGAGAGGCACATGATTTATAGAGCAAGTAGTAGCAATGTTCATGTGGTCAGAATGTAGTGGTAAATGATTAGGACCATTTAACAGACAAGAAGGAATTTCCACAAAAGAATGGAATGAACACGGAAAGTCATATGACTTATATGTTTCATCCTCCGTTCTATCTAATGGTGGGTGTGTTGATGTTCCATCAACAGATTTAGCATTGCCACCATCCAATAACAACACAGGAATTTGTTCACTTTTGTTTGTGGCAAATATTTGGAGGTGTGGACGATGGAATTGTTAAGGCTAGCAATGGAAACAGAGTTTTCACAATAGAAGTGAGTTTTTTGACTTCACACAAGGATGCACTTCAAGTGAAAGTATGGTCTATGTCGTTGGTATCATCTCGGCTCTATATATTTTGACAGAGATTGCTACTTTAATTTTGTGCTTCTTGGCACAGCGAGATTCGTATCGTATTAAGGTCGAAGCGATCATTATTATTGGATGTCAAGTAATTGGACTCACTCCCTATGTCATTGGAGGAGCAGTTCCAATTTACAAATCATTGGCAGATTATTTCTTTACGTATGCCTTCTTTCCAGTATTGTATAATATGGTAGATGTGTTTACCTTGTTGTTATGCGTTGTATGAGGAAATTTATGTGGTTCGAAAACGAAACGTCAACAACAAAGGCTCTGAGAATAATCATAGTGTTCTTGAACAATTCTTGAATAAGAAGAAATATTTCGAAATGTTGTTGGAATTTGCAAAACGAAGTTATTGCCCAGAGAGTGTTCTTGCGTATCGTGACATTGAACAGTTTAAAAAAACTGGAAAACGCAACAGAAATAAGCGAATATGGAACCTTGGGATGTAAGATTTAGTCCACGTTCTAATTGTGTGATTGTGAGCGATACTGGCTTTCAGTCCATTCTTTCACTTGTTCTGTAACGTTAGACGATAAATTCAACTGCTCAGGTGAATTTGGAAAGCAATACGTCTTGAGTATATATTGTCCAATTTCTGAATTTGTTTTAGGAGCTTCAACACATCCAAAATTCATTAAAATTCCCTTCCTTTTCCAGCATTTGGATTCCATCATTTTGTTTTTAAATTTTGAAAAGTAATCACTTGCTGATGAGGAATAGGTTATTATTGATACAAGAGACGTTAATAAACTTTCACGATTGACACAACAAGTTCTCCCCACCAATACGTACGAAAAAAGGCTACAGCACTGCAGGTTCCCAAGTTGTCTCCAACCTCAGTACTAATGCAGCTCGACGATGCTTAACTTCTCAAATCGGACGGGATGAGGTGCATTCATCGTGATATGGCCGTAGCCAACCATCCTTAAAATCTGAAACCTATAAATCAATACAGGTGTATTACCGTCTTATTATGTTGTCCTTTGTTAAACTTTACACTACGGTGTATAAAGCAATACAATCTGCCCCTGCAAAGTGACTTTGTGATACAAAAATTTTTGCCTTTGAACACAAAAGCGGAATTCCTTGAACGAAAACTTTCGAAGCCAACACAAAAAACACGTTGCAAAAAAAACTTGATCGCATCCTGCACACACGCTCAGTGCACACTCTACTGAACAATCAGATGTTAAAGAGCGTTTCCCTAATTTAGCAACACTTACTCGAGAGATGACAAAGTGGCAACAAGCACTGACAGAAAACGATCTGTATTATATCAAGTGCATTCGAGTGACTGCACCACTCCCATTCATGAAGCAATTGAATTTCGAAGTGATTGATGTTCCTGGTTTGAAGAGTGGCTCCTTTAGCAAAATCTTTGAAAGAATGGCCATGGAAGCTGGAAGATGGGCAGATCGAATCCTAATCTTTCCAAATAGTTTCAGATCAGAGTTTCCTACTGATTACTTTGAATTGATGGGGAAAATCTTCAACGATCATCACATTCAAAGAAATCCAAAGACTTTTTGTTATTGCTTTGGTGGAAGAACCATTAGTCCAGAGAATGCATCGAAAGAATTCTTGGATTGTCAAAGTGAGAAAACGACCATCTCGATCACAACAACATTCAAGACGTATCTTTCAGATTTCTTTGATTACAAGTTCGATGACATTCCAAGAGGACCCAATGAGAGATCAGCCAATACTCAAATTCAATTTGTTGAATCCAAGAAGAAAGTTTTAGTATTTTTAAACTCTCAATTCATGTCCTTTCCAATTCCTAACACGAATTCACCAAATTTCAAACAAGAATTTGAATATACCAGAAACAGCTTTTCATTGATGGTAAAGAAAGATCAATTAATTTACATGAATAGATTAGCTCAGCAGATTAGAGAATTGGCATTGATATGCATTCCAATCATGATTGCGAAATCCAAGTACCAGACGGCCAAGAGTCGAAAAGATGAAACAGAACAACTGATGAAACAATGTCACAAATCTGTGAAAGCAATTGTCAAAGGACTCAAACAAACATTGAAAAAGAAGAATCCAAAGAAAGCAATTGGAGAGCTGTTGAAAGAACATTCTCTCGTCTCATGTGTTCAATTATCTAACAATTCTTCTCACACCAAATTGATCATTAGTCACTTGTCAGTCATTGAAGAATATATCAAAGCCATTGCCAAAAAACATTTGATCACTGAATCGACACGAGATGTTGAAGAAGATGTTAAAAACTTTTCAGAGGCAGTGCTTCCATTTTTTGATTTGAACCATGAAAATCATATTGTGCTGGCCACTGAGATGAAAGGAGTTTTAAATGATTTGTTTTGCTCCTTCATTAAGACCAGAGAAGTGGAATATGAAGGAAATTTCAATATTCATTTCTGTCCTTTGAAAAAAGATGAACTCAACTCGAGTGTACTCAAGTTGCTTCTCAGGACCACTATTCAGATTTCTGCCAAAATTGTTGCCAATTCAGATAGTGCTGTCAAAAAGAACATGTACCGAAGAGACAAGACCACTGCGACCATTCACATTCTCAACCATGATGATTTACCTGTTCAGAAATCGTGCATAATGAACCTTTCGATTAAGAAGAATTTACAAGTAATTCTTTCCAATGTTCAAGAGAATGATTTTGAATCTTTCAAAAATTTTGTTCCTTCCAGTGTCTTGTTGAATCACCATGTCAAGACAAGAATAGCTCCTGTGTTTTTCTTAGCTAGTCCCGATGTGTCTCATCTTGCTTTTCAAGATATTTGGGAAATGTACACCACTGAATCCTTAATCATTATTGTCACACCAGAGGAGAATGTGGACATGTTCAGAGATTTGGCCACTGATTCGAACAAGATGAATCACCAAGTACGGATTTTAAGTGTTCATGTGGAGAATGGTTTATACTCTGAAGGTACACTCATGAATAGTGTATTCTTCTTTTCAAGATTCTTCTAATTTCCAGTGATTCATTTGGTAAAGCTCAATATCAAATGTCTCTTTGAATATATAAGTCCCTTGAAAGAATATGTTTCAAGTGAATTTACTCTTATACGATATTTGAGAAGTGCAGAGTCCATTCTGTATAATGAAATGAGTTTAGATCAACAGATGAATGTGATTGAACAGTTCTTAAATGAAAGTAGACAAGCAATCTATAACCATCAATTGAATAGTCTTAAAACTCTTCAACACTTTCTTACGAGAGAGAATGTCGACACCTGTATGGAAAATGTGGCACGTTTTGTGGAATCTCTAAGAATGATCGATTCTGAAATGAACAAGAAGAATCCTTCTGAAAAATCATCATGTTTTGAAAGTAGATTCAAAACTTCATTCTTTTCTAAAAACAAGGGAAGAGTGGGTTGTTGGGATGGTAAAACCAGAGTCATTGATAAGAACAAGATTTATTCACGAGATGGTTACAATTATTTCATTTCTAATTATGCGACAGGAATTGGGACGTATTTGATGCAATCGATTGATTTGATGATGCCAGTGGCAGATGATAAATTTACAAAGGATCTTCCAGAGCATTATGAAACCATTGAGTATGGTTTTAGTGATCGAAAGATGATTAATTTTAGAACCAACCTGTTGGCTCATGGAGTGGGAGGATTCTTGCATTTTGGATTTAAATATCAAGTGGAATCTTCCAAAGATCAGAAAAGAAAAAGCTCATCGTCATCATCTTCTTCTTCGAAAAAGAATAGAAAATAAAGAAGGTTTGAATGCCTGACTCGACAATATTGTTGTGAAACGATTCCCATATAAACAGCGTTGCAAAAAATTCAGGAATGCAAGCTTGGGAATCAACGGATTAGTGTTGTAAAAAATGGTTTGGAGACAAAAGGTCATTTCCATCACAGCTCCCAAGAGAGGTTTTCATTTGGTGACGGAAAAGGTACTCTCGTCCATTCAATCGGAATTGTCGAATATTAAAATCGGTCTTTGTCATCTCTTCATTCAACACACTTCAGCATCATTGACTGTGAATGAAAATTATGATCCATCGGTTCGTCATGATCTTGAAGAATCTTTTAATCGATTGGTAAGCGTTTAACATGATGAAATTTACATGATTGGAATGAATCGACTTTTTTGCACTGTACATCATAAATATTTAAATTAATATATTATATTTTTTAATTTATATAAAAAATTTAAATATATTAAATAATATATATATAAATAATTTAATATATTTACAAATTGCAATATAATCGAAAATATATTTAAATTATTAAAAAAAGGCTCCAGAAAATCAACCCTATTATCAACACACATTCGAGGGAAGTGATGATATGCCTGCTCATTTGAAAACTGTACTCATTGGTCCTTCTATTACAATTCCAATTACGAATGGAAAATTAGCACTCGGAACATGGCAAGGAATTTATTTGTGTGAACACAGGAATGACCCTTCAGCAAGAAACATTGTGATTACGATTCAGGGTGAATAATTGAGTGTACAAATATCAAAAGACTTTTCTGAAAACATTGTGTCATTTCACACCCTGTCGTATTACCAATAATAATAATATAATATTCATTGTGACACACAGTAAGACTCTTTGAATTAATTCAAATTAAGAATTGTTTTGCATAATACTTGTTAATGAATTCTTTTGGATTATCCCCAAGAACCGAGTGACCAGCATTTTCAATTTCAACCAATGTACACGAATGCAATGAAGAATTTGAGAGAATTTGATGTAATTTTTCTAATTGTTCTCTTGTTGTGACCTGACTTTGAGCTCCCTTCACAATGCAAATATTTAATGGAATGGTTGTTTGTTGAGTGTATATTTTCAAACGATTCCAAAGATCTTGTCTCATATTTAACTGTGGATTTTCTTCTGCAATTCTCTCAATGTTAAAAGTAGGATCATATTTCCATGTCCACTTTTTGGTTGTCTCATTTTGTTTCAACGAATATTGCAATCTCTTTCTGAGATTTTCAACACTTCTTCGAGGGTTATATTTTTGTGCCCAATTTAGAAATTCTTCAAACGTATCAAATTCTTGTGTGGCTTGTACTTGTTGAGTCACATGAGAAGTTCCTGTTGCATCGTCGTCAACAACAGTTTTCACAGGAATTTGATCTGGTGAAATATCAATCACAGTCATATTGTAAAGTTTTTTAGAGAATTTCACATAAAACTCGAGTTCACTCGATGAAGCATTCTGTGGAGGCATTGTTAAAAAAGTATTCATCAAAACGAGTCCTCCCAAACTCATTCCAATAAACGATAATTTGATTTTTGATGTTTCATCCTCTGAAAGATTCATTTGTTCAAAATATTTGGAAATGAATTGTTTCAAATCACTCACAAATGCTCTCATCTTGTATTGATTTGGAGTATGTTGAGTGTCTCCATGACCTCTCAAATCCATTGCAATAAATCGTACATGTTGAGTTTCGTCTTCTAGGAATTTCTGTTTACATTCTTCCACAAAGTCATCAAAGGTGTGACACGTTTGAAAAGATCCATGTAACATGAATATATAATGATAGGGAGGAGGATGAGGATGCTGAACCATCTTTAAATCTTCCTTCCGAGGATTAAATTCAATGTAATGAACTTGAAGAGATTGAGAAGAATCCACTGAATTTTGAATCGTCATGAAGTGATCCATCCATGACAACGTGGTCGTTTCATCGGCACGGTGATCCGATGAGATCTCACTCAACGTTTGTTCATGAAGCTGTGTGGACATTTTTTTTTCTAAATGAAAGCTCGTAGTTCACAACAAAAAAGGAAAATTTGGTTTTTTTCTCCGGTTGTGAAAGAATCGATTCAATCTCAAGGAACAACGATTGGTTCCAACCAAACAACCTCAGTCTGCGTACGTGGATATGAATTTGTTAAAGCAATGAATTTCACATTCAACTCCTCAACAAAGACTCGATGAGGGAGGTGAGTATCAGATGAATGAACATCAATATGAATGGCAGCAGTATCCAACCGTTGTTGCTACCATTCCATACATTCATGGAAATGCCATGGTTTTTCAATCCTTGTGGAGGGAGAGGTGGTGGTGATGGTGGAGGTGGTGGTCGTTCGAGTGGAAGTGAGGCACCATAAGGTTCAAGTGGTGACGAAGGAATTTGTTGTTCCTGAACTTGAATACCTGTCATGTGGCGTTGAATCCATTCTCGATAATGCAACAGATTGGTAAAGACACTTCTCTTGGTTCGATTTCCACAACTGTGAGCGAGTCCAAAACTTGTCACTCCAATGAGATAAGGTTTTCTCTTCTCACCACCAACACTATCTGATTGTGAATGATAGATAATTAAGGGACCACCAGAATCTCCCTTGCTGTGGATGAAAAATTCATTAAGGTCATGTGAATAGTAAACAGTAGAATTAAAATCATTAAGAAATAGAATGAACTTTGGGTGATGGATATAATAATAATGAACACTAACCATGAGGAAATTCCATTTCCATCTCCCACACAAAATTGAGCATCTGGTTCCTTGATGGGGAGACCATTTCGATTACAATAATCACTGGAAGTCACATTTACTCGAGCTTTTCGAAGTTGATAATTTCGATGAATGGATCCATCGATTCGACCATATCCAACAATTTCTAACACATGAGCATTCCAATGTGAATAATTAGTGGAAGAAGTTTGCAAGTCGATCCAATCCAAATCCAAATCAATCGAATTCACTGAATGGTTGGTTTGAATCGACAACTCGGAGAAATCTAATGGTTCTTTAAGAAACAAGAGAGCTAGGTCATTGGTCATTTTGGTGACTGAGAATGAAGGATGCACTTGCATTCGCTCAATTTCCACCTTCAAACATGATGTCTGAGAGACAACACTCTTGACATGTGAAGGTCGTGATTTTTCTTCTTCTTCTGAAGAAGAAAAAGATGGAACTGGATTCATGAATGGAGAGAGTGAAGAGGATGAAAGGGATTCAGAATGAACAACTGATTTTGATTTCATCATGGCTTGGTTCGATTCTGGAAAGGTAATTGGTGGTGGGTTGGGAAATTGAGGAGGAGGAATTTGTGGTGGTTGGAACATTGGTGGACCATTTGCAGCAGCAGCAGAAGGTGGTTCTTCCTGAAGTAATGAGGATGATGATGCATCTTCTTGTTGAAAACATTTTCGTAAATCCTGTTGACCCAACACTGCTCGGACTCGTCTCAAATCCAAAGGTGTTTCTAAATCATTGTAAAAACAACAATGAGCTGCAGTGAGAATGACTCGCGAATTGAGCAATGATCCTCCACAGAAATGAAGTCCTTGACTTTGAAGGGATACCATAAAAGGATAGTTTTGAATGGAAGCTAATTCACCTCCCATGATGAGAGAGGCACCATTGACATGATGAAAATTGACATTCCATTGATTCCAAATATATGGATTGAACAAGCACATGAAGATGGAAAGAATGAGGAGACAGATTCGAACGAAATGTGAAACTTTGCATGATGTGGTTCTTCTTGTTGTTTTGGAGATGGTTGGGAGATGTGAATACATTTTTATTGGTTAAATGAAGAAATATTCGCTGTGTATATCATTGAATTATAGATGATTTCCAGGTATGGGATGGCTGTGGTGGGTAGCGAAATAGATATCATCATTTTGAAATAGTAAATGACTATAAATGGTCATTTGATTTTGATTGGAACTGAATTTCTGTTCGAAAATGAGAAATTTCCATCGATATCTGCACAGATGGTGGGGATTTATTATTTTACATTGTTCTTGTAGAATCCATTGAGTTCTTCTTGTATTCGCTCTCGATCCATATCCATTTGTTGGAGCAATACTTGCATGCGTTGGATTTCATGCTTCAAACTCTTTTCGCGTTGCCTTAGACGGGTTTGGGTTTCACTTTCATGAAGTAGAAGCTGTTCTTTTTTCTTCCAAACGTTTCCTTAGAAGATGTATTTCGTGATCCATTTCCATGATCCGTTTCTCTGTTTCCGCATTTTGAGTTCGTTTCACTTGTTCGTTAGAGAGAGCTTTGGCTAATTGTTCCTTTGTGAGTTGAAGTTCTGAGAGTTGCTTCTTGTAGTGTTCATTCTCGGTCTGCAACACTCCAACTTGTCTTCTCATGGTTGTGTTTAAATCTTGCAAGTCAATGGTCACATGTTGAGCAGTAGAGAGTTTTTTTAGCAACATTTCCTTCTCTCGATCAAGCTCTACAAGAGAAACAGTTTTGGCATGAAGTTGGGAAGAGAGTTGATCGATTTGTTGTTGTGCATTTTTCAATTGGATCAGGAATTTTTGATTTTCATCATCTAGTTTTTTGGACCTATTTGACAAATGGACCATTTCATTGTTTTTAAGGTCTAATTTCGTTCTAGCATCACCCAACTCTCGAGATAATTCTTCGAACTTGTCTTTCATCATTAAATGCTCCTTATTGAGAGATTTGTAATTGAATAAAATATCTTCAAGCTCGTGATCTTTTGCTTTCAATCGATGTTCCATATTTACAAATTCTGAGGTCACCTCCTCTAGTTTCAATCGTAATTTGTCTCGTTCCTCGACGACCTTATTTAATTGCTCGTGAAGGTATTGGTTCTCTCCAGTTATTTGCTTGATATCTTCTCCTGCATGGACAATCTCTTTCGATTTAAATTCAAAATCTGTTTTGATCCTGTTATATTCTTTCTGAAGGATTTCTGCTTGTTCCTTCATGTTATTTACAGCTCTTTCCTTCTCTTTGAGTTGTTGTAATTGTTGTTGAACAGTTAGATCTAGTTGATTAGATTTGGCTTTGAATTCTGCAAGCTCGTTAGTGATTTCAGATAATTTCTTTTGGAGCGACGAAATTTGCTCATCCTTTTCGTCGAGTTCCATACTTAGAGAGTCTTTGTTAGCATCCATGTCTTTGATAATGTTTCGAAGCTTTCCAATATGCTCTTCATGTTGCGATATCGTCTTTTCGAGGCTTGAAATTTTTAGTCGTTGCTCTTGCTCCAAAGAAGTGGCCTCATTAGTTCTTGTATTGAGTTTTTGAATCTCTTGTTGCAAAGAGTCGATAGTGTTGCTAAGATTCTTGGCCAATATTTTCAATTTGGAAATGTCTCCTTCCTTTTGTGCAATGGTTTGTTGAGCTTGGGTGAGCTGGTCTTTTAATGATTGGACTGCTTCATCGTGCTGTCTCGTGTGTTTGCTAATATCCACAAAGCTTCTCTTAGTTTCACCTAGATCTTGAAGCAATGTGTTTCGCTCTGACGTGAGTTGATTAATTTGATTTCGCAAATCCTTATTCTCTTTTTCAAGTTTCATGACCTTTTCATTTTCCATCCGAATGTCGTGGGCTGTCTCTAATTGTGACCTCAAAAATTCAATTTGCTCCGTTAAGTTTTCGATTGTATTCATTCCCGATTCGTATTCTCTCTCTGATTTGATGACTTCGACAGACCTTCCACCTCGTTCGTTCACTAGTTTTGTTAATCGGTCTATTTCTCTCATTAATCTATCATTTTCTTGAGTTAGTTGATTTACTTTTGTTTCTTGTATTTGTTGTAAAGCAAGGTTTAGTTTTTCGTTTTCCTTTCGCAACTGCTCGTTCTGTGTCTCGGTAATCTTCATAAGATCCAACATTTGAGCTTTTACTCCATTAGTTTGGAATTGAGGCATCTCCACTTGTCTCAAATATTCTGAGAATTTGCTTTCTATTCTTTCACGTCGATATGCTGAGTCTGTCTCCTTGTTTGATGTTCCCGAATGAGAATACCATACATTGGTTTTAGCTAAATAATTCTCCAATCGTTCCTTCAAATCATCACACGTTTGTTCAATTTCCATATTCCGAGCCTCCACTTGTTGTTTTGCGAACAAAATGTTTTGATTTTGTTGTTGAAGGTTTCGTATTTGTTCCATAAGCTGTTGAGATTGATTCCTGTAAGTTTCTTCTCGTTTAATCATCATTTGATGAAGCTCATTATTTTCCCTCATGAGCCTCTTCTTCTCTTCGATCATGAGTTTGTATTCGTCCATGGTGAATCGATAGTGAGGTGAATGTCAATGTTTATTTTTTTGTGCAAATATCCTTGAAAAATGGCGCCAATTTTTGATACAAAATGGCGGGTGAATTAACTCAATCGTCGCAAATAAATTGGTTTAATTAGTTACTTAAATTAATAACAATATCAATTTATTTAAAAATGATTATTAATTCTACGACACATTTTGTATATATCTTGATTAGATCTGAATAAGACATGTATTCTTGATCACCTCAACTCGAAAGATTATCATCAAATGAAACAACAACAAAAAAAATGAAGGACACCTCACCTCCCATTCTTCCTCTTGAAGTGGTCCGAAATGGCACACCCTCTCGGAAGGATCAACTCTCCGAAGAAGAAGAAGTAAATCTTCAACTTTATGGATGCCAATTAATTCAGGATGCTGGAATTTTATTGGAATTACCACAGACCACTATTGCTCATGGACAGATTATTTTTCATCGGTTTTATATGAAGAAATCTATGAAAGAATTTTGTGTGAGACATGTAGCGATGGCTAGCCTTTTTATTAGTTGTAAAATTCAAGAGACTCATCGCTCCCTGTTTCATTATCTCCAAGTTTTTGTTGATTTGATATATCCCGAACTTTATTATATATCTCCGGATGTTGTGGATTTGTTAAAATCACACTTGATCAGAACTGAAAGATATATTTTAGTTGAATTAGGATTTACATTCTATAATATTGAACTTCCTCATCAGTACATTTTGTTTGTCATGCACATTTTGGAAGGTCACGAAGATTTAACTCAAACGGCTTGGAATTATTGCAATGACGCCTTGAGATCATCTGTTTTGAGTCTTTCCACTAAACCCCAAGTAATTGCATGTGGAGCTGTTTTCATGAGTGCCAAAGATCACACACGAGCACTCCCCGAAAACCCACCTTGGTGGCAATTATTTAACACCACTCGGGAAGATTTGGAATTTGTTGAAAAACATTTAAAAGAAATGTATTCGAGACCAAAAGCTGTCTACAAGGATGTATTGAGAGAAACTTCCCCCTCTCGTGTTGGACTTTCGGATATTGAGAATCACATTAATAGCAACAAAAAACTGAAAAGTACAGAAGAAGCAAGAGAGTCAAAAAGAAGAGCCTATGAAGATCAAGGAAATCGTAATTATTACAATGCTGGATCAAGCAGTGGATACAGCAGTAGCAGCAGTAGTAGCTATTCTGTGCAAAGAGCAACCACCACAAGTTCTCGAGGAGGAGGACATTACTACTACCAAAAAGATGTCAGTGATCATAAGCGAAGATAAATGCTGCCATTTCGGATGTAACCGAAGTGTTTACTTTTAAAAATGCACAGCATACTACTAGGAATCGATACTATTATCAAATATATGGGATTTACCTCCGTAATAACCACCCAACTCATTTCTTTTTACAAATGAAATATTCAAATCCTGTATTCTTCACTTTTCCTCTTTCCTCCACAACAAATTGAGAATTCTCAATGGATTTGTCCGTTTCACGAATCATGGAAGCTCCAACCAGAGGCATTGTAATCAATGTCACTACACTCAAAAACAAGTCTTTCCAGAAATAACCCGTTTTGAAATGCTCTACGAAAATTGCTTTACCTCCTCTCTTTGAAGAAATTCAACATTTCACAACAATGGATTACAATATTCATCAATGCTTACCTTTAGTACTCGATATGCCTCATCGAGAGTTTTCTTTTGATCATCCACACTACACATCACATCAATACTTAGAATAACATCAAACTGTTCATCTCTGAAAGGTAACTCTTCACATGGGCCTTGCACAAGATGAAATTTTTCGCTTTGAGATTTTAAATTTTCATCATTTTCAATTTTCTCTCGGGCCTTACTCAACATGCCTTTTGACAGATCAATCATGGTGACTTTGGAAACCTTAAACATCAATCACATTATTATTTTAAAATTATTAGAGTGAGAACACCATCCAATATTATAATTCATCCACATGTGAGTCGGGGAGCCATTGAATGATGAAACGTACTTTGTGAAGAGGGTAATAGGCTAAATTGTGACCAGTTCCTACGGCCAAATCCAACACTTCTCCATCCACCATGGGCACAAAGCGTTGTCTCAATTGTGAAAGTGTATTCTTTTCAATAAATGACAAGGCAAAGTCATAAATCGGAGCGATCAGATCGAATTTTTTAATTCCAAATAGCCATTCGAGAGGAGACATTTTTTTTAATCTTGTGTTCTTCCTTGACAATTTGGGAAACCGCCAAAATCTTAAAAAGATGATTACGTTAAAATTCGTTATAAAAAAAATTGATCCAACAGCCTCAAAGAGAACATAGTTTCATTTCAACAACAATAGCATCATTGTGGAGATAAAAGTTTTGACTTGTGTTCATCTTAATCATAAAAAGAACATTGTAATGGCTCAAACATTTTCGGAGAGGAACGGCCTTGCTGGAATTGAGGGATCGTCTCCCAATCATTGGTGGTTTGGACAAAAGAAAAGCATTCGGGATGAAAGCCCTGCCACTACGGAAACATTAGGAAGAGGATTTCCTTCGTTTTATACGAGCGAATTTCCTATGATTGTGCACGGAGATACAACTAAAAAACATTTTTCTCGAACGGAATCATCGGAGGAAATGAAGCCTAAACCTCAAATTAAAGTGATTGAGGAACCACAACCAAACTATCGAAGTGTGAGAAAAAAGCTAGTTCCTGAACCTCCAACTCTTGAAAGTCAAAAAGTTAAAAGAAAAGCAAGAAATGAAGGTACGTTTGATGCAGTCTAACCTCCAATCAATTTATTTGATCTTCACAAAGACAATATCAATTGTAAAAGCGAAATTGAACAGTTATTTGGAGTACCAAAGCCGAAGAAAATTGTTGACGAATCAGGTCAGAGAATATCAGAGAAAAGAGGTGAAGAGATGCCTCTTGAGCATTTCATTGGACGAAAAAACAATTCCTCGAATCCTTTAAAAGAAAGAACAACAATGCTAGAGTTTAAAGGAAAATCATCAACAGTCATGTATCCTCCTGTTCTCAGCTTGCATTCGGATCATCCAAAATACATACATCCTAGGTAGGTTGAAAGTTTTCCAGTTCAATTCCAACAAACAGTGACAACAACTGCTCTTCTCTTTTTGAAAACGGAATTTTTGAAAGCGGAGAGAGAATCTGTGAAACTTTAAGCAAAACCACGCGAAGCCTTATGGATAACAATGAGGAGTTTTATCGAAGACTGAGAATGCAAGAAATAGAAGCAGAGAGGAAAAAGGATATAGAGCTAGTACTTGAATTAGACAAGTGGCTACCTCCATCTGTGAAAAGTAAACTGGATGAAGAGGAGCAAAAAGAAGCATTAAGAGATCAACAACTCGAACAACGAAGGAAAAAAGTGTTAGGAACTTTACAAAAACAACCATCAAAGATTTCATCAGGAGCCAATACACGTCCTCAGAGTGGCAAGAAAAAGAAGTAAACAACATTTGACAAAACCTAGGAAAAATATGTATAAGTTCTAAATAAAGTCAAGCCATGCTTTGTAATTGACTTTCTTTGTTGTAGAGGGCTTCGAAGAAGTGTTGTTGTTTTGCTGCTGTTGTTTCCCTTCCCTTATTGTTGCAGATTGTACAGGTAAAGAAGGAGATGCTGAAGGAATGGAAGTAGATGTGGCAACAACAGATTTGGATGTTGTGACAATAGTATCGACAGGTTTAGCAAATTGAGGGAGCGGTAGGAGAGATGGTACTGGAGCTAAATTCTCCTTTTGAGAGGAGCTCACAGGACTCGTTTTCATCTTCTTTGATGGCATTTCCTCAATTATGTTCTCTGAAGTTGCCTCAGCCTGTTTAGAAACATCAGACTGATGTTTAGAAATATTAATTTCTGTGCGAGAGAAATTATTGTGTGCTCCATGGCTTTTTCTTCGCTCTTCACTTGGCTCTGTTTGTAAGTAATCGATCATTTCGTCGTTTGTTATTGGCCTTTGTGAGGCTACTTTTTTGGCCTCATTCAAAGTCTTCATTTCTTTGTTTTTCTTTTCTAGTATATCCCTCATGCTTTGAAAGATCTCTGTTCGTTGTTTGACATTTTGTATCGCAAAGTTTTCGAGCAAAAGTGGATCTTTCATAAATAGAGAACGAGGAAATCCTTCATCTTCATCAAGGGCCTCGTCAGAAGATTCATTAGTTACTTCATCTAAATATGACTTAACTCTCTTTTGTACTCTAGATCGTCGCTTGTTTATGGCCTTAGTAGTTTGTGAGGGTTGAGTGAGTGGCAAATCATCAGATCTTTGGGATGCAGCTTGAGTGTGCAAAAAAACATTAGGGGAGGCCATATTTCTATACCTTGAGATTGATGGAGAAAAAACTGAGGTAGCCTTTTGAGAAAATGCAATTTCTGCTGGATTTTCGTCATCAAGAACATCGCTGCTATCGCCGTCGCTCATTTCTTGAGATTGTATGATGGAAGCCTCCGCAGAAGAAGTTGAAGTTTTAATTTCGCTTTCTGAAGGTGTTGGTGGAAGAGGTTGAGTATTGACAAGATGTTGATTGATGCGCAGAGGTGTGAGTGACTGAGATTGAGAAGTAAAAACAATGGTTCCTTCAGAAATGTCGACATTACTAGATTGTCTAAGCGTTGAGTTGGACACTCCTAAAGCGGGCGAAAGAATGTTATTGCTGCTAGGCTTTGGAGTGTCAGCACTCGTTTTAATATTTGGAGATTCCATTTGAGGTGAAGAAGGATGTATATTCTTTGAGGCTTCGTTGATTTCAGGATTTGAGATTGAAGGAACCTCTCGTATGTTTGGAGAATTTACAGGACTAGAGGGAGTAGAAGCTTTTTTGTTGGATGAACTCATGCGCTGAGATGTTGTTGCAGGTGAGAATTTTGGTGGGGTCTTATCAACAGGCTCATTCATAACCTCTCCAAGATCATTCTTTGGCTGAGAAGAGGGGAAAGAGGAAATTTGTGAGGATGTTAAAGTTGTTTGAGAAGGATTTGGAGGTATTAGTAACGATTCCGAATTGTTGAAGCCTTGAATTTGCATGTTGTTGATTTGCTCGAGTTGGGAAGCTGAAATCAAGCAATTTTCCTCTTCATTTTGAAAGAAGTCTCCTCCAACGTTAGAGGTACAAGCCATTGTTTGTTCTGAAGAGAAGCTTTCACAAATATCATCGTTCTTATTTTCCGTTGTTTCTTTTTGTTGTTGTTTTGAATTGCTGTTGTCGGTGCTTGTTGGTAATTTTGCTTCCATCCGTGAAGGAGAAGAAGAACCTTCATGATTATTGCTGCTATTCATCATCATGTTAATGAATTGATCAATGGACCAAACTGCACTGAGATTGTTGTTGTTGTTGTTGTTTGATTGTGGAACAATAATGTTGTTGTTATTACTATCGGTTCCGTTAACGTTCGTTTCGTCGTTGTTGTTCTTGTCCGTTCCTAAAATTTGCCGAGTGTCTTTCTCGTTTGTGGACGTTTTTTGTTGGTTTAAAATTGAATTTTTGGCACCAGCAAGCCTTAAACTTTGTTGGTGTTGGATTTGGTTCTTTGTGCTTTCAGGTCGTATGGAATTCAAAACATTTCTATCGGTTGTGATTGGAGAGGATGGAAGAAGTTGTGCATGATGAGGATGGTGGTCGGTCAATGAAGAAATGAAAGAGGTGAGAATTTTGAAAGTATTCTTCGGAGATCGGAATGTGGCAGAGGATGCAGATCCGATATAATCGAAGCGATGAAGAAGGAGAGAGCATGGTGTTTGATTGGGACCACCGAGAATGAACGAGTACGAATCCAATCGGATGACGGCTCCTCTGAGTTTAGAGAGAGGGCAGTAATCGGGATGGAGCCTATTAGAAATTTAACATTATTTGAGGTCATATCGATCGCAATGTTATTGTGGCACAAGCAACACGAGAGACAAGCATATTGTCAAAGGAAGGTGTGAATTTGATTTCTGGTTTGACTTACCTGTAGAAACGTTTCACAAATTTAGGAGAAATCTTTGCTGTAACGTAGTGAAATCCGTCGGAAATGTGTAAAACGAAAACATCATTCTGTTGGACACGATGAACTTCAAGATTTTCACTGTGATCGATTATTTGAACGAGGTTTCGTTGTTTAGCAGGACTTGGTTGACTCTCAAGCTTCTTCTCAAAGATGGCCTTCAAATTGTCTTGCATGAAATTCAGCAACCATGGCTTGCAAAGAAGAGAAGACATTTTTTGAGAATTAACAAAAAGAACACATCAAAATTGAATATTAATATTATAATGATTTTTTACTTTGTTATTTACTTAGTCTCTGACTTCTTCTTCTTAAGACCAGCCTTCTTGGACTTCTTGACCAATTTCAATTGTCTCTTTCTATCTTCAATAACGTTCAACTTGAGACCCTTGCCCTTTGGAAGAGTGATCATGGAAGTGTGACCTTGTCCGAGAACGAAGACGTTGTTGGCACGGGTGGTGAAGTTGTTTCCGGCAATATCCTTAACGTGGACAATTTCGAAGCTACCAGGGTGGAGCTCTCTGCTGATGATTTCACCAATACGTCCCTTGTTGTGACCACCAGTGATCATGCACAAGTTACCAGCAGCGAAGCTGACGAACTTGGTGATCTTACCAGTTGTAATATCGACCTTGACAGTATCATTGACCTTAATGGCTGGATCTGGGAATCTAATGACTCTACCATCATTGGTTTGGACGTATGGAACACCTTGGGTTGCAGTTCCTCTCTTGGTGACCTTGCAGAGTTTATAGTTGGCTTCTCTATCAGAGATTGGGTGAATAACGAAACGACCCTTGGTATCGAACAAAAGTCTGAAGTTTTCGTTGGTCTTTTCAATGGTAATGACATCGTTGAAACCAGCTGGGTATCCCTTATCAGCTCTAACCAAACCATCAACCTTGACCAATCTTTGCTTCAAGATGACGTTAGCTTCCTTGGCAGTAGTGGCATACTTGAGTCTGTTTCTCAACAACAACAAGAGTGGCAAGCTTTCTCTGCTTGGGTGAGCTCCTGGCTTTGGCTTTGGTGCATAGACACCTCCCATCTTTGCCATCATCCAGTGTCTTGGAGCAGCAACTCTCTTCAAATGCTTTCTTGGTCCTCTGGCCTATAATATTCATATTGAACAACATCAAACACAATAGAAGATAATCAAGTTATTGCGTTCAGTGAGAATTTCGATGAGCGAACCATTTTCAATTCCACAGCGGTATACATACCATTTTGTGACTAGTTTCGACGTATTTTTTTTCAACAAATTTTAATAAAAAGTTGGTCAACCGATAGTAATTGTTTACAACGAGCGAATTTTCAGAGATCGAAGCCATTGCTGAAGACTCAACTTGTATCCCCTGTGATCTTGTTTGAGTCTTCGAACTCAACCTTTTTCATGTTGCTATTGTTGTATGTGTACATTGTTAAAAACAGACTTCAAACCTTGGTTCGTACCTTGAAGACAAGGTCTTGATGAAGAAAAATCAAAAGCTGATCCATCATCAGATTAAAAAATGTCGAACTATCACGTTGCCGATGACGATGAAGAGGAATACATTGCCCAAGGCACCCAAAACATGACTCCACAGGAGAGGCAAACACAATATCTGAACCAAGCCAAAGATGTTGTTGATGCCGAGGCTCATCGCATGATCAGATGTTTGGACAAGAATAATCTTGATGACGCTTTGGATCATGCCTCAAAAATGTTGAGTGAGTTAAGAACATCACATCTCACTCCCAAGAATTATTATATTTTGTGTAGGTATCACTACAGTTTTAAATTGGTTCCGTCGATTGGTTGTTAATCAGAAAGATTTTTATTATTTTTGAAATTTGAAAAACAAATTGTGGACTTTACAATTATAATCTTATTCAACAACTCAATCATCGCCACCATCTCTCATATTCTTCAAAAACAATTGTATCATTGACACATATTCTTTCTCTCCAATCTCACTTCTCACATTACAATGGACACTTGTGTAAAACATCCTATTCTCACACTGTTGAACTGTCTTCACTATTGCTCCGTGAACAGATATGCAAGTGTTTGATCATCTTGCTCGTTTGTCAGCCTTTTTCCGAGGTGAGGAAAACATGCAAGAACTCTATGAACGTGTTCAACACACACCAAGCATTGTTCCTAGATTATATCTCATGGCCACTATCGGAGCAATATACATCAAGTCAAAGCAAGCCCCTGCTAAAGATATTCTCAAAGATCTTGTTGAGATGTGTAAAGGTGTTCAACATCCCACTCGTGGACTCTTCTTGAGAAATTATCTAAGCCAAATTACCAAGGATAAACTTCCAGATACTGGAGGTGACTATGAAGGTATTGGTGGAACTGTTCATGATTCTATTGCATATGTACTCCAGAATTTTCATGAAATGGTCTTTCTTTTCAGTCGTTTGAAGAATGAAGGGCCTGTAAAAGAAAGAAGTAAGAGAGAAAAAGAAAGAATGGAACTTAGAATTTTGATTGGTTTTAATCTTGTGCGATTGAGTCAATTGGACGGAATCAAGTTAGATATTTACAAAAATGATGTGTTACCAAAGGTTTTAAACATTATTATCAAATCTAATGACCAAATGGCTCAACAATATCTCATGGAGTGCCTTATTCAAGTATTTCCTGATGAGTTCCATCTTGAGACTCTTAATTTAATACTTTCAGCTTGTCAAGAATTACAATCTGACGTGGACCTTAAAACAATTTATATTGCTCTTATGGACCGTCTCGCAAATTATGCTAGACAATTTCCTGAAAATATTCCTCATCGAGATAATACTGAATCAGGAGTCCAAAATATTATTGACATTTTCTTGGTTTATATTGCTAAAATCTCTTCTGAACGAATGGAAATTAGTGATATTTTATCTGTTCAAATTTCCTTAATGAATCTTGCTCTCCAATCGTATCCAGAGAAGATCACTTACGTCAATGATATTGTAACATTTTGTCATGGCAAATTGAAGTCAGTAGGTGACATCCATTCATCCAATGTTTTGGTCAAATTGATTAAGAGGCTTCTTCTTGTTGCAATTGAATCATACAGAAATGTATTAACAATCTTAAATTTAGATCATTATGGTGACATTTTGTCATTGTTATCATTCGATGATAGAAGAGAAATAGCTATTGAATTGTGTGGATCTGCCCTCAAACATAGACACAAGATTTCCACTCCTGAACAAGTGGCCAAATTGTTCGAGCTCATTAGACCTCTACTGAAAGATGAGGACAATATGAGCGACATTGAGGAGGAAGAGTTTGAGGACGATCAAAATCTTGTTGCTCGTCTTGTTCATCTCTTGTACAACGAAGATACAGATACACTTTTCAGAGTTTATTCTACAGCAAGAAAGCACTTTGGCCAAGGAGGCCCAAAGAGAATATTATTTACCTTATCTCCTTTGGTATTTGCATACTTACAATTGGCAAAGAAAATTAGAAATCATCCAGAAAGAGAACAAAAGATTGTGAAGGAAGAAAAGGTTTTCCAATATATCATTGAAATTTTAGATGTTCTCGCGCATCAGCAATCTGACATGGCTCTTAGGTTATATCTTCAAAGCGCCATCTGTGCTGATCAATGCAATCTCGAAACACTCGTGTATGAGTTGCTTTCACAAGCATTTATGCTTTATGAGGAACAAGATAGCAAGAGCCAATTGGAATACTTTATTTTAATTGTCAACTCGTTGAGACAAATGAAGAACGTTGGAGAGGAGAATTACGACACTCTTTCCACAAAGACCTGTCAATACTCGTCGAAACTGTTACGTAAACCAGATCAATGCAAGGCTGCCTTTTTATGCAGCCATTTATTCTGGCCCATGACACACAATGAAAAATTACAAAACAGCGACAAGGCTCTTGAGTGTATGAAATGGTCATTGAAAATTGTGAATTCATGCATGGCAGATCAACAAATTCCACTCTTTGTAGAAATTTTAAACACATACCTGCATCAATTTTGTAGCGATAACGAGAAGGTAACTGTTGATTACTTGAATGGTTTAATTGAATTGATCAATTCCAACATTGGAGGCGCTGAAGAAGAATCATTTGGCAGCATGTCAAGTAATGATCATACCAGCGAAGCAACCAGAGCTGCTCCTATCAAAGTTTTCTACAAAAACACTCTCGACTACATGAAAACACTCAAGAAGACAAATCCCAAGCTTGAAGGTGTTAACATATAAACGTAATATAAGAACGTTCCAAGAACACTTGCAGTTTTTTTCATTAAAATTTTCTCATACTCGAAATTTTTAGAACTCCTTGGTCAATTAAGGAATGAAATACCACTATCAAGTGACGCAGCTAAAGTTCACAACATTAAGGTCGGTATTGTCCTCCTTTGGCTGATATTATAATGAGATTGGTTATTGGTTCACACACAGGCATTTCTTGCGTTTTACTTAATTTGCGCAGGAAGTAACTCAAAACCATCACATAAAACATGGTTCGATCTTTTGTTGGTTCGTTCTTTTTTTGTAGAAATTCCAAACAGTGGGCATGGTTGAATTGTTGAATGTTGTAAAATAATCTTTGTAAAATATTTCTCCAGTGGTTTGAAATGATCAATAATATCTCTACCTTCACAGGAAAAACCAAGCAATTTCAAACAGTTTTCAGCAGACGGTCGATCTTTTCTTTTTCGCATTTAACATGAGTTGTAAAGCATTAAATAATTTGTCTCTGATATGATTGCAGGACTTTTCAAAAAAAGAGTTCCAAAATTCCTTTGAATGTGATGTACATAATTTCCTATCCTCTTCGCTCAATTCTTTTCCTAATACCATTTCAACGATTACAAGTCCCAAAGAATAAATGTCAGTCTTTGGTGAGATTAGTTTGTCTAAGGATTTCTCTGGAGCATTATATTTGTCTGTACCGTATATTGATTCCAAAGGCAACTCATGGAATCCAATACATAACTCATTTTCTGTGTCGTAGCTGTAAAAAATCTCACACAATTCCCAATCAATTAGTTTTGGAGTACATTCATTGATAACTACAATATTTTGTGGTTTAACATCATTGTGAATCATATACTGATCGTGAGTCTCCATTAACTCTTTAAGCAACCCTTTAATTAGTATTACCTTCATGGAAGGTTGTTCCATGTTAAATTTGTTTAAAGGAATACCCTTCAAAGCAACTTCAACAAAAGGCAAACGGCATTTGGGTTTTCCAACAATATAGGTGTGCATATATTTCAAAAATATAGAACCTTCTGGATGAAGAATCATGTCGTTATCTCTGTTCAACTTGACCACAAGTTTTGGAGCTTGATCAATATTTGAAACAATGGCCTCATAAACTGGTTTTTTGGGGCAGTCATCGATAATTTCAGTGATCTGAAGCGATAGATAGTTATTCCCATTCATCTGTATTTTTAAGGTATCTTTAATATCCAATAAATTGCTCGAGATGTTTTTCAGTGGAGTGTAAGATATATTTGTTCTTGACTTTCTTCGAAGCAAATACTCTTCCACTTTAAGTTCTTTTTCATTCATAGATTCAGCTGCTGTTTCAAGTATGAACGTGCAAAGAGATATTTTTGAGCTCTTGTCCTCACTTAGTGCGATACAAAAAGAACCAATTTTGTTAAGTAAATATTTTCTTTTTTTTCCTTCACATCTCAATGACAAAACAAGAATCTTATCTTTGTTCACCAATAAACCATAGATGTGAATACTCTTGTGAAAATCCTCTTCTTGATCTCTGAAACAAAAATCCATTTTCTGTGAGTGTACTTGTCTCATTAAGGTAACAATTTTCAAAAAATCCTTATGTATTGAATTATCACCATTTGTTGCATTTTCACAAATATATTTAATGTTCTTGAAAGTAGTGTTGTTAACTATCCAATCAAAAGAAACCGTTCGATCAGGACGAATGAAAAATTCAAAAAGAGAATGAAACTCTGATTTATCGTCAAATAAATTGCAAAATTGGATTTATTTGAATTTTGTGAAATGTCAACATTTCTTAAATAACGTTGACTCTGGATGACATGAAATTACAAAAATCCACTTACGAGTTGATGCAGCTGTTTGGAAACAGAGAAACCATGTTCAATAAATGATCTAAATAACTTTGTTGCAACTCCGAGGCTTCAGAACAAAATGATGGTAATATCGACTCTCGGAAGATCAACGGCAACAAGCAAGAAAAAAGAACACCAGCCCGAAACTTTCCTGTTAGTTTCAACATGTTTACAAGCTTCTCACACGCTGCCATCATTGTTGCTTCATCTTTTGCAAAAGCAAATTCTAGCAAATAGTAACATAAAAGAGAGGTTTCGTGTTCTATTCTGGGATCATCATCGATTGTAATACCAAGAATGTCATACATAGCATTGAGTTTTGATAATACTTCTTGGGAGGAACCAAATTCCGAGAAGGATGATGATGGTAGTAGGGCTGTTGGGGTTCTGTTCCAAATAACCTTCCAGAAAGATTTCTTCGAACGTTTTAGGTACTTGATAATTTTTTTTTCTAAGGGCGCCAAAATAAAAAGTTTCTTAAATAGTCACCAAATTTTTCAACAATATTGAATTCTTCCAAGCAATGATGGATTCATTGAAATAAGCGTATTACGAGGATGGAATGAGACAAAACAGAGAAACCAAGATTTGAAGTATCGTCAAGTTACTAATATTTGGAACGAAATGAAAAATATATTTGGGAAGCGGGCAATACAAGTGAACTACCCGCCAAAAAAATGTTTTCATTACAACATGAATTAAATGCATCAAATTTTCAACAACATTCTCCACAACAGAATACATTCGAGCACTCTTCGCCCCTGGAAAGCGATCATCATCGGAGTTGGGGTTCTCTTCTTCCAAAATTTCATCAAGAAAATAACTTTCCCGATTCCATCTACCTCACTCGGAGCTATCTTTGTCGGATGGTTGAAATTGCCTGTGATTTACATGAAACAATCGAAAACTCTTTGAAAAGAAGTGAACAAGTTCTTGAACAAGCCTTCATTGATTTTGAACAGGTAATATCCTCTTCGGGTCAAGAAAAGACTGAAGGACGAAACAACTCTTCTCTATTGTCAGACATTAGTGAGTACATGGATCCAAAGAAACTTCAACAACGATTGAATATTTTAGCTGTTGAAAGGCTCAAAGCTCTTGAACAGATTCATTCTTCCTTCTTAGAGCCCCTTTTGAAGGTAATTTCATCAGCACCGCCAAAGAGGACAGTGGACAAGAACAATCATCAAAATCTCAATCACAACCCTTGTAACGAACAACCCTCTCAGTCACCACTCTTGTTTTTTCATTGTCCGTCTTCAACAAACACATCAAATTTATTGCAAGTTCCAACAACACCAGTGAAAAATAATCGTTCAGAACCTGTCAATGATAATATGGAGCTCGCGGCATTGCAGAAAATTCTTGAACATCTCAAATCAAAATTGGAAAATGAGAAAAATCCTTCTCAACAGAACGTATTGAGGGTTGACATTCAAAAAATTGAAAAAGAAATTTTCATGTTGGAATCTGGATGCTTTCTAAGTCCAATTGTGAAACTGCAAAAAAGTGTTCAGCATCAGATGCAAGGAAAGAAAGTGAAACCGCTTATTTTAGAAAGTAGTGATGAAACAAGTTCCTCACCATCAACATCACCACTTGATGCACCAAATGTCATGGAAAACGCCAATGTATACACAGACAAGCTCCATAACCAAAAGCAAAATGATCAACAAATAGTCGAGTCAAGGGATCATTCTGGTTATTGGTCAGTGACATCCTCTCTTACAGAGAACAATCATCAGGGACAAGGTCTTGCAGATTTGAACTCCCAATTGTTCGAAAGCATGATATTTGAGGACAATCCACTGTTTGCAGCAACTGAGCAAATTTCTTTTTTAAGCGAACCGCCAGCAGAGAATCTCATACCAAGCGACTCAGACTCTGATAAGGAGCAAGATGTTCTTACCTCTCAATTTCTTTCTCCCAGACGAGGAAAAATTGGGAGTACGGAGACGCCAATCCTGCCTCAAAAGAAGAACGTTGAAATAGCACTTCAGGTCAAACATATTTCCCAGCAAGATAACAAAACAACAGAAGTTAAGACTCCAACACAAAAACAAAAACAACCAGATGTCACACCTTCTCCAACCACCAGAAAAACACTAACCTCAAACACACCCTCAAAGCTACCCTCCCGACCCAACTCGGCAAAGAAAGTCCTCCCTCTTGAAAAACCAAAATCTCCAAAGAACACCACCTCTCACGAAGAAAGACATAGGGCACCAAAGTCGTTCAAACACATGAAGGAAAATTCAAAGGTATTGCCTAACCACACGGGTCTCAGTGACTCGATTCGAATTGGGATTGGCACGACTGAAAAGAAAAAGGCAGAGATAAAACCTTGGTACTAACCATAGGACAACAGTTTATTGAGAACGTAAATGTGGTGTTGTTTCTCCATCCACAATAAGTCTAAAGTTATTCACTTTCACTTCTCGGATGACAGAGTCAGAAATTTGCTGCTTTTCAGGTGGTCGAGATTGAAGCAGAGAATATTCACTATTTGCAGAGTTAAAAAGAAGATCATCCACATATTTTGTCCTGTGCATTCCAACCAGCACAGTGTCCAAATTGGGAGTGTCAACGAGGCAACGAATACTTTTCTGAGCCAGCGTTGTGTATTGATTCAAATCTTCATTCGACACTTTTGAAATCTTGGCATGTAAATCTTCGCACTGATGTTGGTGCTTGATGGAGAGTAAATCAGAATAAAGTTGATAAAACTTGTTGCAAAGACGTTGATAGTGAGAGAGCCATCTATTACATTGGGTTTTGAAGTTGTTGAGCTGATTGGCATCTGTTCCTTCTTTTTTCATGCCAACTGCATTGTAATCATTTTCATTGACCTTTGCTGATAGCTCAGAAAGTTTGGCAAAAATATATTTCTGTTCTGGTCTAATTCTATTTTGTAACACCTTTTTAAATGTGAAGTAGGATTCCAATTGGTCATAATTGGTCATGATGATGTGACCCCAAGAAATGGATGGTCGTATTTTGAGAATATTTTCCATGGAAAATTCTGGTCGAGTGCTTGATTGTACTTCTTTGGACAGAACCACAGAGTCATCTAATAGGTTGACATTGTACCATGGAGTGTTAAGTTCAGTATAGGCAATTTCATTTGCTGTTTCTTGATATTCTTTGACAAGTTTTTCCATATGGTCATTCTTGTTTTTGTCAAATTTGTAATCAGCAAATCGAAATATCAAATAAGCATCAAGTTGTGTCGTAAGAGGTCTAAAACCCATTGTAGCCAGGTTATAAGTTTTGGCAAAAGAAAGAAAATTGACATAAGAGTTTGATTGCTGATCATAGAAAATCTTTTCTGTGTGAACACTATTCTCGTGAAGGTTATATGGAACTTGAACTACCTTAAAGTTGTGATTCAATCCGCCGTGAGCCTTCTCTGCAATTTTTAGACATTTTTCCAGATCAATTGAGAGGACTCCAACATTTGGAACTCGAGTAACTGCTTTGGAGGCAATACCATATGCCTGAATTCGTCCGCGTTCTACTTCATGTTCTAACCATTTAAATGTTTTTTCAAGTTTGTGATAAAATTCTTCATATACAGCAAATTCATTACCATCAGTATTTTGCAATAGCATGGCTTGTAAAAGCTTTTCAGGCTGATTTAAAACTAAAACGTCTAGAGTTTCTACTTGATATTCTTGTAAACATCTTGTTATTTCATGGGAAATAATGAGAGGGTCGAGAGAATAGTGATGTAAATTATCTGCTAATTTTGTAATTCGTTTGTCTAAATCTTGGACTTGACACTCATTTGCAAGACGAGACAACACCGAATGATTTCTCTCGTCGATATAATTATCTAAAGGACCAACCTTACTCATTAACACTAATTCTTCTCTATATATTTTTGTGTCATTTTCAGTAGTGTGGTGACCGTGATGGTGATGAGTATGATGAACTGGATGATGATGAGCACACATTCCATTAAGCACCATTCCAATCATTTGTTGACTTGTTCCATAATCAGCACTGCTATCAATTAAATTAACTCCTCCTTGGATGGCCTTTTGAATGGCAAATTGTTGATCTTGAACAACACTATCACCTTCGGGATGATTTAAATTTAAATAATGACCACCAAAACCTAATTTTGAAAAATAAAAAGGAAGCTTGTGATTGTTTTGATGTTTAATTATTTCCTCTACTGATTTATCGGATGATGTAAGCCTCCAGCCTTCCATCGGAGTGAATTTCTTGGCTAGAAATTCCATGGTTGCAGCTTGAGTGGCTTTTCCTTTGAGCAGTGAACGCATTTTTTTGAAGTCAATCCTTTTCTGCAACGATTTTGAATCAATTAATCGAGAAGGGAACACTTTGAATGTCTGCGAATGATCGAACAAGTATTGGTTGAAGTATCATGTGTAAAAGAGCTTTATTAAAATGTCAACCTGTTAAAATTAAATCATGTCATTACATTTGACGAAAGTAATCATCCACTTCTTCTTCCTCTTCTTCAGAGTCTTGAAGGTGGTTCACATTGATAGATTCCCTCAGATTAATATTTTGGAGAAATTGTTTTCGAAGCTCGAGTTCAGAACTTTTTCGTTTAGGTTCCTCTTCATCGTGAAAATAATCTTGATGAATGGAGGATGAAAGACTAAAGTTCTCGGTCAGTGGTTGATTCTCGTTGTTGTTGCCACGTGTTGTGCCCGAGCTTTGAGGAACAGTTGGAGGCGTTTTGTTTTTGGCATTATCAAAATAGTTATCCATATGAGAGAAGTATAATAAATTGTCTTCTCTCAAATCCTTATTACTACGGAGGGGTTGTGTTGTAGCTTGACTTGGTGGAACAATGTTGCTCAATCCAAATATGCTCGATGTTGGAAAAGAATTGTTTTTAGGAGGGCTTTCCACTGTCTCCTCTTCCTGTGAAGAAACTTCTTCGACCTCTTCTTCGCTTTCAATGTCGTTTGCAATAGAAACATGTCTTTCATCTAAATTCGAAATATTTGGTGACCTTCTTGGTGAAATCTTTGGAGAGTTGCTTTTCTTCAAAGTCATAGCATTCGCAGTTGCTTGGGTTACATTAGCTTGTGTTGATTCAACAGGAGTAGCAGACATGGGAGTAGAAATGGCCTTCAAAATTGTTTTGGAATCAATAATCTCTTGCTTTGGAATGTTAATTTCAGCTTCGTTATCAAACTTGTGGATTGGAATTGGATTGGACACTTTGATCATTAAACTCTTACTGATATCATTAATTTGATTATATCCATTTTCAGTAATGTCAAAAGTAGAACTTTCTTTGTTATCGATTCTGTTAGGTATATTTGTCTTGATTGTTCGAAACTTGAAATGTCCTGTGGCCCATAGAGGATTTAATGGCTGTGCATATGTTTCGAGCTCCACGTTGGATATCCATTTTGAAAGAGTGTCTTGTTTCTCGTCGACAAACCTAGAAACATGAGTTGGTTCGACTTTGTCTGAAAATTTGCCATACAAGGAAGCCCATGAAATGCTTTGTTGTTGATTTCTTTTGGAGTTAAATTGATTTCGTATGAAATTTGGCACGGAGGTCGGAGAGTCTTGCGAATCATTTGAATCTGTGTCAGGAAGAAAGATGTCAAACCGTGCTAGTAATTCAACTGAGAGATTAAGTTCAAAATCTTCGGCTGATATCTGAGTTCTATCTACATGTGACACCACAGAAACGCCAGAAGAGGCAGTTCCAATAGTAGTTTTGCTGAGATTGTCTGTGGCCTTTTCTTTTTTCTTTAATTGTGGCTTCAGCACATAGTAACTCAAAATTCCACTATTCAAAGTCACTAAAATATTCTCGTTATTGATATTCTGATGGTCATAATAGATTTCGGAGGTATCATCATTTGTACTCAGTCTATTGAATATTTTAAATTCTGAGAGGGTGTAAATTTGAAAGACGGAGCGTGTATGAATAAAGCTTTTTCCCAATAAGTTCTTCCTTGCTCCTGAAGTTGGATCGTGAATTCTTGCAACAACGTTCAAAATAATGCCTTCGCTCGGACTACCTGATTGAATATATTGTTCTCCATTGAAATGAAATCTTGGATCGACAGGTCCACCTGTGGGATTAATAGCATAGATATGAATCGTTCCTCTTGCTGAACATGCAGCTACCCATTTGCTGTTCACGCTGAAATGTATATCTTGTATATGAGCGGTTGTAAATCCACGATAAAGCCTGTAAAGAAGTTTGATGTTTTTCTCACCAGCCAGCATGTCTCCACCACTGTCAGGCAAAATTTGGAAGACATTCAAATACTTTCCTGACAATGGTGCAGTGCAAAGAAGAGTACCTGTTCTATCAAACGCCATGGCAGCGATTGGCTCGTTGTGAGCTCTAAAGTGAAGTAAAACCTTATTTGTTTTAAGGTCACGAATTTCAACAGTTCCTACAGTTCTCTCATATCCAGCCAATTCTGGAGGTAAATCTCCACTCCAAAGGGTGCTGAGTGAAACTTCTTCCTCATCCTCATTTTCTTCCTCATCCTCATCTGTGCTATCCTTTGATGAGCTATCGTTGCTATCAGAATCAGAGCCATCAGAGTTATGTTTTTTCTTTCCGTTGTTACCTTCGAACCAGTATTTGGATGCCTTTTTAAATCCGTAATCTCCCAGTTTGTAAATTCCTGTAGCAGCTTTTTTTGCTACTTCCCATGATTTTTCAGTAAAGGTAGAATTTACCTTGGTTGTGAAATCCAAGACAGGATTCAACACTTCTGTGTTACTGGCAAAAGCAACAAATCTCTTGCGGACTGCAATAACTCCTCCATATAATTGTCCAAAGGCTTTGTTGCTTTGTTGAGTCTTCTTCTTTTTCTTTGACTCACTCTCCGCTGTAGCTTGTCTTTTACTTGCAGGCTGCAGACAAGTAATTGAAGGAAAGCAAATACCTTGCGAAACAAGTTCAAATGTACATGGATCATAGAAAAATATTTGACCGGATGAGTCTGTTATAATAAAGGCTTCTTCAGAAGGCAACATTTGGAATATGATAGGTGGTTGTTCAGAATTCTCATTTCTGCACGTAATTGTGACATGATCATCTAGGAAGCAATTGTACTTGAGTGAGTAAAAATGAACAGTATTTGGTTCTGACTCCACAACTAGGGACACCATTGGATAATAGCTTAGCCACGATGCATTATTATTTGAAAGTTTTGCTCTTTTTTCAGATCTTTTGATGGCCTTTTTAGAGGGCTTGGTGAGTAGCATGACCATTTTAACAGGACCTTTTGATGGAGGAACTTGAACGGGAGGATATGTAAGCACAGGCTCACTGACAAGGTGAGGCATAGGGATTGGCAAATTATGATCTTCAAGAATTAGCTCTGGTGGAGGCAACGTGGTTGGCAATGTTGTGGGGTTGTATAAAGTGGAAGGTTCCGTCTGCGGAAGAGTTGCATTTCTACTTTCGAGAAGGTGATTATCTTCGTTTTCATATCTATTTGCAAGTTGTTCATACCATTCATCCATGTCGAAGGATTGCTTCTTATTTACATTTTTAGAATGATTTTCAGTTTTTACATAGTCCAAATCGAATGAAGAAGATTCATGATTGGTATCCTCCTCATTGGAACTCACCAACTTTTCTACTGTAGATTGAATGTTGTCATTTTCCTCATGAACTGAGCTACTTTCTTCTGATATGTTGTGCAATTGGGTGGCCAGTGTTGTTGGTTCGATCTGTGCATGCTCAAATTTCTCATTCTCAACAACAGCATTGGAAAATGTGTTTTCATCAGCTTGAGGATATGAGATGGCGGTTACCCAATCGTCACAGGTTTTTGTAATAATTTCTCTTACATTATTTGGCTCATGAACATCAAAAATTTGAAATCCATTCGAGAATGCCAATACCATGAATAATCTTTCATCTGTTGTTTCCATTGCGGATTCTTTCTGTTCAATAACCACAGGCAAGAACATTAGCTCGCATGATATAAGTTCACCTAAATTTGAAAAGTAAGGAGTCAAGATACCATTTGCAGATGGAGTGGTGTGTATATCGCTGTTTGAGATCGAAGCAATTCCATTTCCGATCGAAGAAACATAAGGCTGCAAAATATTTTCATTGAATTGCTTTGCCAAATTACTCCATGGAATACTTTTCACATAATTTGAAATTCCTGAAATCAGTTGCGCAGACGAGTCATAGATAATTTTTGCTGAAGATTCCTGTTGTTGATGTTTCTTCTTTTTCTTTTGATTCGAACTATTATAGTTATTATTAAAATTGCTACTATTGCTATTACTAGAAGAATTCCCAATTGGTAGAGACGAAGGATGTTTTGACTGTTTTTGAGAAGGAACGTTATATAATTGCTGATTAATTACATTCTGATCGGTTGGTATTCTCGAATACAGTGAGGATGCAGGTTGCGGTTTTGGAAGCGTGGGATACAATGAGGAAGATGCGTTCATATTTACAGTCGCTGAAGAGGGTACAGATGGATACAAATGACTATTACTTGAAAGTGAAGAAAAGGAGGAGTTGGAAGATGTTTGCATGAGATTAGCAGGAGGAGCAGAAGCAACGTTGTGTTGGTAAAGGAAATTACTACTATTACTATTATTATAATGAAACTGATGATTACTGCTACTGGTACTTGGAATGTACCGATCGGATTGTGGCTGCATTGTATTTGCATTGTTCATCATGTTTCCAGCAAAGGATGATGAGGTGTTGCTAGTATTGTTGTTGTTGTTGTACGGAACAGAAGCAGTCGGTGTTGAAGAAGGAAGGTTTCCTCTTCCAACCGCTTTCTGGTTTGACATTTTTTCATAACTATCTAAAAATACTATTGTTTGCTGTCGACATCACGAAAAATTAGTGAAGAAGGAAAACGCCTGTAAGTACACTTTCAACTCATGTATTGCAGCTCAACACATAAGCTCGAACACACGTTGAAACTATCAGACCTATTTTGTGAATGGCAAGTTTGGTTCAGAGGTTTCTGTGATTGAAATTGTCGTTTGCATGCGCGCTCATGTGCGAGATGAGAGATAAACTACAATGCTATGTACACTTCGCCATAGGCACACGGAAAACAAGTCGACAACTCGAGCAATAATAATTTAATGTCATTCGAATAAGGTACTGAGACATTTGCCTTAAAAATTATCATAGGTAGCTTGACAATAGCCAGGCATGACTGGTCCACAAGCAACCCCTCTTCGAACCATTACATTACAACGGGCATACTCCATTCTAATTCTTGCGCTAGTAATGTCAGTGACAGAGCTTGGGCTCCATAATCGTTCAGCAATTGCAAGAGTACGAGGAAAGACACGAGAGTCAAAATTGGCATCGTCCACTTGTTCACTCCACATGGCTCCCTCTCCTCCAAGTACAAGCTTCTTTTGAGATTCTGGCATACCGAAACCCTCGGTTGGATCCTAACATTCGAAGGTTATTGAAGAATAAAAGTTCCGTGAGCCAATATCATATCTCATTGTTGAAAATGTATCACTACTGTACTTACATTTAGGTAGAAATTAATCCAAGTATCCACCCATTCTGTTTGTTTACAAATTAAACAGTTGTTTTGAATTGATGAATATCCTTATCAACCACGTACCATAAAATGTTTGATTACGATTTGGAATTTGTTGATCGAGATACCACCCTCCGCTCAACAAGGTTTGATATCCCATTTGAACAACATCTAGCAAGGTTTTTCGTTCTTTCCAAACATGAACAATTGTATCTTTTGGAACCGAATAACCATATTCTAAGGCAAGCTCTTCCCAACATATCATGGTCTTGTTCAATGGCAAATAAATAGTCCTCAAAATATCTTCAAAATAAAAGAGTAATTGAACAGGTTGGGTAAATCCTTTTTGCTTCATAAAGTTTCTAATAGTTGGATCCTCTGTTTTGTTTGAAAAAAGTTACAGCTTCCATAAGATCAACAATTAAATTAACTTACCAAGCCAGCATCCCATCACTAGTTCGTCTCCTCCAAAATGATAATACTTCAAGTTGATTGGCACGAATAACAATTCAACAATTTAGTCAACCATTTGGAAAAAATTATTGTGATATGATTGTGAAAATTTTCACTAGATTAAGGACTTCGACATACCTTGTCCGTAAATCCACTGAGAGTAAGTTGCTTGATGACAGCAGCTAAAACATCATAAGTCTTTGGATTTGCAACGTTGAGAGGGATATTATTAATGTTGTGTGCATAACTTGGACAATTAGCTGTAATTTCTGGATAGCCAAATCCCCAACTTCCTGCATGACCTGGCACGTCAATTTCTGTTTGGGTGCGAGATTGCATGTCAGAGACGCGTAGAGATAAAATATGTACACATATACTTCATTGTGGTAATATTACAAGCAATTCTACTTACCTGGAACGACTCGAACACCTCTTCTTCGTCCATACTCAATGATTGCAAGAATATCTTCGCCAGAATAAATTGCTTGTTTTTGATATGCTCCCTTTCCACTTAAATTTGGATAGCCATTGACCACTAAGGGGAAGCTTTGAGCATCAACAATATGCCAATGGAATACATTCATCTTAATGTAGGCAAGAGAATCAATTATTTGCAAGAGTTTCTTTACAGAATAATAGTGACGTGCAGTGTCAACAAGAAATCCTCTCCATTGAAATCGAGGTGAATCTTTCACAACAATTGGTAATAATTCTCCAAAGGTATAATACTTCTTTCCAAAGCTAATGCCATTCAAATTATCCACAGGTGTGATTAATTGTGAAAACGATTCTAAAGCACGCAATGCACCCCACACAGTGTTTGCTGTTAATTGGGCTTGACCTTGAGAAGGATCGATATTAATCATATAGCTCTCGTCCATTCCAAGATAAGGCTCTGGGATCATTTCCTTGCTTGGGTTATTGACAGTTAAAACAGCTCTAGTTAAACAATAAACAGTGGTATGGTTGAACGAGTCAGGACAATTCGACGAGGAGTCTACATTCTCAGAGAAGAAAATCATTGATCCATACCGAGTCAAAGCATCAGAAATAATGTCGTAATCTCCTTGACTCAGTGGATTCTCCTGAAACACAATGTTAAAACTCTTCCAGTTAGGAATAATTCCAATAACTGATCCAGTCGAATACTGCTCTGGAAGAGGCCAAATCTTGAATGTATTTGTCGTTGGTGCTGATGCAACCCTCTCGGAACAAACGATACCCATAAAAATTGCCATCATCATCACGATGGCCATCCACAGAAAGTGGCATGAGGCTTTTCTCTTCAAAAACATTTTTTTTAAAGTCCTTGTTTGTAATCATCATTATCAACTCCATTTACGCGAATGGAAAGCAATGATGAAGGTTGCATTGCAATTATTTGAGGGGTTGAGAGAAAGATTATCTGTGCGTTCGAACTTGAAAGAGTCAATCAGGAGCGATAAGGAAATTAAATGGTTCAAAAAATTGCAAGCACGAGCAGGAGTGTCGTGACTCCAAGCAAGTGCAAAGTCAACATATTTGTGTTGTTTCTAATTTTGAATTTTCAAAAAAAAATAGTCGACGACAAACACCAAACCTAATAATAGTGGCCACTTCACATTGCGATCCATCAACAACAAACGAAAAAATATTTTCGGCAAATCCAAGCTGAACGTTGTGGAGGAATCATCAAGAAACTAGGAAACTAGGTGGTTGAGTGATCGTGTTCATTGTAAATACTACGAGTTGGATTGATTCATCATCAACGGACTCTAGAAAATCTGTTGATGATTTTCGGAATTGTGAAAGTTGCGGATATTGAAAAAAGAGTTGCACTAAATTTATCGTACCATCATCATTTATTTAAATTATTTTTCAAACTTCTCTGCTGGAAAGTTATTATTTAGTTATTAATATTTTCAACGCTCATGGCTACTGAAGATCACAACAATAATTCTACATCGATTATGTTAGATGAGGGCTCTGCCATTCTTGATTCTGGTGGTGTTTTCCATGATACTCATGGCTTAACACATTCATCATCAGCAACTACTCCAGAAACATCTTCGAACAGTACTTCCACCAATGAGTCAGCAAGAAGAAAACGAGCCTCTTCATCAGCATCATCCACATCAACACGTCGAACTTCTAAAACAAAAAAGAAAAAGAACCAAGAACAACAAGACGATGAATCGTCACCAGAAGAAGATACTCTCTCTAATGAGAATCAAGAATCTTCTCTTTCTCATAATCGAGCTTTACTTCCCAACCAGAGAACTGCTTGTCCTATGGAGGAAGTTCCTAATAATCAACAGGGAAGATATTGGATATTTGAAATGCCTCCAAATGCGGAACCTCTAAATGATGTTGTTGTAAGGGTGACCATGAAAATTAGAGGAGAAGAAGCCAGAAATTATGTTCCAGAAAAATTGTACAGTTCACACAAATATGTGATCATGCATGAAATTTCAGGAAAGAGTCTCGTGGAAAAATATCCACTTATTGTTTCGAAAATTCATGTCATTAATCCAGCTACCAGAGAAGAGTTAAAGAATTCCAAAAATTCAAGCAAGCTCTGCTTGATGGGAACCATGGAAACAGCTCTCACTAAATTAGCTGGATCCAATGGAAAGAAAACAAAAGAAACATCATCTTCCTCCGAAGATGTTGTTAAAGGCCAAATGAAAGTACAATTCACAGACGTCAGTTACCATCACGAAAAAGGTCACTTTGGATTTATTATTCACTACTTTAATCCTGCAAATTTAGAGACCCCTCTTTTTTCTTTAATTGCTCCTCCATTTAATGTTTTTGCAAGAAAACCAACCAATGAGAATCAAACAGAAACTTTACAACCAACAAAACCAAAGCCATCAAAAAGAAAACGTAAATCCGATATGGAAAATGAAGCTGACAATGTGAGCTCCTCAGCATTGGAGGCATCAACAACAGCCACAAGCAGTGCTGAAGCTTCTCATGCAGCAGGGGATGCCACATCTACCACTGCAGTAGTGTCTCCTTCCAAGAAAAAGACAAGACGTCCCAAGAAGCCACAAAAGTCAACATCCTCTGAAGAAGCACAACAAGCATCATCCTACACAGTCCCTGTGGCCTCCACTCAACCCTCCCAAAACTTGCTCGAATTTAACAAGAAATTAGAAGCAATTGTGAATATTAAGAAACAATTAGGTCAAGATGCAAGTAAGAGAGCATCCGAATTGGCCTTACAAAATCTAATCACACTAGATACATTTGCTTCACATGATTTTGTGCTCAGCAACACTCAAACCAATGGTGGACAACAGATTTTGAGCTCTACTGATGCAACATCAATAAACCCAGCCACCACGAATAGCAGTGGGTTATAAGTGTGTGATTGCACGTGCTCGAATGTTCTTGTTGATTTCACTAAGGACGGACGGAACATTTTCACAAGTCGCACTCCTCTTCAGCATTGTTCTAAAATGGGAAATCGCTCTGTCGAACCTTTCACAAAAAAATGTCTCCAACGAATGCTGCTGCCACTACAACCACAACCAGTACATACAGATACAAGTCTTTTAGCGAGTTTTATCCATTCTATCTTTCACAACATCAGAATCCAATTTGTAGATTGCTGCATGTGATCGGTACCTTAGGAGGAGCATGTATGTGGGGATATTGCTTTTCCACGAAAAAGTATTGGCTCCTTCCAGCTGGTTTGGTTATTGGTTATGGATTGTAAGTGATCGGACGTTTTTTTGAATTCATAGTTATCATCATCACTATTATTGTTTCATTTATTGTCAATAATATTTTGTTTTATAATTATTTATTCATTGTCCACGTTGTGTGAATTTATTGAAAAATCTGCTTGTGATCTATTTGTGATGATGAACTTGATCACCTTTAAAGTGCTTGGATTGGCCACTTTATCTTTGAGAAAAACAAACCTGCCACGTTCACTTATCCTTTATGGAGCTTTATGGGTGATTGGAAGATGATGTTTGAAGTTTTGACATTTAGAAGAGGATTATCAGATTAAACAGTCAATTTTAATATCATTGTTAATAATTATTTCAGTTAAATTTTGAAAATTAATTTTTCTCTATAATCATATCAATAACTAGATAATAAAACGAATAGCCAAACATTTTCTTGATTTTCATGTGCATTTTGTTGTCATTTCGAACTGCAATGTAAAACATGGTGGCAATGTCTTGTTTAGAGAGTTGCTCAGACTCGTGTTCACTAATCAATTTTTCACTCTTTTCGCGAAAGTACTTGGTAAATGTTTCAGTGAGCCTATTAATTTCCATTTTGAGCTTGAAGTAGCTTTTTCCACATTTGGTTTCCAATCGACGAGCATCAAAAAAGCCAGAAAGTAAGATCGCCTCTGAATCCACCTCGTAATCATGAAGAAGTTTTTTGAGGTCTTTCTTGTACTCTTCATAGAGAACAAGTATCTGTTCAAAGCATTTGTGAATATCTTCGTCCACCATGTGTTCATCCTCAATGACATCTTTGGAATAATTAAACAATTGCTTCAATGGCTTGTACTCGACAATAATCTTGTCTAAAATCTCAAAATAAGGACACAACTTTGATGAAAGTGTGGGACATGCATGTTCTGATATTTCTTTTGGTCTCAATTTTTCAAGTTTTTTCACTTGTTTTTCCACATGCTCCACTTCGTCATATATTTTCCCAAGAACCTTTGTGGATTTATACTTTTCTTTTGCAAATGCTGGTGGCATGTAGTGAGGTCTCTTATTGGATAACAAGTCAGCTGGTAGTGCCTTTCGTTCACCTGTTTTGGCATAATCCACTTGATGGCTATGGTGTTCTGCTAATGCCAGACACTTTTGACATTTGGCACCTTCTGGAGATTGGTCATAATGCTCCAAGTGAAGAAAAGCAACAACGCCAAGATTATCATTCACCACATACTCTGTTAAGAACTGGCCAATGTCACTGAAATTACATCCTCCAGGTTTCGTTTTTGGTGTCAATGGTACATGATCCATTGGAGGATATTCCTCAAATTGCAGTAATTGCGAATCCCATAAAACCATAAATAAATCTTTGAGTCAATGAAAATAGTTCAAAAATAGAAAATAGAATGAATTGGACAAGTTCTCAACCTACCTCCATCGTAATCACCTCCTGACATTTTGCTGGCTTGTGGTTGCTCTCCTTTTTGACTAAAAACAATGACATCCTTCAAATGTGACAAGTGACGAATTTTGTTCGGATCCTTAATGGCTTTCAGCTTGCGAATATCACCTGGATGAAGACATGGATTTCTCGTGACACATACAAGTCCAGATACAATTCCTCCTTGTGCCAATGAACCTTCTCCATACAATTCATCTTGTTCGAGTGCTGACAGTTGAATAAATACTTCATCTTCTTCAAGAACTCCAGCAAAATCTGGAAGACCCATCAACAATGCACCCTTATCCACAGGAATTCTTGCATGTTTCAAATCGCTTAATTTGAGCTTTAGCATGGCATTGACAATTGAACAATAGAATGGATCAATCTGGAAAAAGTATTGAAATGAATGATGTTTGTCCTTTTCAAAATGTTTCACATGTTCTTTCATCTTTGTGTCCAATGATTTCAATTTCAATAATCGTTGAACATTACTTCCGATTGGATTCTCTTGAATTTTTCTCACTAATCGCATCATTTTAGTCTTGTCTTGAACTGCGTCACGTACATCATCAAGTTCCTTTGAGAGAAGTTTGAGAAATGTTTCATCCTTGACACCATTGGTAGATAATAAGGCAATCACTTGTCGATTCAAAGCCACTCGTAATCGTTTGGAATAGGTAATCATCTCAAAATGTGTCTCTTCTTCTTTTGTTTCAAATTTAATTTGACTTTTCGTGAGAAGCAAATCCTTCGATGTGAATTCATCCAAGTGCGAATCGAGTACGGTCACCCCTTTCGCTCCTCCCATTCGAAATTGAAAAGCCGATGGAACATAAGGTTTACCTCCAAAGCTAATAGAGAGCTTTTCTGCAAGTTCATGTGCAAATTTTAGAGAATGTCTTCCAGCACCATCTGTGAAATCCCATTTTCCTCGTATCACTCCTTCTTCAACATCATAATCTTTGGAAATGCCTTCATAGGTGTGAGAAAAGCAAAGACCAATTCTTGAGGCGTATTTGGCAATGGTTGGAATGGAGGAAAAATCTCCCAAACTTTCAAGAATGTTGTGAACGGTTAATGTGTTGTTGGTGGGATTGAGAAACCAGCAACTATGTGCTCGAAGTTGACTGTGTCAATATAATGTCAATGGTTATGCAGGTTGGATGGAATTTGTGCATGCATGAAATTCAAATAAAAATCAAATAAAAAATCAATTGTTCAATCCATTCACATACCTATTGGAATAAGCAAGAGCTACATAACGTCTGCTCGCAACCATAAAACCTTCAGACATGATGGATTTCAATCTGGGATGCAAATGAGTGAACTTTTCTGCACTCAATGTTCGTAAATCTTCGTCACAAAAGGTGACTCTCACAAAATGATCCAATTCATGAGAGTTATATTTTCGAAGTACTCGATTTCCTCCTTCTATTGTCTTGTCGAAAAATCGAATTCCTGTGGGTGTGATCATGATCCTTCGAATTTGGAATACGTTTCTTTCCTTTTCGAGAAAGGATGTGTCGACTGAATGCTTTCGTTTCTGAATTGCCTTTTCAAATAGTTGAATAAAATCAACTGGATAAAAGTCGTTATAATCCAAGAGATCTTTCAAAGCTTGATCAATCCATTCGAATGCATAGTCTTGATTAATATATTTCACAATAAGATTCCTAATTTGGATGATCCTGGAAATAGACAACAATAGACCTGGAATTTTTGTGTTCAAGCAAAGCAAAAGATATTGTGTGTTAAAGGGAATTTCACAGAAACTAATCTCAAACACAGGTCTCTCAATACGACTTGTCTCAATGCTCGTCGATTGTGAATGAACGATACATCGATGATTTGTTTTTAACTGTCTTTCAACATCACTCCAATTTGAAATATTTCTCAACATGATGCATCGAGACCATTCCCACTGTCGAACCCATTGAGCATATGAGGATTCATCGAGATCAGAATCGTCTGGAGCGGCAATTCGTGTTTTGGGTTCTTGAGACCATCGACTCCTCACTACTTTCTGTCTAAAGATGTAAGGAACTGTTTTCATCTCTATAATGACGCAAGACATGCACTCGTAATAAACGATTTGCTTAATATTTTGTCGTTTGATGTCCTTTTGAATGATGTGTGTGTGTGATCATTATTAGGATTGTGGTATTTTAATTTTCATACATATCACACTCACCATCCAAAATTTATATCCATAATCATCAATCAAATCCACATAGCATTCCAAATCATTGGATTCCTTGATGAACACTCGGCCTTTCATGAACTGATTAATCCACACGTTAAGTATTTCTGATTCTATTCGGAATTGAGTGCATCTTTCATCTTCAAAATTTCCAAATACTACTTTCGAAAAAGAAAAGGAAGGTTGTTTTTCGCGTACTCGTAAACTCAACATTTGGTTTCGAAAGTAAGTGTTAGAGAGACTGACGGATTAGTTAATTTTTT